GATCCTTTCTTATAGTTGGGAGTTCATCTGTACAATTTTTATATTATATGCTGTGCATATATGTTTGTACTTATACGTTGTAAAGTGTAATAGGATCCTATAAAATCAGCCGTACAATTTGTATAGTATATGCACTGTGTGCATGTATGTACGTTGTAAAGTGTAGTAGTATCCTATACAATCAGCTGTACAATTTGTATAGTATATGCACTGTGTCCATGTATGTACGTTGTAAAGTGTAATAGGATCCTATAAAATCAGCTGTACAATTTATATATTCTATGCACTATGCGCATGTATGTACGCTGTAAAGTGTAATAGGATCCTAAAAAATCAGCTCTACAATTTGTATATTATATGCACTTTGTGCATGTATGTACGTTGTAAAGTGTAATAGGATCCTATAAAATCGGCTTTACAATTTGCATAGTGTATGTAAGTTGTAAAGTGTAATAGGATCCTATACAATCAGCTGTACAATTTATATATTCTATGCACTGTGTGCATGTATGTACGCCGTAAAGTGTAATAGGATCCTATAAAGTCAGCCGTACAATTTATATGTTCTATGCACTGTGTGCATGTATGTACGTACGCTGTAAAGTGTAATAGGATCCTAAAAAAATCAGTTCTAGAATTTGTATATTATATGCACTTTGTGCATGTATGTACGTTGTAAAATGTAATAGGACCCTATACAATCAGCTGTACAATTTATATATTATATGCACTGTTTGCATGTATGTACGTTGTAAAGTGTAATAGGATCCTATAAAATCAGCTGTACAATTTGTATATTATATGCAGTGTACAATTGTCCATTTTAAAGTTTCCATTAATATCCATACAAAATAATTTGATAATAAAGCGGACTAAACTTTCCTTCATTTTATACTTCTATTCATAGTTTGCTTGTCTGTTTGTTTGTGACCGATAACCGAACCGAACCGAGCGGGTCCAATTTTTGTGTGGGACCTCACATAACCCCAGGGAAGTTTTATGGATGCTCAGAATTACAAAAAATGTTCTCCAAAATTTTAGGACTTTCGTAAAATTTGGAAAATTCACAAAAGCTGAAAGAATTAAAAGTTGAAGTAGGAGATTGGTCCAAAGTGCCCCCAAAGCCTAGTGTAAATATTTATATCCTATTGAGTGAATCCCACTAAACATAACAATGAAGACGACCAAGAATAGCATTGAATATACGCTAGACGACAAAAATATCAAAATATCAAATGCCTAATTATGGAGTACAAACGCAGTACGTTTCAATTAGGTTTTCAAGCTAGAAATGTAAACAAATCAAAGAAAAATCATAACAAAGGATCGTACTGCATTTTTCATCTCAAAACCGGTTAAATGTCAACAACAAAGAGAAAACAAAGCGGAGACGATAAGAGACAAGGGAAGAGAAGAAAAGAGATAAGAGAACAGAAGATTAAAAAAGAGAAGAAAAGAAAATATAAGAAAAAAGAGAAGAAAAAATAGAGGAAAAAGAAGAAAAGAGAAGAGAAGAAAAAAGAAGCGAAGAAAGAAGAAGAAAATAGAAGAGAAGAGTATAAAATAGAAGAGAAGAGAGAGATAAAAAAGTAGATCGCGTATAAGAGAGAGCTTGCTTTTTACAGACGTTTTATCATGAAAATATGTTCAAGAATACTTTAAACTTTAAAATTAGCTTTATTGTAAAATTGTATGATATTTTTGCAAAAAAAAAATAGTTGTCCTAACTGGTTAGCGTACATTTTTTTGATTATTTAAAGATTTTTGATCATTTGGCATTTGATATTCTGATATTTTTGAACTAGAAGTGTGCTGCAGTTATACCGTAATTAAAATTGCTTATAAAGATTATTTTTTATATTGCATATTTCAACATTCAAGTTGGAAAATTTCCCCCCTGTAATAGACAGTTTTTTTGTTGCCTTTTGAATATATTAATTTATTACACACTTTGCTTTAGTATCTAAAATCATTCATGCTGAATTTAAATGCATTAACTCTGAATCAATTAAGTAATTAGCCCGATAAGACTAAGTATATTTCACCTAATAAAGAAATGTAGTTTTTTGCAAAGTTGTTTGTTTGCATTCATGAAATAAATTGAGGGTGTTGCCCAATCTATTCATAGTAAATTCATTGCGAATAAACGAGTGCAATCTATAAAGAAAAAAGAGAAGTTAAAAGGATCTTATTTTGGTAAGACGTGTAATATTAAGTGGAAAAGAATCATAATTGATCGCTTTCAAGTTTTGGAAAATGTTTGACTTTAAATGATATTACATATAATACATTTCAAAATATAAGTGCAAGAGATCGAAACTTTGCGTGAATATTTTAATCTTGAACGATCAATCTCGATATCCAATGTAGGCATTTTTACAATTCAAGTTTCCCTTTAGGGGTATGACCATCAGGGGATATCCCCGATCCCGAGAATATCTATAACCAATATTAACCAGAAAGTCTTCAGGGGGGGAATATTAACCAGAAAGTCTTGAGGGGGGGGGGGGGGTTGAATTGCGCCCAAACCTTTTTATTGTAAATTTGTTTAATATTCATTTGAAATTTAAATCATAACTCTTTAATGAATATGATTGATAAGAAACAGCTTTATGAAAAAATCAGTTATTTACCCATGACAGGTTGTCTAATGTATAATATGTAGAAGCATGCATATTTCCAGTAGTACATATTACAGGGTTGGACTTCAACTCAGCGCCATTGATTCAGTTTAGATTTTTAGATTATAATGAATTTCAATATACAAGTTGTGTAGGACGCTAAAATATTCCTGAAGCTTGACGCGCTTCACAATATGTACACTGTACAGGGCTACAAAAAAATGTGCAGTTTGATAAGCTCAGACAAAATCACTTCAAGGTCAGCTCATGATTTTTTTACAATTTTTAGAGCAATGTTGATATCACTGTGAGAATAAGCACTTTGTTTCGGTAGAAGGCTGAACCTTGGATACTTCCAACTTAACCTATCTGATCTAGAAGAATTCAGAGTTTGAAATATTAAAGGTCCGCGTCATCTGGTTGCAAAAAAATTCAACATCAGAGTTTGTGGCAAGAGCTCAGTTCCTGAATGGGTCTTGAATATTTTAGTTTAAATAAATTTTGTCTTAAGAATGCATTTTCAAGCATTGTAAAGATAAATACAACTTGCTTTTAAAGATTGCATGATTCTATGTTGCATGCCAATAAACTGGTAGACAAACCACGTTTTAAATATATTTCATACAATCAAAGCAGCAGCTCTCATTCTGTCAGATTAAAAGGACTGTTTTTAATCACAATTTTATTTTTTTTGATTTCTAAGACAAGGATAAAGACAATAATAATGCAGGGATAAAGACTTGTATATGAACAAGGATAAATACAAGGATAAAGACAAAAATAAGGCGGGGATAAAGACAAGGATAAAGGCAAGAATAAAGACAAGGATAAAGACAAGGATAAAGACAAGGATAAAGACAAGGATAAAGACAAGGATAAAGGCAAGGATAAAGACAAGGATAAATACAAGAATAAAGACAAGGATAAATACAAGAATAAAGACAAGGATAAAGACAAGGATAAAGACAAGGATAAAGGCAAGGATAAAGACAAGGATAAATACAAGAATAAAGACAAGGATAAATACAAGAATATAAACAAGGATAAAGCCAAAGATAAAGACAAGGATAAAGGCAAGGATAAAGACAAGGATAAATACAAGGATAAAGACAAGGATAAATACAAGAATAAAGACAAGGATAAATAAAAGAATATAAACAAGGATAAAGACAAGGATAAAGACAAGGATAAAGACAAGGATAAAGACAAGGATAAAGACAAGGATAAAGACAAGGATAAGGCAGGGATAAAGACAAGTATATGAACAAGTACATGAACAAGGATAAAGACAAGGATAAAGACAAGAATATGGCAGTGATAAAGACAAGGATAAAGACAAGGATAAAGACAAAAATAAGGCGGGAATAAAGACAAGGATAAAGGCAAGAATAAAGACAAGGATAAAGACAAGGATAAAGACAAGGATAAAGGCAAGGATAAAGACAAGGATAAAGACAAGGATTAAGACAAGGATAAAGACAAGGATAAAGACAAGGATAAAGACAAGGATAAAGACAAGGATAAAGACAAGGATAAAGACAAGGATAAAGCCAAAGGTAAAGACAAGGATAAAGACAAGGATGAAGACAAGAATATGGCAGGGATAAAGACAAAGCTTTGACTTTCCAATAAAAATATGGGGTCTCCCCAGATGAAAAGCTTGGGGTCCCCAATACAAATCTTAAGATATTGCGTTTAACCCAATCTAGATACGTAGATATATACAGTTCCGCCTTACTCATATTGTGATTGCTTCACTACATTATATATAACAGTGCATAACTTGTAATTACGCTGTTAAGACCTACTTCTAATCTGACATCATGAAATATACTAAGTTGGTATAGAGACTCCGATTTGATTGCTGCGAGAGAGTAATTGTGTCCTTGTTCCTAAACAAATGTGTTGCTGTTAATGCTTATTGGTTTGGCATTGATTAATTGAGTGCTTGTGTCCTTGTAGACTTTGATAGCTGATCGCGCCCACAGGTGTGGCGTTGATCGATTACAAGGTCGCGTCCTGGTTGACATTGATAGATGACGATATTGTGTCCAGGTTTAGACATTGATAGCTAAGTGAGACTGAATTGTACCTGGATAGATACGTGTTCGAGAAACCTTTTTGGAGTAGGGCTTTTACTACAGGTCATTGGGTCTCAGATAGTGCTACAATGAAGATGTTTTATACATTACCCAGACTCCCTAACTTGTACTCTTTTATTGTGTTAATATTTATTTACTACCTATATGATCTATTTAGTAAAGGGTAGAAGGGTATGGGTGGATGGATATGAAGTATTTCAAATAAGGTACCCTAATAACCTTCCAATCGGTCCTAATTAACCATAACAATGTGTAATTAACCTCTTCTAATTAATCGTTATCTAACATTAAATATATTTTACTAATAGTATAGTTAGGCCGATAGGTTACAATATATGACTTGAGATTTAGGAGAACTGATGACGGAAACAGAGCAATTATTATAAACCTAATTGGTATTCAAATTAGGAATTTTTAAAGAGATTGTTTTATTATTTAAACATAGGGGTGGTCTACCAATTGTTAAGTCGATTTAAAAACAAAACTTGTAACAAATTACATTCCTGCACAACTTTTACTTATTCCCCCTTCCATCCTTATTTAATTTACCCCCCCCCCCCCCTCCCCGTAGAATAATGATTCATGATGCCACATTTATATGGTTAGAGTCCTGATTGTTCATTGTGTCATTTGTGTGGGCTCTGATTGCTTTAATTAAACATGCATTTATTTAACTGAGTAGAAGTAAAGTACAGGGTGTCCCAATAAACATTGGAATTGCAAGAGACAACTTGAATATCGTCTTTGATTTCCGATAATTGATAAATTACATAAATTGCATTAGTAAAAAGATTGAAAGTCTAATGAGCTTTTCAAAACATGGTCTACCCTCGTTGTATTTTTGAAATTGATGGAGATATTAAACATTTGAGCAGTTTTGTTGATTTTTAATAAACTGGAATCTGGGCATTTATCCTAACATCTCCGTCAATTTTTATGGTAAAAATAAATGGTAGACCACATTTTGGAAATCCCGAGACTAGCAGTTTTATGTGGTAAATTTCTTAACTGCTATGCTACAAAAAAATTATTACAAAAAATTCCGTAACAAAGACGATATAGAAGTCGTCATTATTCATTAAGGTAGTAGGCACTTAAATTAATACCAAGGGCTATATAAATATATATATATATAGGACTTACTGAAAAATATCTTATATAAATTCCAATAATAAGCTTCCCAAACTTGTACTGATGCAATTTGAGTTACGATCCCTACTTTTACTTTTAAATGATTTTAATCAATTTTGAAATAAAACTGTTCCATTTCCATCATCAATTTCTCCTTACATATAATTACATCTCTGTTTACAAATATCACAATATGTATATCTGCAGTAGTATCACAGAATGCTTTATTAGCGCAATCAAAGATCTTTATGTACAAAAGGGAATAACCACGAAAATAAAATTGAGCACAAAATTGACAGAGACTATTATCAACAACTAACAACTTAAAATATTATTACAATAAACAAAAAAATAAGATGTTTTTTATCTTGTGTTAGAAAATAGTTAGAAATAAATAACCATTTATAAAATATACTATTGTTATTACAGAAAAATGGCGATAATGTCTTATCTATTATGAATGCTACATATTTATTCAGAAACAAATATTTTTTAATTACGTACATTTTTAAGAAAGAAAAAATCAACCTTGTTTTTAGAGAAAAATAAAAATATTCACATTCATGTTCTTCACGGGATTTACTGAATTAAAATTCACGGTATTTCCGAGCCACCTTCGTTTAGAATCTCCTAGTGAAGCTTCTCCCCTAAAGATGACGGATGAAAATATGTTAATCCAAGGTTTCACCGCGGGTATATCTTTGTTTTGCATTGAGTTACGGAGTTTTTAAACTCCAGGTTAGCTCTCCTCCTCCTCTCGTTGAGGTCTCTGAACCAATCAGATAGTTTCCCGAATATTTGATTATTTCTGTTGAATATACTGTTGAGTTCGTGTGTCGTGATATCTTCGTGAATTCAACCAATCAAGGTTGCTACCACGATTGCAAATGCAGCAACTGAAGCAAAACATTTTTCAGAATATGCTTTTTGTAAAAAAAAATTTGTGTGAACTTAAGTACCTGAAAGGAGACCGGAAATAAAATATCTGAGCCCAAGGATAGTTTCCTCCTGTGCACGCACATATTTAAACACGCGCACAGACCAACCAATCAATCAATCTTCCACGCACGAAGCTGAACTAAATTGTATCATTATTGCTCAAGATTTGCAGATTTAAATAAAAACTCAAATCCCATCTTGTAAATATTAGCAGTGCCCCCCCGGCCCCCCTCTACTAACTACCAGACCTGGACAAAATGATGCTAACACGACCAGACAAATATTCAGAGCACGAAACTAGTGAAGTTATGGTATAGGATTTGTTACATGTATAACATGGTAGGATTGGAAACAAAATATATTGTTACACTTCATGATGCATTTATGGTCATGCTTATAAACCTCTAATCAACCATCAGAGGGAGTTAATGTCGTTTTTTGGCGGTTAAAGTCGCCTTACACAGCCACCCTTGTCTTGAAATAATGTCTTAATTATTCCATGGTACTTGGATCTCCGCTGACCCCCAATCAAAAGTGTTAACCTTCTTTAATAAAAAAATTTCATTTTCATTTAATTTTAAAAAGTTATTATTACAAAGTCTATGCAAAACAGTAAAACCTCAGGGACTATGACCACTCCCATGTTTATGTTTATTGTAAAATGAATGCAAATTCAAGCTGAAGTTTAGGTGGAGAATATATTATTGAATTATGTTTAAATATATTCCTCGTCATATGGCCAGTATAGATCAGAATACCAGGTCTGCAGATGAAGAATCAAAGATCTAAAAATATTATAAAAATTAGACATTAGAATTGTACACTGTACTGTGTAGTGTGTATTTTGTAAAAGTACGAGGTTTAGATTAAAGTAAAGTGTAGAGCTTTGGTTTTACAGTGTACAGTGTACAGTGTACAGAATGTTCAAAAAAGACCTGCACGTTTAGTGCACTGTGTGACTCTGTGCATTAATATGAGATTAGTGAGTTGAATGTTAAGTATAAAATGTACAGAAAAGAGTCAAGTGACTTTACAGTTATATACATGTACAGAGTGTACAGAGGGTGTAGAGTTTACATTGTAGAGTGTTGAAAGTATAAGTTGGGAATTAGTTATTTATGAAATATAACAAAAACATACGAAATTAAGTGTTTCAGGAGAAAATATTTAAAAACCTCAAAAATAAAGGTTGAGGAAATATTTCCTCCAATTCTAAAAAATAAAAAAAAAATAAAAGGAAAAGGACAGGAAAGGAAAGGAAAGGAAAAGGAAAGGAAAGGAAAGGAAAGGAAAAGGAAAGGAAAGGAAAGGAAAGGAAAGGAAAGGAAAAGGAAAGTTACATATTTTTTGTTTACATTAAAATAAAATAGGCTTCATGGGTTGTGAAAAAGATATAGATTCTACACAAAACTGTCATTTTTTAGCATCCTTTTAATTCGCGCCAATTTTTGATTTTCTTTAAATATGCACAGGATGTACAGGGTGTACGCTGTACAGTAAGTACAGGGTCTACAGGGTGTGCATATTATTTAGGGTCCACAGTGTGTACAGGGTGTACGGGATGTGTGTATTGTACAGGTTATTCAGGGTGAACAGTATGTACAGGGTTACAACTTACAGGGTGTACAATGTGTACAGTGTGTATAGGGTGTATAGGGTGTACAGTGTGTACAGTGTGTATAGCGTGTAAAGTGTGTACAGAGCCCGAAATTTAAAAGAGTATCGTTGAACGAAACTCTCGAGTTTCCTTTATGGGGTCTAAGCATTATTGTAGATTTTGATTTAAAAGATTTAAAAAGTGGAGATTATGAAGAAAATAAATGAAATGATATTTCACAACAAAAAATATTGATATCCACAAAACTGCCTAACCCCATTCGCGAAACCCGGGTTTTAAAACTGGTTTTCATTACGATACCCTGTTTTAAGTTTTGGGCTCAGTGTGTACAGGGTTTACAGTGTGTACAGGGTGTACAGTGTGTACAGGGTGTACAGTGTGTACAGGGTGTACAGGGTGTACAAGATGTACTGTAAACTAAAGAATATAATCCGGATTCCTAGAATATCTAAGCTGAAAGAAGAACCTTTAGTCACACTACAATGGATAATAAGAAGTAAATAAGCATTTCATTCTTCCCTTCTTCTTACTCAGTACTCCTTATACAGTACTTCAGATTTACACCAAGGTCTTATCAGTAAATGTCGCCTTCAATTATTCAGAAAAAAATAATATCAATTTCTTGAAAAAGAGCTAACAGGAAAATTTAAATAGAAAAGAAAATTAACAGGTAGAGCCATATCGGTATTTACTTTATTTATTATATTGTTTTAGTCATTTACAATAAATGTTAATTCTTTCTATTTGTATATGTTTTTTTTTTTGTTGTAAACTTCCCTTAATTATCTGTGCGCGTATCTAATATGAGAGTATGATAACGTGGTATAAAGATTAATGTATAAATTATACAGAGGACTGTAATATATTTTATAATGTATTGAGTATATAAACCAATAAATAAAGAAGATGGGGGAGGATTGGTTACCAAGGGGAAGGGGGTGTGGTTGTCATAAATCCTAGGATTACAAAAACTCTTCCCAAATAATTGTAGGTTTCCATAAAATGTGTGTTTTTTTCTTGGGCCTAATTACGGAGTCAATGATTTTTTATTTTACAATTTTAGTAACATACGTTTGTTAACTTATTTTATTTAATTTATCCAAAACATTTAATATAAACTCCGAGATCGGAAATTTTGTGTGGATATTGTTAATCTTGAACGCTTAATTACGATATCTAATATGATTACTTTCAAAGGGGATTTTCGCGAAAAATGAAAGGGGGGATAGGCTTTACGGCGAAAAATAAGCGCGTTTGATCGTTACTAATCTTACTTCTATCTGTTGCGTCTATAAGGAGAAAATAGTTAAAAACGACTTATACTGAAGAACATTACGTTCATACAAATTAAGAAAGATGCAACATTCAATTCGGATCGTAAACAAATCAATTTAATTTCAAACAAATCCTTAAAATATTACAAACAATAGTCATTGATTTTTTTTCGACGCACTAGTATAAAGTTAATATTTTATAATATTTTTGATTTTTTTAAAAATAATATTTCGCAGGCGCTGGATTTTCGACCATTCCTGGAAAATATGAAAATGTCGTCTTCATTATCAAAAATCCTCTAAACAAGAAAATAAATGTTTTCAAAAGTAAATCTCAGATCATGAAACATAAATAAATATTATGAAAAATCAATATGTATACGAATGTGTCGAAAATAATCGAAGACTGTCTATTGTTTATAGTATCTGAATGATTTGTTTGGGAATAAATTAATTATTTTAGATCCGAGTTGAATGTTGCAAAATATAAAAATGTCGTCTTCAAAATCGAGAATCCTCGAAACAGAAATAAATGTGTTCAAAAGTAACTCTCAGATCATGAAAAATAAAAATAAAATGGAATATCAACTTTACACGAATGCGTCGAAAATAGATAGAATTATGATTCGTAGCGATAAAATCGCTTATTTTTCGCCGTAAACCTATACCCCCTGCATTTTTTGCGAACACTCCCTTTAAATCAGATGACCAAAGCTTAATACCTCAATTAAAGTTATGCCTACAGGATAAGAATTTATTTTAATTTGTAGATCTGCATATGATAGAATAGATCAATCCTTGATCACGAGATTTACAACAATTCAGTAAATAGGAATACAAGATAATAAATTGAAACCAGAATTTAATTTTTCTTTCTAAAAAGTTTAAATCTCGGAGCCTTCATTATAAGGGGCGAAGCCGTCAAAATTCAAACTTAAATGTAGCGGTATCCAGTGAGGAGTTATAAAAAAAATCAAGTTTTGATTTATGTCAATCTAAAATTGCAAGATAAAACATCTTTCCTTGACATGTCAGCTTTCACCGCTGATTTTCTTACCACGCATTTTACTGGGCAAACTTTAAAGCAATTGTATTACAACTAACAAAAGCATTTTGAAGAGTACAACTTTCATGCCCAATTCACAACGGTACCTCTTAAATATCATAGAAAGAAAGAAAACTGAATGAATTTATCTCTGTGTGAAAGTATAAAAATGTCTGTCATTTTTATGCTTGGTAAGCGGAGAAAGGTTGGTAAGTTAAAAAAGTTGGGGATATAAAGGGAGGGTTCCTTCAATAACGTCTCAGCATGTTCGAAACTTCCAAATGTTGAAAATAGTAAATTATATCCATTTTGTTTAAAACGGCAAATTTCACAATGTCTTCTGAAACTTTTACCCCGTACGTTGCACGCCCTTTATTCTTTAAGTTTAACAAGTTGTAAAGGATTATTTTGAAAAATCTTACTTTTTCCGTTTGAGTATCTCAGCCGGGGAGGAGGGGAGTACAAGTGGGCGGGGACTATTGAGCAGGGGTGTGGCCGAACCAACAGATGGAGGGGTGGGAGAACTGTCTCGCTTCACTGCGAGCTCGTCGATCTCCTCGATAATTGTGTCGACATCGAACTGTGATTGTCGCCTTGAATCTCTTCTTCGATCCAATAAACCTCGATTCTTATTCTCCTTACTACTGTTATTGTTGGAATCATTCTGAAATAACAAAAAGTTTCAAAATCTTTAAATTAAAGGAAACAATTACTTGTTGACAACTTTTGATGTTTATCAATGTTTATTGTCTAAAAGATATTCCTTAAGCACTTCACTGTAATCCAAAGGTTGAAAGCTCTAATGCAAAAAATGAGAATTTTGCCAATTACTTCTTTTAAACTGAAGCTGAAAAGTGGTTTATAGTTCTAAAATGTACATGTTTAGGATATAAGACGAATGAGTAAGTTAGTTAGGTGAACTCGAAGGCCAAGGTGAGTAGTGACCCAATCTTGAAAATTAAACCCAATTTTCATAGCAGTTTGAAACTATGTGACTTGCGGTTTTTTTATCGTATCCTTAATTCTTTTACGAGCACTAAAAATAAATAAGACAGTTAACAAAAACTAAATAATATTTAAAAGTTCCTGCGCAGAATGTGGTCTGAGGAATGCTGATTCGCATTCTTGTAAATCAAATTCATAGACTAGAGTGCAAAATTATAATGGCACACACACATAAATTGTATAAAAGAAAATTTACTCCAATGAGTTCTTTGTGCAGGTTAATTTTAGGAACGTAGAGGAAAATATATCCAAAAAAAGGATGTTGTTAAATCATTGTTATAAAGGTTAATTTATGATAATTAGATGAGAAGCGACCCTGTTAAGTAAAGATTGTGAATAAATTTTTCAATAAAAATTGTTTTTTTTTTTATTATCTTTAGGGTGACTAGCATCAATAGCGCAGAAATGCTACAGAACGCAACTAATAAAAGTAAGTAAAGTTAATAAAAAAGATAGGTACAAGGATATGAAAAAGATAGGTACAAGGATATGAAAAAGATAGGTCAAAGGATATGTAAAAGATAGGTACAAGGATATGAAAAAGATGGGTACAAGGATATGAAAAAGATAGGTACAAGGATATGAAAAAGATAGGTACAAGGATATGAAAAAGAAAATGCAAGAATATGAAAAATTAGAGTACAATAAAAAGGGAACATGATTTGAAAAAGGACAAGATATGAAAAAGAAAGGTTACATGATAGGAAAAAAGGTACAAGGATTTGAAAAAGAAAGATACAAGGATATAAAAAGAAAGGTAAAAGATTATGAAAAAAGGTAAAAGAATATAAAAAAGAAAAGGTAATAGGATATGAAAAATAAAGATAGCATGATAGGAGAAAAGGTATAAGGTTATAAAAAGAACCGTACAAGGTTATAAAAAAGAATGATACAAGAATATGAAAAAGAAAGGTACAACGATATGAAAAAGAAACGTACAAGGATATGAAAAAAAGGTAACAGTCTATGAAAAAGAAAGGCACAAGGATATGAAAAAGAAAGGTACAAACATATGAAAAAGAAAGTTACAAGGATATGAAAAAGAAAGGTACAAACACATGAAAAAGAAAGGTGCAAGGATATGAAAAAAGGTAACGAAATATGGAAAAGAAAGTTACAAGGATATGAAAAAGAAAGATACAAGAATATGAAAAGAAAGGTGAAAGAATAAAAAAAAGACGGAGACAGGATATGAAAAAAGACATGATATGGAAAAAGAAAGATACAAGGTTATGAGAAAAGAAAGAAACAAGAATATGAAAAAAGAAAAAAAGAAGAATATGATAAAAATAAAATATAAAAACCTTATTTTCTTCTTCTGCTATAGGTCTGAAAATGCTTGTTTTCTTTTCTAATTTTCTCGAGAACTCATCACTAGTATTTAGTCAACAAATATTTTAAACTTTTTAAATATTTTTTTAATATTTTTAACAAAAGAGTCCTAGCCTAGAAAGATGAGTTCTATGCATGTTTGAGAAAGACTGTATATTCAATGTATATAATAAAACAAGAAATTCGTATTTAATGTTCTCTATAGTCGGCCAAACGGCTGGACCGAATGGGCTGAATTTTTTTAGGGAACCCAGGAGTATCCATGGGGTAAAATAGGCTAAAAAATTTAAAAAATTTTTTTTAAGTTTTTTGTTTTTGTTTTGAATTCCACGGAAACGCCGGGCGCTTTAGCTAGTGTTTTATAAATAAAGAACTTAGTTAAAGCCGTTGAAAAAAAGCTTAGTATTTTACTGTCGGTCTGACTTAAGACATAGATAATGCTAAGTTACAATGCTAAGTTACGATGCTAAGTTACAATGCTAAGTTACAATGCTAAGTTACAATGCTAAGTTACAATGCTAAGTTACAATGCTGCATTTCAAGAACAGTTTTCATCCATTGTTAGTGGAAAATGGTTACGGACCGCGATGCAGAGTAAACAAGAAAAAAAGAAATTGTTTCTATGAAATAGTTAAATTAAAAATATTATTATATATCTGGACTGGCCTAACAGTGGTCGCTAAGCTTCTAACAGATACCTGGACAAAGGATTAAATTAATAGGGTTAGATCAGAGATAAACACTAACTTCTGTATACTTCTCATATACAGGGTGTCACAAAAAGGACACCCAATGTATAACTAAAGAGTACAAAACATGGCTATGCTCAATTTCAAGTGGATAAATTCATTCTGAATCCGTTCTAGCCTCATGGTTCAAGAGCTATTGACATTGATTTTTAAATTTAAAATTAAAAATACGTTTTTCCATTATTTTTGCAACACCCTGTATCTTTATGTACATGTTTACAGTGCAATATACTTTAATCAAGCCTTTATTCCAAGGCATGCAGTTAAGATTTGTTCCTACTTCATGGTCAGAAGAAATCCCTCAATGCATTTTACTAGTTGAATGTTTAGTGTTTGTGACAAGAGAGTTCAGATTGCAAAGACAAGACGATATCTGGAGACTAGAGACTAGACCTTGAAAGGTTTATCACATCATACAACAAATAAATCTCAAATGTAGATTAAAAAGAGAATGACAAAAAGGTTTGGTTCGTTAGGAAGTAGATAAACCAGGTTTAGAATAGGATGAGGGGGTTGATAATAAGAGGAGAGAGTTTAGAATAGGAGGAGAGAGTTTAGAATAGTGGGAGGTGGTTTAGAATAGGAGGAGACAGTTTAGAATAGGTGGAAAAAGTTTAGAATAGTAGGAGAAAAGGAGGTTTAGGTAATAGATAAACCAGGTTTAGAATAGGAGGAGGAGGTTTAGTAAATATATAAACCAGGTTTAGAATAGGAGGAGGGGGTTTAGGTAATAGATTAACCAGGTTTAGAATAGGACGAGGGGGTTCAGGTAATAGATAAAGCAGGTTTAGAATAGGAGGAGGGGGTTTAGGTGATAGATAAACCAGGTTTAGAAAATGAGGAGGGGGTTTAGGTAATAGATAAACCAGGTTTAGAATAGGACGAGGGGGTTCAGGTAATAGATAAACCAGGTTTAGAATAGGAGGAGGGGGTTTAGGTAATAGATACAGGAGGACAGCTGCTTGTACATGAGAGAGGGGAGTAAAACATAGTCATGTAAGAATCTAAGGTTTCCTGTCAATTTGTTTAAATTTTGTTTTGGTAGGATAAAAAACTGGCATGGACATCCCATACATATACCGGTAGTTTTATTGTAATTTATATATGCAAATATCTAGTACATAAATACGCCCTTACTCATTCGATCAAATACATAAAATAACGGGAGAGGGGGGGGGGTGGAGGTAATTTGCAGCATATGTTAATTAAGATATTTCAAGATTAAGGATCTATCTAAAACAATTTGTTTTTAGAGTCTGCGAAGGTGCTCCGGGTTCACATTTTAAAAAAGTCTTTTCACAAACTCTGATTTTATAATCCCTATATCTTTGGAAACTAAGGTTTTAGACCTTTGATATTTGAATCAGGGAAAGTTTTTGGACGGTCAAATGTTAACCAAACCTCAACCATCCATCGAACACTTATTGCTGAGATTTGGTTAAAAATGCATTGTACTTTTTTTATTCGTGGATTTTCAACATTTTTAAACTCTGACCGTCCTAAAACTTTCCAATTGTGTCAGTTGAGTTACCACAAAAGTAGTTGCTTACCATCTGTAGTAGAGTAGGAGATTTAGGTCTTGTATTAGAACTACTAGAATCTACAGTAAGACTGTTGTTGCTGTTGTGCAAGTTGTGGCTGTGCCCTGTTGATAAACTAGCACGCCGAAGTTCTGGAAGATCCTGAAAAACAAATTCAATCAATTTTTTACTTTTCAAATTTGAAGCCAAAATTGGCTATAAAAGATTTGGACAATTCAGAAAAAACTTAAATGATAATTATAATGATTAATAGAGGGCCATTTACACATGCTGTGCAATTTACTTTAGTTTGACGTGATAGACTCCTTTTTTGGCGCCCTTGCTTGCAAGAAAAACTTCTAAAAAATTTTTGCGATCTAATCAACTTTTGCGTTTTTTTTAATAAAAAAAATTACCCTGCCCCTCCCTCATTCCTTTCAGATGTCAGAGATAAGAAGTAAATTTAATCAAATGTTAATTCTGTTTATGATTTATTTTATATTAGTTAAAATTTAATTATTTACCGGATACTTTGAGCCCTGTATAACTGATATAGATCTGTTTCTTGGTATTATTTCTTTTCTTCCTTCACTCTCTAATATACCAATTAAAAATTAATCTAATTTCAAGAAAATATGAATAAAGAATAAATTTAATATAAGTATGGATAACACACTTTAATCTTGTAATATATAGGAAGCCAGGGAGGTAGGAAGGTGATAGTAATTGATACAGATGTAGGTATGTAGCTATATGAAGGTATGCGTTCAGATATGTCAGAGGGGAGGAAGGGAGGGATGATGAAAGTAAGGTAGGTATAGGAAGGTGGGTAGGTATGGTAGTAGATTGGAAGGTACGTAGGTATAGAAGTATGTTTGTTGCATTGTTTAAATAATGTGCTAACTCCGTGTCACGTACATCAACCATTACAATAAACAATCGAAAAGAAAGTTCAAATTCATTATATGTGTACAATGTACTATAAGTACATACACACTAACTCAAATAAAGGAAGTGCAGAAGGTCTTGTAAAAATTACACTTTTGAAACATGAACAGATATTTTTTAACACATAAATACTTAAGACTACCTCTTTATTTAAAAAACTACCTTCTTATGCTAAAGCCTACGTCCTCATGTTAAAGACTATTCCCTTATTCTAAAGACTATCTCCTTATGCTAAAGACTACCTCCTTATGCTAAAGACTACTTCCTTATGTTAAAGACTACCTCCTTATGTTAAAGACTACCTCCTTATGCTAAGGCTACCTCCTAACTTCCTAAGATATCTTAAAGAATACCTCCTTATGTTAAAGACTGCTTCCTTATTTAAAAGACTAGTTTTGTATCCTAATACCTAGCTACCTCTCACACATAGATTTAGTCTGCTTATATAAAGGCTCATTAATTTTTAAGACAGGGTCGACTTTGAAGTGTCGGAACGCCTTGGGCTTTGGTTTTTCCACTCTAACTCACTTATGCTTTTCTGTTACCATTTACATTTACATTAGTTTAGGTTTTTAAGAAGTAATTGGACAAAATTTACATAGATTTTTGCTTAAGAGCTTGAGACCTTTGAATCACAGTGCTCACGGTACCTTCCTTACTGCACCCCCCCCCCTCCCTTCTTCCTATTTTATTCCTTAACTAAATGACTTTCCATTATGCTGATTATATTTCCTTCTGGTCCAACCAAACAAAAAGCAAGCATCAGATAGAATACAAAACCAAAAGAAACAAGATGAAAGAAAAATTTAATTAATTACTTGTAGCAAACCAATTATTTTATTTCATATTTCTTATCTAAGCTCCTAACTAAATCCCCCCCCCCCATACTCCCCTAATTGTATTGCTTGGAATGACTATATATTTGTTTGTCCTGTTCCCTGTTTAAATCAAAAAAAGTTTCTAATTTGCATATTTGATTATTATTCACGTCAGGCCATAGTAAACATTCACACAAACACATATGCACCATACTATTTACTATAGATACCATACTATATCTTACCTTTTACTACTTTCCTTACCATTCACTACTAACCTTAACATTTACTAATATCTTACCATTAACTATAAATATCTTACTATTTACTAAAATCTTACCATTAACTATACCCATCTTACCATTTACTAATATTTAACAATTTACTATTATTTTATAATTTACTAATATTTTACAATTTACTAATATCTTACTATTTACTAATATCTTACCATTTATTAACATCTTATCTAATATTTTATCATTTACTAATATTTTATCATTTACACCTTAACATTTACACGTTTTTCTTAACAATTTTCAATTAATGTCGGTAGTTTAACATTTCTGGATCTAAATTGTGAAAAAAATAATATTTAGTATATTTCCTATAAGCTTATGCTGAACAAGTATCCTCTTCGTTTCTTCTAACTCGCTGTGCTCGCGCTCAAAACTTCTCTGAATGAATTAAATTAATGGATATTAAAAAATTTAATATTTTTATCAAGGGGGGGGGGGGGTTGCAGATTTTATAATGTAAAAGACTCCAAATCGTTCGCAAAGTTGATGAACGGTTCAACTGTTCTGATATTGTGTTTAACTCTCATGTGAATAATGAAAGTTTTACCTTGATATTTTCTAAATGCAGGAGCATAATCTCCACACTTGTTGCTATTCTCATCTCCTATAATTACAAAACTATAGATAATAATACCGAGAATAAATCAGCTTTTGTACGTAAATAGTAAATAAAGAACTATGGGCACTGGCTGCAAACTTATGTTTAGGGCTCATATCTTTAAACACGGATATCCTAGACTTTTTAGACATAGTTTGAAATATCAAAGGTTTACATCTTCAGGTTCCAAATTTATAAGGATTAGAGAATCAAAATGAGCGGAAAGTGTTCAGTTTAAAAAAAAAAGAATAGTCTCACTGAAATATAGACAATTAATCTTAAAAGCGTCAAAACGCTTTGGCCTTTTGTTTTACCACGGCAACTCACTTTTTTGTTTATCTCTGTATATTTTGTAATTTTTGTGTTTTTATTGCAACACTGCATATATTGTCAGTTCAATTTCTATTATTTTCTTGTATCATATATAAAATAATATTTCATTAAGAACAAGATTAGATTTACTATTTGTATAAAATCTATGATATTTGACAGTGAGAATCAGAAAACTGTCAAATATATATCGTCTTTGTTATTTATTCTACTTGGAAATTTCACCAAGGACTTTGTATTTTCAGTTGTTGCAAATAAACTTTTTCTTAAAAAATGTATATGTATTATGTATACCATTTTTATAGCAACTTGTACGTCTCTAAAAAAATCAACATTTTAATTAAAAATTACAAAGTTTTTGCAACATTTTATTTTTAAAAGAAAAAAGAACGAGAATTCCACTGTTTTTGGTTCTCCCTGTATCTCTGAATGTAAACCTGTTGTACTGCACCGTACTGTTCAGCACTGCTCGCCACCCTGCCTGTTGATTGTTGCAGGATTGAAATCTAAATTAAATAAAATTTTAAATCAACAAAAAGTTTTAATATTTGGAATTACTTCATTAAAAAATGTATTAACACATTTTTAAATCTCGAAAAAAGTAAAATCACAAGAAATATTTGTTGTGCACAAAACTAATTGTAACAGTAATTTTTCAAAAAAAATAATAAAAAAAGGCCAGAAAAGAAAAGTTTAACGCTTCAAACCCTTCTAATTTAACTATCCTTATATCTTTGCGACCTTATGGTGTAAACTTTTTAACTGGCAGATTTCATAGATTATAATATCAAAGTTCTACGACATGTCGCAAAGATATCAGGATTATAAAATTAGTAATCAAGTCATTTCTTATTATATTTGACTGATGCATATATTTTTATTCACACACACAATGCAAAACTTAAGAGTCAGAAGGCAAATTTAACATTAAGATGAATGTACATTGTACAGAATGTGAGACAGAATTGTAAAAATCTTACAATTTATACCAGGCTTAAACATTCAAGGAATCAGGGACGCATTGTTGATAAACAAATTGAAAATATTAAAATTCAGACTTTCTAATGCACCAGTTATTACAGATTTGAGAATAAAAAGAGAAAATCAAACACTGCAAGAAGAGAAAAAATAGAAAGAATGAAAATACCAATATTGATATATACATATAATTAAGCTCTAAAAAAATGTTAAATAAATAAAATGTTAAATAAAATGGCTGCAAAAAAGGTTCTCTTGTTGTAACATGGGTAAAAAAAACGGGCAACATTGGGTACTTGAGCTAGTGTATTATTTAAGATGATTTGCTGAGCAATGCAAGGTGCTCTTGCTAGAACCACATTTAACAATAGTTAAATCAGTTTTCAAGTGTGTGTAATAAGTCATTTATTTGAAGTGCTTGTTAAGTTACAATAAACTAAAACAAAAACTGTAAACCCTTTTAAATACTAAATGTAAAGCACTGCAACTTGTATTAGTATTTCACCGTCCATTATAGTGTGTGCATACTTGAAACTAAAAGCATCAATAAAAAGACGAATGTTTTATCATCACTTAAAGGTATTTATTGTTCTCGTCATTCACATTGTCAATCTTTCTATCTATCTATATATCTTTCTATCTATCTATCTATCTATCTATCTATCTATCTATCTATCTATCTATCTATCTATCTATCTATCCTACCCTATGCATTGAAAAAAAAATTTACAAAAAATCCTTAAAATTTCTATTAATTAAAAGTCACAAAATTTCACGGTGATAGTAAAAAAATGAGACAAAAAACTAGAGGGGGGGGGCGTCAGCCTGTTCAGGGTTAAATTCAGACAGTATGTATACCTTCCCACACATTTGGGCCACATCGATACAGCCGTTTTCTATGGACGTATATTTGATTTGAATTAAATGGCAAGAACATTATATTTTTGCAACCTGATGTAGTAGACTTTTTTATTTCTAACTATGGATTCTGCTAAATCAAAATGTTTAAGTTAAAAATATCAAAAGCTTACAGGTTGGAAAGATATAGAGAATTATAATTATAATTAGGGTTCGAGCGGGGCGAGCAATTATTTCTATCTGATTCCACAATGGCAATACTGTTAGTTCAGAAATTTTTAAAAACTGTTGGCTTTATATTATGTGTAATCATTAAGAAGTGTGGGAAAATGCTTTAACCCTATCCCGACTGGGCTATTTTTGTCTCATAAAGATTGAGGGGGGGGGGGGAAGTTCCCCCGACCCCAAAGATTTTGCCCTCAGAGTTAAGATAAGGGAGTGTGATACATGTCCATAGTCAAACTTTTCAAAGCCTGCTCATTAAAAAATGAAACCTCTAACTTTAATGGTTAGGGTGTCTTAGTCCTGTAACTTAATATTAAAAAAGTGATAAACCATTTCTGATTTTTTTGAAATACCGACCCGCCGTTTTACCGTCCTCCAACTACCCTATGCTTCAAAAAAACATTTCTGTTGAAAAGATGAAGAAGTTTTAGCGTTCTAATGTAAGTTATCCATAAGAATCTATGTGAAAACCGCCCCCCTTCAATCGTGATAGGGTGAATGTAAGAGCGGAATAAAAATTTAAAACTATAAAGATGGGTCGGGAACGCTCTGAATTCCTGGTTTGTATGAAATAGATCATTATTAATCAATTAGAATGCTTGGGGTAAGCTAACCACAAATATTTGAAGAATGTGCTAATTTTTCCAGATATACAGATAGATAATACAAATTAAAGATTAATTTGTCAAAAAAATAGTTTGCTAAATTCAACGGGCAACGCCGGGCACTTCAGCTAGTATATAATATCTATATATATATATATATATATATATCTGTAATACAGCTTTTACCTCAAATACATCTATTTATATGTTTGCTATAAGCCTTGTAAAACGGCTGGACCAATTGGCGGTGGAATAGGCTACAATGTTTTTGAAAAATTCCTCGGGCAATGCCGGACATTTCAGCTGAAATCAGGATTTAAACCCAATATTTACAATATATATAATATAATATATATTTATTGTTAATTCATACAAGACGACATACGTTCTTCTACTATATAAGTACCATCATTATGAGCATCTTATATGTTCATGCGTATACTTACAAATATTTATGCGCATATTTGAACCTTTTTCAGTAGTTTTTACCCAGCAAAAAGATAAAAGTGCGAGAGTATTTTTGCGTATTTGAATATGCGTATTCTGTTCAGGAACAATACGCATGAAGATGACAAGTATGATTCACTAGACAGTATTCAAGACATGCAGATTACAGGTCTATAATTCACAACTCAAAACTTGAATCAACATATGAGGGGGACGGGGGAGGGGGGGGGTGTTTGTCTTTTGAGAATGATAAATAAGCGATACTAATCGTGTTTGACTGTCTGTGAAATAATATTTTCACAATTTCTTACAAAAAGTATATATTGCTCGCTAAAAATGAGTTTATTCTTTGTTAACAGGTGTATAGCTCTAAACAATAAGTTTATAGGTTGTTTACATCAAGTGTATAGCTTTTTAACAAAACATTTACTGATTATTACTTTAACAACTTTACAGGGAAGGCGAACAAAACCATATTTACTACACACCCTGGACTATAAACCATGGCAAGATGCGTTCGGTTTATTCTATTTAAATTCATTTGCGGAATGATTTTTAATTCAATCTTTAAACTTACGGAGTTGTTTTTTATACTTTTTCATTAAAACGTTTATGCCGACACAAAAGTATAAGTGAAAAAATGCAAGAAGACTATGTTTTAATAGGGTATATATTGTGATCGAAAGGTACAGTTTGGTTAAATCCAGCTATGTGACTGAGCTTTTCCAATTTTTAGAAGTTGTTTGGAAATCGTCTTTATTGATAAAGCCAAGTTTAAAATCGTGATGGTAATATATTATTGGTACGTTTATTCAAATAGATAACCGAATTTTAAGCATTTACAAATGTAATATTATTTACTGATAATTAATTATGTCCCGCATCCTGAATATTAAATATTATTGCCCCGAGAAGTCTCGAATATGTATTGTATTATTATCAATCAAAGGTCTGGTCTAGTTTTTAACTTTAACTTTAACTTTAACTTTTTACCTAACTTGATATCTAGATTCTTCAATAATTATTCACTTTATTATTTATTTACTTTATCTCTCTCTATCTCGCAATAAATCTGTCTGTACATTCTTTTTCAAGAATTAAAATTTGCAGAAAGTTCAATAAATCTGAGCAAACTGCATCAAACATTACTTCAATCTTGACAAGTTAGTCGCCATTTTTTAAAGGGGTTGTTCGCTTTATGTTCAGAGAAGTTTTTAAAGGGGTTGTCCGCTATATGTTTAGAGAAGTTTTTAAAGGGGTTGTCCGCTATATGTTTAGAGAAGTTTTTAAAGGGGTTGTCCGCTATATGTTTAGAGAAGTTTTTAAAGGGGTTGTCCGCTATATGTTTAGAGAAGTTTTTAAAGGGGTTGTCCGCTATATGTTTAGAGAAGTTTTTAAAGGGGTTGTCCGCTATATGTTTAGAGAAGTTTTTAAAGGGGTTGTCCGCTATATGTTTAGAGAAGTTTTTAAAGGGGTTGTCCGCTATATGTTTAGAGAAGTTTTTAAAGGGGTTGTCCGCTATATGTTTAGAGAAGTTTTTAAAGGGGTTGTCCGCTATATGTTTAGAGAANACAGTAATGACAAGACCCATGAATAAGCAAAGGTCTTGATAAAGGAGGAAGCTATCGAATTGCAGAAATGTCAGGGATTTTTATCCATGTTCTTAAATTTACATCTTTCTCATTCTAAAAGGGAATATTTTTTACTCCATTAAAAATAATATTATCTATTAGTTATATTCAAAGATAAGCAAAAAACTACATTTAATATTTTTTTACTTTTTGACATCAGCGTTTTGGTTACTTCTAAAATGTTAAAGGTCTTACGTCTGTTTATATTTAGTATTTACGGACACTGTCTCATTTACAGTGCTAGATTCAACGGTACCCTTGAAACTTAAATCTAATCAATAATGTTAAAAGTGTTTGTTTCTTATATTTCTCTATTGTTTCTGAAGCAAGAAATGCGCAAGTTACTTTTGCCAAAAAAAATACCAAAAATATAATTTTAAAAAATAGATATATTATTCATACTTGATTAAGCAAAACTTTTAGGTGTAACTTCGTAAATCGGACATGCCACTTTATCATCAGAGGATAAATTTTACAGTCCCTTCAAGGGTTACGAGGGTATTTTTAAAAATATAACCAAAACAAAAAATCTATTGATTTGTTTAAAAAAAGAAATTCACTGAACTAGATATTTTCTGAATTTTATTGGACTAAAAAATAGAAATCAATTACCAATCAAAACATCAGAAGAAAAAAATCATTAGAATTTGCTGGAATATATAAATTTTATTTAAATGAGTGAGCATGTTTTGTATGGGATAGTCCTGGGTTGGGTGCAGGATAGTGTGGTGTTTGTGTATGTCTCTCGTAGTGTGTGTATGTTTGCAAACTGATCTAAATCTAAGAAGGTTCTAAGAATGCTCCTGTCATATTGACTATACCGAGTCTTTATACATTTAATTCAACCAAGCTACTCCCCAGCTACTCATTTATGGTACAGACACACTCATTTAATAAGGACTATAGAATAAAGGAGTGGGCTCATCAAGTCTTAAATGGTTTAAAATTTGAAATTATGCTTCAATTGCTGGTTTCAAAGTAAGACAGACAATCTAATTCTAATTTGAGGGACTGGGCTTCCAAGAGTTTAAAATTATCCACGAGAAAGATAAATGAGTTCAGTTTGCGCCAAATTTTGTGAAAAAAAAAACTACTCGTTATTTCATTATTTAAATCTAAACTTAGAAGCTTTTCGATTCCAACAAGTTAATCGAGTTCTTATTTTTTATCCATGCACTTTCTAAACAAATCCTGTTCAGTAAACAGTCCCTTACTTCTGAAAACAAAGCTACTTAAAGGGACTGTTCGTGTAATTTTTAGTGAGCCTTCATAAAAAGATGACAATGCTGATTCTGAACGGTACCCTTGAAACTATAATTTGATCAATAATGTGTGAGATATTGTCGTTTTCCCATAAGTTTCCCTGCAGTCACGTAGATTTGACGGTTCCATCAATATTCCAGAAAACTGTGACTTCCGATCACAATTTGAACCAATAAACTTATTTTTTTGTCGTTTTTCTTAAATGTTTTTTTTTGTCGGCATATACGTGTTGAATAAAAAAAGTAAAGAAAACAAATCCGTAAGTTAAAAGATTGTTTAATTATAGACCAAAACACGTTTGATTTCAAATAGAAAAAACCGATTGCTTGTCCGGGGTGCAGTAGAAATGCGCGGCTATCTTTCGTAAAGAAAAAATGAAAAAGGTTTCCAAATTATTAACATTGATATCTAATTTATACTCGATCCGACAAAGTTTTTAATGATAGGATTCTAAATCGGGCAATTGCCTTCTTTGCAAGAAGGGTGATTTGAAGTTAAAAATAAAAAATACCTTAATCGTGGTTTTGAGTTGTCTCATCTCATCCGACACATTCCTTTCAGCTATATCTCTTTGCCTGATAAATAGAAACCGAATATGGCAAAAAATAGAATAACTTAAAAAGATGAAAATTAAGTCCCAGGAATTCTAAATAATACAAAACTTTATTTAAGTCACATTCATTCTTGGGATTTTAATTTTATGAAATTAGGTCTTTGTTCCCCATTCAGCCATTTTTTTTATGAATTCCCTTGAGAAAATTGATCATAAAAATGCAAAAGGGGACAAATAAGAACAAAAGCGTAAAGGAGTTGATTTTTTGCCACAAACTCTGATTTTCTAATCTCTATATCTTTGTAACCCAATGTCGTAGACCTTAGATATTTCAAAATATTAATACTTATAGATAAAATAGTCTAAGTTTGAAATATGAAAGGTTTGCACCTTAAGATTTCAAAGATATTGGAATCAGAAGATTTTAGTTTGTGGCAAAAATTCAATTCCTTTTAAAGATAATAAATTTCCTCTTTCTTAAACCATTTCGTTTAATTAAACTTTATTCCCCTGAAACTGAATAATTTTATTCGTATTTTTATCTTTCTCTTTGATCTAATAAAGTGTGACATGTTTGAATGAACAGTCTTCTGAAGAATAAAAAAAATTAAGATCTATGCAGATTGTTAGAGAGTTATCAAGGTAGGAAGAGAGAGAAGTAAGATTAAATAAATATATATACATACAACACGACACTTCAACAATAGGCTGGATATTCATATATGGAAGATAAAGACTCAGGTATACAGATAGTCGGGTAGATAACACAAAACAGACATAGATATATACAGACCAAAACATTCAACTTTCAAATTGCAGAATTGAATAGACATATACGTTAACGTTTATAGATAAACTGTTCTAGTTATGCACGCAAAACACTAAATTTGACAAGCATAGAGCGAATGTTAATGGTTGTATTATTTCGAGTAAACATGGAACTATTGGAAAGGAAATATGTTCCCATTCTTTTTGTAGTTTTGGCGCATTTTTGGAAAGTTTTAGCTTGAAATTAATGCCTTTACTCAAAGTCAAATGTTTTTATTGATTGCTGGTTTTACCTAATTTAAAACAGCTTTGGTCACTAAAGATGTTATGCATCTAATGTACAATGTATAAAGGTTTTAAAAATAGAATTGAAAGTAAATATATGGGATAGCTGCAATAATTAGAAGTTATCTATTCTTTGATAGGTCGGAATTTTTGTATTGTCTCAACTCAATTATGCATAACAGCAAAGTTTGTTTTATTTCCGACTAATCGCTGAAACCGACAAAAACAACTGACACTCATTTCCCCGATTAGATTATTTCTGAAGGGATTAACACTACAAAAGTACCTACGTCAGATCAAAAAAAATATTTCTTATAAACATGAATAAAATTAACCTGAGCTGTAAGTCTAGCCGGTCAGACAGGGTTACTCGGTCCGTTTTGAAGGCAAGGGACAGAGAACAGAACTTACTCTAAAAAATATGTTTTTACCAAATTTATTTGTTGAATAATTGCAAAGTTAGGTTGTACCGTCAGTTTTACTTTTGTAGGTAATGAATACTCTCCAGTTTTAGCAGTGTATGTTCGATAACCAAGATTAAAACCTATAACTATCACGGATGTCGGAGATATCCTAAGTTTTAATATATAAAATAAATTGTTGATTACAATTACATGCGCTGCGGATAAAATACATGTCAATTACAACCTCATATCCTAGAATCTATCCTGACTTTAGAATGCAGTTTAGGTTTTTTTATACCGGATAAAACTTGATTGTGAAGACATTAGACAATGTTGATCTTTGACAGATATACAATATACTGCACTGTGTGACGTGGGGACATGTCGTGGTTAAGAATTTGTTTAACATATTGGAATCCAGAGGAATCGTGATCTAAGATATTTTAAAATCACATATTTCTGGCAAACTTTACAGTTCTTCGTTTGTAAACTTTACTTTTTAGGGGTTTAACTAGTGTTGAAATGATAAATTTAATATGACCAACCTCTATATCTTGTTCAGATAGTTGATCCATACTGAAATATATAAACTTGATTAGATATACTTTTTAATTTTAAACTTTTTTTAAAAACTTTTTAAAGGTTTGCTTTCTAGTGCAGTGGTCCTTAACATGATGATGTATAAAAAAGTTTGAAGTTTGCAGGTTCAAACATATCAAATTAATAATAGCAGTTTTTTGGAAGGTTTGACTCCCCAAAATAGAAAAATTTTAACAATTTCAAATAAATCAAAATTGTTGATTTTAAAGGTTAAAAAAACTTTTTTCCTTTTCGGTTTTGTTTTAGCGTTGTTACATATTTTGTTAGAGTAAAATTTTTACAAAGTTCATCGAAAGCAAACAGAGATATAGGAGTTGGAAAACGTTCCAACCCCTATATCTCTTAAACTTAAATTAATTTTTCTAACGGAATTCATAGTTTACAATATTTAGGATTTACGACATTTGGTTGCAAAGACATAGGGATAAGACAATCCAAGTTTGTGACAATAACTAAAAATTGTGTGAAGATTCTGAAAAGCAAAAAAGCTGATTGCATATAAATAGCATATTAACCATAATTTTCACAAACATTCCCTTTAGTCATAACTATTTACCTGATTCCTCCATTCTGTGATAACCCTAGTTCCTGGAGGAATATATCTGGTAGTGAAGGGAAGCTACGGAGCTGTTTACCAGGGGTTGGGCCAGGTTTCAGGATTCCTGGAATACACAGAGTATAAAGACGATCCACTAGAATGCATATTTAATGACGACCTTTTTCTTATAAACTTTATTGCAGGGGATATTAGTTCCAAGACTAACACTTGGCCCATTTCTAACACTCAGTATTAGAAATGGGCCAAGTGTTAGTTTTGGAACTAATATCCCCTGTATTGAGATTACAGGATAGTTCGATTAACAATATCTTATTTTTGGAATAAAAAATGTACACATAAAAACTGAGAAATTGAAAACTTTCAAATATTATATGACGACAGCTGATCTATATACTAGGGTTGCAACAATCTTGAGTATCTTGTGTGTTTTTCTCCGAGAGAAAAATAAGATTATTTTATTGGATGAGCTTGGTATTTAATTCATAATCCATAAAAATTAGCTTTATGTAAATTAATAATTCAATTTACTATGTAAAACTTATTACTTATAAGCCAAATCTATTTTTTATTTGTCAAAAAGTTGTAAAAAAGTGCTGGACATTGTTATAAAAGTGAATTACGTGATGCATAAAAGATATTTTTTTTTAATGACAAGTATGATGTAATCCAAAAGTACTCTTTTCCATTATAAACCACTAGCTTTAAAAGTTTCAACCCCGTCGTTATTTCTTCGCAATGCAAAAATATTTGCTTTTTTATGAAGCATGCTTGTGCGCGTAATTTAATGTGTAATTAAGTTGATTATATGTCAGCATGTGTTTAATTGGTATTTTAATAGAATACTTTATTATCAGAAGATTAGATAAGAAAGAAAAAACTCTTTATCAAAATCTTACGCATTATGCAATATACAAACATGTATACAAACATTGTATCCTTTTTTTGTAGGCTTTTCAAAAAAGAAAGTTTTAGATCTATTCTATTTGTTTTAGATCTATTCTATTTGTTTTAGATCTATTCTATTTGTTTTAGATCTATTGCTATCTATAATTCAAATTCTTAATCCTTAACTTTTATATGTTCCCTTTTATAAAGCATTTATTAAAGTCATCTAATCTAAAACTTGTATACACAAGGTTCTAAATCTAATCCTAATACTACATAAAATAGCACGCAAACTCAAAATTTGGGTTTTATTTCAGAGAAACTACTTAACGGCGAAAATTTCTATTGACAATTAACAATTAACGATTAGATCTCTGTTATCATTTCACTTCTTTAGATTTTTCATTGATTCTTTTGTTTAAAGATTAAAAGTATCTCTAGTTAAAAACTTAAGTTTGAAGGATACGGAATAAAAAACATAAACATCTTTAAGATGATATTTTGACTACATGGAGGCCAGAGAACTTATTTAAAACCACCTTCATTTTTCCTTAATTAAAAAAGTTAACCTCGTCTGTCCTCCCGCTCCCTGAACTTCCGTCTATATACTTCACTCCATAATTTCTTAAGCCTGAGTTCTTCGAGTAACCGTAAAAGGTGAACAACGATAAAAAGCGATTAAACCTCAGAATTTAGTAGAAATATAATAACTATTTGATTATCTAACTTCAGGCCTTTCCAGAGAAGATTCATCGGGAACCTTTTTTTAAAGCAGCCCTGATGGAGTTTACGTTCTTCCTAGAAACTGCAATACGCTTTTTTACAGCAGCCCTAAGGGAATTTACGTTCTTCCCAGAGTACGCTTTTTACAGCAGCCCTAAGGGAGTTTACGTTCTTCCCAGAAACTGCAGTACGCTTTTTTACTTTAAACGCAAAAATCATACCTTCAAACAAAAGATGCATTAAAAGACATATCGACTTAAAATTATATTACGTAGAACATTCGCAACCAGTTAGAAATTATTACATTATATAAATTAGACATTGTATTTGGCCTAAGATTTTTTATTGAAGATAGAAATATTTTTTTATTTGGACAAAATTTAATAAGAATAAGAATAGCAAATTGAAAATATTTCTGCACAATGAAGCAGGTGCAAAAAAGTTTCTCGCAAAAGTATTTTATATCTCAATTATTGCACATGCATAATTAAACCTGGCAATAAACTTGGATATAAATGTTTAGACCATTTGTAAAGATAAAGATCTAATAAAACCATTAAAGCAACATGGTTTGGCTAGATTCGTCTTACAGAAACTTTTAATATTTTTAAACTTTTTAAAGGTTTTACTTCAATCTGAGAAGAGAATTGTAATCTTTAGAAGTTTGCTTTCATCAAACATGCAAATTTGTTATCCTGAAAACATATAAGGCAAAAACGAACCAAAAACTATCCTTAATTAAAAAAAACACAAAAACGATCCGTTTAAAAACGATCGTTTTTGCCTTATATTTTCTTCTAGGATGAAAAATTTGCCTGTTTGACAAAAGAAAACTTCTACAAAATCAAGTTTCTAAAATGTTGGAACCTTCTCATAATGTCGTAAAATCTTTTAAAAGTCTAAACAGATTAAAAGTTTATTTTAAACGAATCTAGCTATTGCCTTTCCTAATGGAATGGCATGATCAATTAAACGCTTTCTTTACTTTTACAAGCGGTATGATAAGCTCTTTTTCAACCATAAAAGAGGGGAAAAAATTTATTTTTTCTTGAGTTTTTAAACAGTGACATTTTAAAAGGTATGCGCTATTAAAATATAATACTATTGCAATAATGTATTTTTCATGTTTTAATAAAACTAAAAAGAGTGTGTCTATCTTCTAAGTTAAGGATCTGTCAATATATTAATTAGTTGTATACTAATATATCCTATTAACTCAGGACGGATCATCTAAACATCGTGCTCAGGTTTACAAGTAAAACACTTTAATATTGGTTCAACAGCTCCGAGCTATAGTCTTCAAAATACTAAACTAAACCAAATAAACACAGACAAAGATGGCGTGTAAATCAAATTGGGTTGATGGAATATTGAAAAAATATTTACCTACAATTTCTTTTCTCCCCGAAAACCCTTCTTTCCTGAAATAAAAAAAAAACTTGATTAGGTTTTATTATTTTAAACATAAAATAATTATTCTGTATTCTTGATCCACTAACCTGGTATGTCTATGTTTATGTAATGGATTCCTGATCCACTAACCTGATATGTCTGTGTTTATGTTCTGTATTCTTGATCCACTAACCTGATATGTCTATGTTTATGTTCTGTATTCTTGATCCACTAACCTGATATGTCTGTGTTTATGTTCTGTATTCTTGATCCACTAACCTGATACGTCTATGTTTATGTTCTGTATTCTTGATCGATTATCCTGATGTGTCTGTGTTTATGTTCTGTATTCTTGATCCATTAACCTAATATGTCTATGTTTATGTTCTGTATTCTTGATCCACTAACGTGATATGTCTATGTTTATGTTCTGTATTCTTGATCCATTAACCTGATATGTCTGTGTTTATGTTCTGTATTCTTGATCCATTAACATGGTATGTATATGTTTATGTTCTGTATTCTTGATCCATTAACCTGATATGTCTGTGTTTATGTTCTGTATTCTCGATCCATTAACATGGTATGTCTATGAATATGTTCTTTATTCTTGATCCATTAACCTGATATGTCTATGTCTATGTTCTGTATTCTTTATCCACTAACCTGATATGTCTCTGTTTATGTTCTGTATTCTTGATACACTAACCTGATATGTTTATGTTTATGTTCTGTATTCTTGATCCACTAACCTGATATGTCTAATATCTATGTTTATGTTCTGTATTCTTGATCCACTAACCTGATATGTCTATGTTTATATGGCCGATCAGCTGATTTTTCTCCTTCACTGTTTGTATCAGATGCTTCATGAATCTCAATATTCTCATGAATCTGTACATGCTTCTCAGGGGCTCTTTCTAGTCTACAATCATTATCAGTATTTGTATCATCTTCTTTATCCTCCTCCTCATCTTCCTCCTCATTAGTATCCTCCTCCTTCTCCTCCTTATACATTTCTTTCTCCGTTTTTTCTTTATTATTCTTCCCATTGTCCATGAATGTATAAATATCTGTGTCACCAAAATCTAATTTGCTTTTAAAATCATTCGTCTTCATGTTTTTCTTATTTCTATCTCCAACCTTGCAGACAGTATTCATCTCATTATCTTCTCCTTCGTCCTTTTCTCTTATTTTCATGATGGTTTTAAAAACAACAGTTTGGTCACTGATCAGCTCCATTTCACTATTTTCTTGTTCAATTATCTGGTCCTCTTCATTTGTTTCTTTACAACAATCACTACTCATTTCATCTGAAGTCAGTATCTCGTAAATTTTGTAATTTAAGAATCTTCACAAACACAAATCATCATACAAATATCCTTATTTACAGCCAGTGATTTAGGAAGCATAAAATTACACTCATTGAAACTTGAAACTATGCTTACAGGTTTAATTATTCTATTGGTTTTAAACCTATTAAAAGATTTATTACTTTATTACGCAGGATTGAATCACATTTCATTTGAATTGCAGGATCGTTGTTGATTCATTGTACAAAGAATTACCTCCATTTTTTGTGTAGATACTACGGGATGAAACTTCAAAGAAGACTTTGTATACAGGAATTATAATGTCTGTTTTTTCTTATATTCATGATTCCTTGCAACCATAAACTTGTTTCTCTCTTTTTTCAATCTTTTAATAAGTCAGAATAAGACTATAGTCATGGCAGAAAATTTAATTTAACCTGTGGATCGTTGTTTTTTAAGAGTTTCAGGTCGTATTTACAGCCTAGGATTGCAGAGCTCTGGACGGGCAAAGGGAGGCAAGAAAAAGAGAAACTGCAGACGTGCAGATGGATAAAGGAGAAAAAATATGAACATTTGAAATTATTAACTATGCCTCGAACCATTTTATTTTACAAAAATATAAAAAATGAATTGTAAAAACATTGTTAAAAAACAGTCTCATTCTTTGTGGGTAACCTTGTATATCTTATATTTCTAATCTACAAGAATAAATTCTTAAAACTAAAACCTTGAATTTTTAAAGATGCAATCTATTTTTCAAAGCATAATTTGTTGTCAAAAAAATATGCTTTCCACCAGATCAATGAAAATCTGATTTGCAGAATTTTGCAAGACAGGATACTGTCCCAACTTGAATTTATTATCAAGGTACTTGAAGACGGTCTCCAGCAGTGGGGTTAATATTAAAGCATTATTCTAACAGTTCCTTCGGTTTCTTTAGAATTAATAATTGCTGATGTTTTCTTAAATAATTTCTCTAAAGGAATTGAGTCTTTGTCACAAACTATGATTTTCTAATCTCTATATCTTTGTAATCCAATGCCGTAGGCCTTAGATATTTCAAACTATAAATTCTGTTAGATGAAAAATCTAAGTTTGAAATATCAAAGGTTTACAGCATCAGGTGGAAAAAATATAGGTATCAGAAAATCAGAGTTTGTTACAAAGACTCAATTCCTTTCTTCTAAAGAAGACAAAAAAGTTTATAAATGTTAATAATTTTATTCGTTAATATTCTTTGACAATCCTACTGAGCTAACTATTATTTTATAAATCATACCGTAGGACCAGAAACCATTTAGTTTAACTTGTGTAAAACCAAAATAATATAATAAATACAGAATCAAATCCTCAATTATAATTTATCATTTTGGTGTGAGGTGTGATGGGTATAATCAGCAGCAGGCAGTGAATTATTAAATTATCCGATGTTTAATGGATCCTAAATTGTTTTGAAAACCCTACAGGATGTTTCTAAAAAATATTGAAATATTGAGGGAAAATATGCATGAAGCACTAGAGCAAAATCTAAAACTAGAACAACTTGTTTCAGATGGTGTTAAATAAGTAATGCAAAGCGTGGAAAACATTGGCCAAAAATCTTGGCTTTTATCACCAATTTAGTTTTTCAGATACACCCTGTAAACTTGGAATAGCATCCTTACTCCTTAGTTAATATCTACCTTAAGTTTAGCTCGCATCCACCATATCATTATGAAATATATCTGTTTGTATATTTAATACAAATCATGTTTAATCTACTCATAATTCTGAATGAAGAGATAGAGATGATCTAAAATATGCATATTTGGTTCAATATCATACATTTCTTATTCATTTCTAAGATATGCACTAATATACCCCTCTCTCATTATTCAAATAAATTTTTAGATTTATATCGAAAAATTTAAAAATGTTTGTTTTTTGTTTGTGATGGAGCGTTTTCCCAGTAAAAACCATTTGCAAGTAGTGGTTGGCATTGACTTGCTTTCTTTTGGTTTTCAGAATTTTAAAAGTTGTAAACTTGCGAAGATTCCAACATTTCAAAATTATGTTCTGTTTTCTAAAACTATGTGAAAATGGTATCCTCCGAGAAAATTTAAAGAAAAAACGAACCCGAAGTCTTCAAATTGCCCTTTGTGAACTTAAAGACCATTCTATGCATAGCAAAAATAAAATCAGTTATATTTTTCTAATAGAATGTAATGTTGTTATTATGACGTAATTGAAAGTGATTCCGATTCCACATATCCACTTTTGATATAAAAATCTCAAATAATTATCAATCAAAAAAATCAATCAATCGGAATCGCTGTTTAAACTCAAATGTTGTAATCACTGTATCTTTGCAAACTGATAGTGTATACCATTGATACTTAAAAGAAATTGAATCTTTGACTCAAGCTCCCTTATATCTCTGCAACCTTTAAATCTTTGATATTTAGCTTAAACAAAACTTAGCAAAAAATGTGTGGCTTTCGATAAGGATTTGAAGAACTTAGTCGTTGATGTTACTCATCTTATTCAAAATTAAGTTTACAGTCACTTTAAGTTTTTTGTCTTGTAATATTCTCTTATGAACATCCTTAATCAATAATGAAACTCGTGCTGCTTAAAATCATAATTTGTTAAATAAATGATGATCTAATATGGATATAAATATTGCAATATAAAAGATAAATCGTAAAAGGCCTAGACTAATGTTACAAAACCGTAGCTCCACCTACCCCCCACCCCACCCCCTGTTAGGTCTGGGCAAAGTTCTGTTCACAAAACGGAGGTTTTTCATAATTAACTGAAGAGTTCGAAAATGGCCGTTTTAGAAAGCTTTCGTTCCTTCGACTCATACCGAAGAACATAGCGTCCATACACATTCGGAAAGATGCAACATTCAACTCGGATCGTAAACAAATCAATTTAATTCCAAAACAAATCATTCAGATATTACAAACAGTAGTCATCGATTATTTTTCGACGCATTCTTATATATTTCATAATATTTTTGATTTTTTTTTTATTAATTTTCGCTGGCGCTGGATTTTTAAACATTCCTGGAAAATATGAAAATTTCGTCTGCATTATCAAAAATCCTCGAAACAGGAATAAATGTTTTCAAAAGTAACTCTCAGATCATGAAAAATACAAAATATTATGAAATATCAACTATTTACGAATTTTTAACAATTTTCTCCTTATAAACGCAACAGATAGAAGTAAGATTAGTAGCGATCAAAAGCGCTTTTTTATCGCATTGCGTGTTTTGATGTTTTTTAATTTTCCAGGTATTTTTACATGAATAACGGCTCGTAAACGACTGTCATCGTTAAAGATTTCTGAAATATCTGTCGATAACGCCGTTAATAATTTTGAGATCTTAAACGAACGGTAGCTTTTAAAAATAACTGAAAATACCTTTAACGAAACGAACGTTCCATTTTTAGAAAACAAGCAAAAGGCTATTTGAAAACGGTTTTAACTAACCATTGACGAAAGGCTTAAAAAAAAGAGAGAACGTGCCCAGCTCTACAATATATATAGAACTGAATTTGTTTCCCCTGAAATCTATATAAATTCTCTGGACATCCCCATCAAGCACGATACACGCACACACACACACCAATATAATCAAATATTTGTTGAGATGACTTCCCTGTTCTATCTGGAACCTTGACAACGACATGAGGACTAGACAAATCAGATTTGTCGTTCAGGACGTCACCGTCCCCGTCCTTAGCATCTTTGTTCGAAGGATAGTCGTTGGCGTTGTCTTTTGAAAATTCTTTATTTTCTGTCACTAGTTTAATACTTGAACTCAAAACTTTACAATCACTGATTTCACTGTGTTGAAAACTCTCCGAGATTTGGTGAATTTCCTGGTTCACATTTCCTAGATTTTTATGTACATCAGATTGTACATCTGCCTCCATCTTATAATTAAAACCTGAAATAATGTTCCGTGAGGTTAATTTATTGTTGTGTCACTAAAAAAAGATTAATCCGTCATTCAATTCAATTCTCAATTATTTTTACCAAATAATTTAAATTTTCAATAAAATAAAAATATTTCAATGATCAAATTAAACCAAAGATTTTACTTATTGAAAAACTTACAATGGGTAATTGAAAAGTGCAGAAAAAATGACAATTAGATAAATATGCTAGTTATGCATTTTTAATTTTTTCTGGAATTGAAGCAATTAAAGATGATCTGTTGCAAATTGACCAAAAGGCAACAGCATTTTTTAACGATCCTTCAAAGAAAGATTTAAGATTTAAAAACTAAATGAAAAGATTGATGACAGTGTTGACATGCTCATTGACCGACCTTTCGTGCGTGCACCGAGATAGCTCGCTAAGAAGCCGTGTAACGCGCGCACCTCCCACTGCGCTCAACAGCCAACTGAAGAGTAACTTAGTGGCGGGCAAAGACGCGCGGAGACGGGTTAAGTACGTGTGCACAAATACCCCCCCCCCCCCCCCCATCCATCTCGGCATTCCCTAGTCTAATTTTAGCATGAAGTAAACCGTATGGATGGATAATGATATATCCAATTATCTAATTTCCATACAACGAATACAACTGATGCTTTGAAATATCTGAAAAGAAAATTTGACATATTTTGGAGTATATATATATATGCATTATTTACATCTGGTTGGAAATAGCTTTTGTTAGGATTTTTGGGGTCTAGAACATTTACTTTTAGAAATTATTTATCGTGATTTTAAATTGTTGTATGTGAAAAGGGAAAATAGATATGAAAGATTAACTAAGGACAATGTGATCTCACAAGCTAGCAAAAAAACATGAATTTTAAAACAAATTGTGAACAGCAATATATATTCCTTTGTACTAGTGCTGCATACTTTTTATGCATAGAGCTTGATATCATCAAAAATTAAGGAAATGCAAAAATTTCAATTTTCTTATCCCTATATATTTGCAGGCTGATACTGAACAAGTTTGTTAATATCTCAAACTTGTACAAGTTGATCATGTTTGAAATATCAAAGGTCTACGACATCAGGTTGCAAAGATAAAAGGATTTGAACATTATAATTTGTGACCAGTTCCTTTCCAGTTGTGCAAAATTTGCTTATGATATTTATAAAAATATAGTAATTCGATATAATATTTTACACCAAAAATTTAAATTTTAAAGGGAGTGTTCGCGAAAATGAAAGGGGTTATAGGCTTACGGCGAAAAATAATAGCTTTTGATCGCTACTAATCTGACTGCTATCTGTTGCGTCTATTAGGAGAAAATTATTAAAAACGACTTGTACTGAAGAACGTAGAATCCATGCAAATTCAGCAAGTTGCAATATACAACTCGGATCGTAAAAAAATTTATTTATTTTAAAACAAATTATCCAGATATTACAATCTAAAGTCATCGAATTTTTTCCAACACATTCATGTATAGGTAAAATTGCATAATATTTTTTATTTGTTTTGTATACAAAACAGTTCTTAACTTCTTTGTTCACATCTAAAATTGAGATTATCTATTCGCAATGTGCAGTATATTTTAGACAAGAATAGAACTATGGGATTTAAAATCAAATGATAATAGTTTCAAGGACTGCTGCAGATTGTACAATGTGTAAGCGTATACATAAATGTGTGTTTAATATATAGAGAGAGGGTTGTACGTAAGGATAAGAAGGGGGGGGGGGCAGGTTTAGAAGAAGGGTTGTATTTAAACTGGGAGACTGAAAGGTATGACATATGCTGTAATGTTGCTAACCAATGTCAGTGTAATTATCATAATTATCTATTTGAACAGATCTGAATTACAATCACAATAATTTGCACGTATGGCGAATAAACAATTTAAAACAGATTTGACGCATGAGAAGAAACTGATTGTTTCAATATCTATGCCCCCACTCCCCCGGCCCCACCTGAAAACAAGTATAATGAGAATAAAAAGCGTACATGACTGAAGATCGAGCGAAGATATTTGGACCGAAGACGATGGGTTTACGGTCCGCCCACTAATTTGGGATCATTTAGGGGCTGGACAAATTGGCAGGTTTTTATACACAAGGATTTTATATTGTAATTTACAGGGATTTAACAAATATTTATAAATAAAATATAAAAGATACAAAAAAATTTAAGATTCAATTTAAAGAGAGTTCTAAATTAGTTTAAAGAATAAAGCTTTTGCAAAACTTTGGAGGATTTTTTGAGATTACACGAGCAACTAATTTATGGTAAATTTTTAGGGTAAATACATTTACATACATATATATATATATATATATTATATGTATATTTATATATTTATGAATGATGTTTGTAACATCACATAGACTCATAGCTCAATTTTAAACTGTTGGCATTGAGCTCACACAGTTCAAGTTCAACTCAGCTCAATAAATAATATGACTTGATTCAGAACATAAAAGCATTGAAGCTCTAACCAACCCGGAGTATATAATATAAATAAAAATAAAGATGTAGCATGCATACTTAGTTTGTTTCAGTATAACCAATGCAAAAAAAAATCCCATTAATGCGTCTAAGCTGTGTGTCTCTAGATAGTTAATTTAGTTGATACTTGCAGGATTACAGGCTTATTGTATACCGTCATCTATACACACCAGGCAAGAGGAACCATTCATACAATATGTAGCAGCAGCTGGGTTTAGCAGCTACTCAGTAGCAGCACCTATATTATACAGCTACTCAGTAGCAGCACCTATGCTATACAGCTACTCAGTAACAGCATATATACAACTATCAGTAGCAGCACCTATATACAGCTACTCAGTAGCAGTAGCTGGGGTAAGCATCTACTCCGTAGCAGCACCTATATTATACAGCTAATCAGTAGCAGCACCTATGCTATACAGCTACTCAGTAGCAGAACCTATAATATACAGCTACTTAGTAGCAGCACTTGGGTTAAACCGCTTCTCCAAAGCACCACCTGTGTTTACAGCTACTCTGTAGCAGCATCTTAGTTAAACAGTTAAATAGTAGTAGCATCCGGGATGAAGAGTTACAAGATGAGTAAGAGTTACTATATAATACGGATGAAGAGCTATTATATGCAGGATGAGTATAAGTTCAAATCTATTAGAAATGAAGAGCTACAGTATACAGGATGAGTAAGAGCTCCAATCTATTAGGGATGAAGATATATAATATGCAGGAGGAGTAAGAGTTCCTATTCTATTTGGAATGAAGAACTACTATATAAAGGATTGAGTAAGTGTATCTATATAGGATGAGTAAGAGTACCTATTTATAAGGAATGAAGAGCTAATGTTTAAGTAGAGTCGAGTAAAAGAGAACCTAATTCAGGATATCTGGATATCAGGATATCAGAATATCAGGATATGGATATCGGGATTTAAAAACTCTTTTAAAAACCTGTTCACGATAATATTGTTGTTGATTAGTGCTAAAGAATGTGGAACTGGAGGCTTCTTTTCCTGATTGCATGATTGACTTCTGTATTACAAGAACGAGTTAAAATGAGTAAAAAATGAGCATAGTAGACAGGCAATAGAGTGCAAGGATTTTTGTAATTTATTTAGTTTGATAGCTGGTTCCAATGATACCGTATGTATACAGTTACTTTAGTTTAAAGGGACTATAAGTCGGATTAAAAGTTACACTCCATTCATAGAGTAAAATATGAGGTATCACATGTGTAACCTTTAAACCTTTGTCTGCTTCAGAATGAATGAGATTTCCTTTGAATTCTATCAAAAAAGGACAGGTTCTGGACACCATAGAAAGGATAAGACCCATATATGATGAAAGGATAGAAAGGAAGGGTGTTGTGGAAAGGATAGTATCTGGTTGTTGTGTTCCAATCATACTATAGAAAGGATAGAATCCGGCGGATTGCTGTGTTCCAATAATTCTATAGAAAGGATGGAACCTTGAGGGTTTTTGTGTTCTAATGATACTATAGAAAGGATAGGACCTGACGGGTTGTTGTTTTCCAATGATACTATAGAAGGGATAGGACCTGGAGGGTTGTTGTGCTCCAATGATACTATAGAAAGGATAGAACCTGGAGGGTTGTTGTGTTCCAATGATACTATAGAAAGGATCGGACCTGATGTGTTGTTGTTTTATAATGATACTATAGAAGGGATAGGACTGATGGGTTGTTGTTTTCTAATGATACTATAGAAGGGATAGGACCTGGAGGGTTGTTGTGTTCCAATGATGCTATAGAAGGGATATAACCTGGAGGATTTTTGTGTTCCAATGATTCTATAGAAAGGATAGAACCTAAAGGGTTGTTGTGGTCTAATGAACCTATAGAAAGAATAGTATCTGGAGCGTTGTTATTTTCCATTGATACTATAGAAGGGATAGGACCTTGAGGATTGTTGTTTTCCAATGATATTATAGAAGGGATAGAACCTGGAGGATTGTTGTGCTCCAATGATACTACAGAAGGGATAGGACCTGGAGGGTTATTGTGTTCCAATAATACAATATAAAGGATAGATTCTTAAGGGTTATTGTGTTCCAATGAATCTATGGAAAGAACAGGGCCTTTAAAGCTGTTGTTTTTCGATGATACTATAGAAAGGATATGACCTGGAGGGTTCCTTGTTCCAACGATACTGTAGAAAGGATATGACCTGGAGGTTTAGAGTGAGGCTTTAAATAGATGAATTATGAATAAATTAAATACAATTCTTGGATTTTACGATCTTTATAAAAAGATAATTTCATTAATACCTTCCTCTTGGATCTCTATCTTCCACTTTATGCAAAAATAACAACTGTTTTTAAAACAACGAAGGTGTCAAAAAGTGTCTGAGTAAGGTTCTGAGGTGAATGTAAAAAATTAAAAGAAAACTTCGTGTAAATCTGACATTTACTATTTTTGCACGCAAAGTACGCGGTTTCCACCACAAAGCTTAAAGTGCTTAAATTCTATATCAAAAGATAATGAATATCATAACAACGAAATTTCTTAAAACTCTTTTCCTGTTTATTTTGCATGTTAACTGAATGAATATCTTTAACTTTTTTTGTATAAAATCATTAAAATATTAAATTACCTGAACCGCTTCAGAAGCACAAACTTTTCAACCATCATTGGATTAGAAAATATAATAATCGTCACATATGTTTAATATTTCCATCCATCGGATTGCTGTGCAACTAAATGTAAACAATTGGTTTCACTGAAAGCATATATATATGTATGTGATCCTACAGTAGAGTATATAGAGTTTTAACTGTTGAAACTAAACTGCTAGGGTTTTTATTACAACAGGTGATTCAGCTGTATATTCACCTATATATATATGTAGATATATTTTGTATAATATCATATAGTCAAAGAAATTAAAAACTCAAAAGGCTGTGGAGGGGATCGGGGTATTCTGCTGCCCCCCCCCCCTCCAACTTTACACGAAATCAAATTATTGAGAGGCAATATGCATGTGTTCAACGCCAGGATTTTTTTTTTTTCAGAAATCAAAGTTCAATAATTAAGATCCCGGGAGAACTCAAAATTAATTTTCCAGGTTCTAAAAATTCTTCTTTACCCATTTTATAAGGTTTTTCAATTATGTACATTTTAGGCTATTTAAATAGTAGTTTATAGTATATTTATACAATAATATTTAAATATATTTGAAACAGGCATTCTTATTTTAACGATAAGGTATTTTCTTTTTAAATGATCCACTAATAAACTTATTCACTTTTAAAGCAATTAATAGTTGTTAAAAAACATGTTATGCATAGGGTAGGGTGAAGGAAGTTCGGTGTTGATAAAAAAATCAGAAAATAACGTTTTTTATTGATTAAGCTACAGACCTAAACTTTAATAGAAAAGCCCTTGAAAAATGGATAAATTAATATGTCACATGTCAATATTTTTCATACTCCCCTATCTGGACTCTAAGGGCAAAATCAAAGTAAATTCAATCTAAAGTCTAACCGCGTCAACCTTGTTGCACCGGCTAGACCTATTGAGTGTCTGCATTATTTATCCGATGTCCGGGCGATACAGTACAAACTGGGACCGGAAAGGTTGACCCGGCTCGGAAATTCAAATGTACTCCGCTGCCTGTTGATCTGAATAGGGTTAAACCTAGATGGAATGTTGAGGAAGAGTATAACAAGACCACAAACTGACAACATAATAATTTATAAAAACTGCAATATCATGAAAATATAAAATACATCATATAATTACATTTTTGATAAATATGTCTGCCGGAAATTTTTAAATGCCTGGAGTAAAATATCCTTATTCTCTCCTTATCTGGCGGTTAGATTATCCACATTAGATAAGAAGATTTTACCCATATATTCTGGCGGTCAGATTATCCACATTAGTTAAAAAGATTTTACCCATAAGTTTATCGCCGTAAGTTTATCGCTAAATTTAATTAATGTTTGGGGTAAATACAGTTTGTACAGTGCTAATGACAACAGAGGCGCAACTAGGAGGGTGCGCGCCCGGCCGCCCCCCCTCTAGTTGCGCCTCTGAATGACAAACTATTAAAAGGAATGTAAACTGTACAGTGCTGATGAAAACTATTAAAAGCCGTACACTGTCCAGTGCTAATGAAAACTGTTTAAGAGACTGTACACTGTGACAGTGCTTATGAAAAACTATTAAAAGGACTGTACACTGTGACAGTGCTAATGAAAACTATTAAAGGGACTGTACACTGTACAGTGCTTATGAAATCTATTAAAAGGACTGTACACTGTACAATGCTAATGAAAAACTATTAAAAGGACTGTACACTGTACAGTGCTAATGAAAACTATTAAAGGGACTGTACACTGTACAATGCTAATGAAAAACTATTAAAAGGACTGTCGACGAAATTTCAAGTGATCTTGAATCGTTACATGTTCGATTCACATTGGACGCTGTAAACCTTTATATATACATTTAGAAATTATTTACTTCTGATAATTTTTGTCCCGTGGTTTCTTCAGCAGACATGTCATTAAATTTTTAGGAAAAAGATTGATATCTCAGTCATTCTTGATGAGATAAAGCTGTTAAGGGTTACGTTGTGAATCGGAAATTCCAGTCTATAAATGAAGACGAACTTTAAATATCGTCTACAGTCCCTTTAAATATATTTATTCATGAGACATGCAAAGACGATTTCGTTTTTTATATTATCGATAATAAAAAAGTTTTTAACGGTATTTCTAAAACAAATTCAACTTCCTCGCTCTGTTATATAGATTTTAACATATTGACATAATGAAGTGTGAATAGGTAGCACATATATGCTAATATAATTATTAAATAATAGTTAAATAAGTTCTAAAGTTTACATAATATATTGAATATATATACACCAGACAATACACTAATACAGGTTTCAGGCTTAAACAAGACAAACCTATTCAAAAATAGACAGGGGACTAGAAATACAGACAGATAGACAGAAGACCATGAGTAGACATACACACAGATAGACAGGGTACCAGGAGTAGACACACAGACTTATAGACATGGTATCGGAAGTAGACACATATACAGATAGACAGAGGATCAGGAGTAGACACACAGACAGATAGACAGGGTACCAGGAGTAGACACACAGAATTATAGACAGGGTATCGGGAGTAGACACATATACAGATAGACAGAGGATCAGAAGTAGACACACAGACAGATAGACAGGGTACCAGGAGTAGACATACAGGCAGATAGAAAGGGGACCAGGAGTAGACCCACCGACAGATAGCAGGGGACAAGGAGTAGACACATGGACAGACAGACACGAAAGCTAAAAGTACAAAACACAATACATAGAATCAGACAACATATATGTTCGAGCCTCAAATTTGAATTTAGTCTTTATTGAAGAAACAGTTAGTATAAATTCCTTAGAGCTGTCCCTGAAGTCACATCCTTTCTGGGTACCCCTGTAAATAGTAAACACAATAAAACACAAAAAATTCAGGCTACACATAACGAAATAGTAATTTAACAATACACATCAAACATGCAATAAAAATAACAAAAAATCTCACATAACAAATACATAAAGGAATTGAGTCTTTGGAACAAAATCAAATTTTTAAACCACAATATCTTTAGAAATCGATGTTGTAAACCTTTGATATTTCAAACTCAGATTACTTGATCTAACAGAATTCATAGTTTGAAATATCTAAGGTATACAACATTTGGTTCCAAAGATATTGTGATTAGAAAATCAGAGTTTGTGGCAAAGACTCAATTCCTTTATAGAAATAGACGAAAATCATGAATCCACATAAAGATAAAATTATATGATACAAATATGATACAAATATGAAACAAATATGATACAAATATGATGCAAATATGATACAAATATGATACAAATATGATGTAAATATGATACAAATATGATGCAAATAAAAAGAAAATATGATTAACATAAACACAAAGATTGCATATTATTCAAGAAAATGCGTATCCAATTGCAAGGACTGATCTTCATGATCTTGATTCCAAGTTACAGAAAATTCCTCCATTAAATTTTCTCTTTTCCTCGATTAAAGAAACATCGTGACGTTTAGTTTGAGTTTTATCTTGAGTTCATCATATATATTTCACATTCCTCCCTTAAATTTGTACACTGTTCATGGTCCATATAAACACACATAAACATTGTGGTTTCACGTTTACGTATGATGAACCTAAACTATATTCATCCAACTTTCTCTTCAGACAAATAATAATACTTATGGTTTACCCCTGGTTTAATCTCATGTTTCCAATTTGTTTTGTTTAAACCATCTATTTTGGTTTGAGCCTGTTGATCTTTAAGCTTAGGGTTAAAGATTTATGGATAACTAGCAAACATTTACCATAGAACATGGTACTAGTACATACGTACAATAAATCCTCACTTACAGTTACATGTAAGCTAGCTAGAAAATAAAAACACGAACGCTTTTCTAGTTTTCAAATAGGTATTTATTTTCCAGGGATGCAAGAAGAAATTATTTCAGTAGACAGTCAAGTAGACATTCAAGTAGACAGTTAAGTAGACAGTCAAATAGACAGTTAAGTAGACAGTCAAGTAAACAGTCAAGTAGACAGTCAAGTAGACAGTCAAGTAGACAGTCAAGTAGACAGTCAAGTAGACAGTCAAATAAACAATTAAGTAGACAGTCAAGTAGACAGTCAAGTAGACAGTCAAGTAGACAGTCAAGTAGACAGTCAAGTAGAAAGTCAAGTAGACAGTCAAGTAGACAGTCAAGTAGAAAGTCAAGTAGACAGTCAAGTAGACAGTCAAGTAGACAGTCAAGTAGACAGTCAAGTAGACAGTCAAGTAGACAGTCAAGTAGACAGCCAAGAAGACAGTCAAGTAGACATTTAAGTAGATAGTTAGGTAGATAATTAGGTAAAGAGGTAGGTAATATATTAGGTAGATATGTATGGTAAAAGTAATAAGCCTAGGTAGACACTAGACACTGTTAGAGGGAGGTAATCATGTATTTAGTTCTTACAGTGCCGAACAAATTGGTGATGAAGATGAATAGCTGAATCTGTGTACAGGGGTGAATAGCTGAATCTGTGTACAGGGGTGAATAGCTGAATCTGTGTACAGGGATGAATAGCTAAATCTGTGTACAGGGGTGAAAAGCTGAATCTGTGTACAGGGGTGAATAGCTGAATCTGTGTACAGGGGTGAAAAGCTGAATCTGTGTACAGGGGTCAATAAAATCCGCAACACGGTTGCCTCGAAATTATTATAAATAACAGTTATTAATAATAGCTGAAAATTCCGCCCAATAATTTTTAAATTGAATTTCAAATTAGCTTCTTGTGAAGGAACAAACTGAATATTGAATCTTTTTTGTATTATCTTTAAACCCCCCTGAAAAAAAATCAAGAAAATAGTTATTTAATATTCATACAGGGCTAGTGACAATGAATGATTACCAGGAATAATTTATTTTCCGACTTTTAAGTCGGATTTAGTCGGAAAAGACAAGAGACGTTTATCTAGCTGACAAATCCGACACAAATATAGAAAGTCGAAACTCCGACTTCCGGGATCAGACATGAATCGGTCATGAGTCGGCTAAATGATTTTTTCTGACCTCAGCTCAAATATTTCCTGGGCGAACCTTTAATAAACAAACTAGCGATATTATTTGGCAAAAAGGAACAAGTTTGTAAAAACAAATACTTAAAATACTCTAACCGTCGCGTCTCTGAAGTCTAAAATCAAATTTTAATTACTATAAAATATTAAGATAGCGAATTTATCTACATCAAATTTGATTTTAAAAAGAATAATACATTAATGGATACATGTTTTTTCCTCGCTTATAATTATAGCTGGCTAGTGGCGACTCCATGCATAATTTTTTGAAATTGAATTGGTAAGACGACTTTAGAAACGTTCTGCTAAATGAAATGCATTTTTATCTTTGTAGAGAGTTGAAATGTAAGAAGGAAATCTAAAGAGATCCAGGATAACAATATCTAAGGAGATCCATGATAATAATATCTTATAAGATCCATGATAATATAATATCTGAGGAAATCCATGATAATTATATCTTATAAGATCCATAATAATATAATATCTGAGGAGATCCATGATATTTAATCCTGGATCTCCTAAGAAACTAGATAATGATATCTATTGGAGATCTAGGATAATGATAACTTAGTAGATCCAGGATATTAAAATCAATATTATATAAATATACTTTGCTTGTCATGGTGTCTGTCCGTCTGTTTGTGTCCAATAAACGTCAATTAACGGCTGAACCGATTTGGCCCAAATTTTGTGTGGGACCTCACGTGGCCCCAAGGAAGGCTAATGAATGATTGAATTTTAAAAATTTGCTTCTAACAAAATTCGATTTTTGAAAATTTTTAAAATTCACGAATTTGTTTTTATAAAATCCGTGAATTTTTTTTGTTTTTGTTTTACAATGAATTCAATAAGAAAATGTTTACAATCAATAGGTTTTAACAAACAAAACTTCTGAAAAGGATAATTGGCACATGAGGAGTCTATTCTTTCGTCAATGCAGTCTTTTCTCTGAAAAGATTAGATTATTCGATACATTCTATTTTGATCTGCTCTTCCAATCCTGATGGATTTGTTGTATATCATCATAGAGTCCGGAGAAACCAAAGAACCTCGGGACATAGTTCATTCCTTTTCAGGGTCTCATACACAATACATATCAACCCTTCTTGACTTTAAATTCACAGTTCATATCCGTCCTTATTGACTCTCATACACAATACGTATACGTCCTTCCTAACTCTCATATACAATACATATTTGTCCTTCCTGACTCTCATACACAATACATATACGTCCTTCCTTCCTGACTCTCATACACAATACATATACGTCCTTCCTTCCTGACAATATTCTACTCATCCTTTCTGGCAATACTCGACTCATACTTCCTGACAATATCCTACTCATGCTTCCTGAAAGTATATTCTTCTCATCCTTCCTGACAATATTCTACTCATCCTTCCTGACAATATTCTACTCATGCTTCCTGAAAGTATATTCTTCTAATCCTTCCTGACTATATTATTCATATTCACATTACAAATATCCATCCTGACAAAAACCCTTCTCATAAGCATTCTTCCTAACAACTGTTTTCTTATATATGCTCATATATCTATATTATCTACAATAAAACTCATATGTATTTATATACATATAGCTGGCCAAACGGCTGGACCGAATGGGCTGAAATTGTTTAATTGAACCTATCGGTTTAACGCGCGTATTTTATGCATGATATTTTCTAAATATTTGATTGTTTTTAAGAAAAAATGAACGAAGAATCAAACAGAGAAGCAGAAATAAAAGAGGTGAGCACTATTCTCACTCAAAATAAAGATTCGAATAAATTCAAAAAACTGTCAACATTAAAACTAGTTTTGTTTAGACTTTTAACTTTATCTTAGAAGTTAGAACTAAATATTAAATCAAATGTTAACCAAGTTCCAATTAGTCAAAATACACCCCAGCCAAATGTGCATTCGAACCCTGTCATGACCACTACCAATCAAGGTTTAGAGGATGTTTGGTAAGGTTGACCCCATAAACTAAAAGTGTTAGAATCACTTCTGTTTATGTTGTTAAAATTGATACCTAATTAAGAGGGATTATATAAGGTGTATTATTTATTACGAGTGATAACGCATATTATCTCCCCCATAAAGAGATTATTGGAGTTTATTATGTACTAGTAATATACAAATCAAATATTTGGCCGCTGCTACCATTTTCAATAATAAACTTATTTTTCATATTTATATACAATATACATGCATATTTGGCTTGTCAATCTGATTCATAGTTGGATTGGTTTAATAAGCGTCGAAACAGCTGAACCGACTGGTGACATAGCATTACCCTATGGAATATGTAACGAAGATATTTCTTGCTGCTCCGAGAACATGGATACTTCCGCAGATATTTTAAACAGTATACGGAGATATTTGGCAGACCCCCGGTATACGGAGATATTTGGCAGACCCCCGGTATACGGAGATATTTGGCAGACCCCCGGTATACTGAGATATTACAAACCCCCGGTATACGGAGATATTACAAACCCCGGTATACGGAGATATTACAAACCCCGGTATACGGAGATATTACAAACCCTGGTATACGGAGATATTACAAACCCCGGTATACGGAGATATTACAAACCCCGCTATACGGACATATTACAACCCCTGGTATACGGAGATATTACAAACCCCCGGTATACGGAGATATTACAAACTCCGGTATACGGACATATTACAAACCCCGGTATATGGAGATATTACAAACCCCGGTATATGGAGATATTACAAACCCCCGGTATACGGAGATATTACAAACCCCGGTATATGGAGATATTACAAACCCCCGGTATACGGAGATATTACAAACCCCGGTATACGGAGATATTACAATCCCCGGTATACGGAGATATTACAAACCCCGGTATACGGAGATATTACAAACCCCGGTATACGGACATATTACAAACCCCGGTATACGGAGATATTACAAACCCCCGGTATACGGAGATATTACAAACTCCGGTATACGGACATATTACAAACCCCGGTATATGGAGATATTACAAACCCCGGTATATGGAGATATTACAAACCCCCGGTATACGGAGATATTACAAACCCCCGGTATAAGGAGATATTACAAACCCCCGGTATAAGGAGATATTACAAACCTCCGGTATACGGAGATATTACAAACCCCCGGTATACGGAGATATTACAAACCCCTGGTATACGGAGATATTACAAACCCCCGGTATACGGAAATATTACAAACCCCTAGTATACGGAGATATTTGGCAGACCCCATATTTGTGGAGAGATATTTCAGAAATTTCAGATTTATTCTTCTAAACTTGCTCTAGCATAACCTTTAGGCGGATATTAAAAAATGATTAAATCCGTTTATACTCTCTGAATTTGTATTCTAGGTTAAAAATAACAGATAAAAGATAGAAGTTTTAAATACGTTTGTAAAATTATCATCTTTTAAAATATTTTTCTGTGTTTTAAAACTTTTATCTAGAAACTACTTATTTCCATTTGACAATTTAACAAAGTTTAAAAGAACTACCATTATATTAATTGTTTAAATTTGTGTATTTTTGTTTTTTTAAATATTACATTATCATACCATTTGATATGTTTAAACCCTGTGCAAATACTGTTTTTCCAGATGACGTGATCAACTTAAAGTTTTGATTAAAGGATTAGATGCGATTTATAAAAAAACTATTTAAAGGGACAGTAAACATGGTTTTAAGTGAACCATCATTAAAGGGACTGTAAACATATGGTTAAAAGTGGACCATCCTTAAAAGGACTGTAAACATAGTTTTAAGTGAACCATCATTTAAGGGACTGTAAACACGATTTTAAGTATACCATCATTAAAGGGACTGTGAACATGGTTTTAAGTGAACCATTATTAAAGGGACTGTGAACATGGTTTTAAGTAAACCATCATTAAAGGGATAGTAAACGTGACTGTAAGTGAACCATTAAAGGGACTGTGAACATGGTTTTAAGTAAACCTTCATTAAAGGGATAGTAAACGTGACTGTAAGTGAACCATCATTAATGGGACTGTAAACACGGTTTTTAGTGAACTATCATTAAAGGGACTGTAAACATGACTTTAAGTGAACCATCATTAAAGGGACTGTAAACACGGTTTTAAGTGAACCATCATTAATGGGACTGTAAACACGGTTTTAAGTGAACCATCCTTAAAAGGACTGTAAACATGATTTTAAGTGACCCATCATTAAAGGGACTGTAAACATGATTTTAAGTGAACCATCATTACAGGGACTGAAAACACGGTTTTAAGTGAACCATCATTAAAGGGACTGTAAACGTGAATTTAAGTGAACCATCATTAAAGGGACTGTATGTTGTAAATCTAGTAAGTGTAACACTTCAATTGCAGGTTTTTATAACCAACTATAAGCAGGATCCTATATGATGTAAATCTAGCAAGTGTAACATTTCAATTGCAGGGTTTATAACCAACTAAAAGCAGGCTCCTATATTATGTAAATCTAGTAAGTGTAGTGTAACACTTCAATTGCAGGGTTTTAAGTGAACCATCATTAATGGGACTGTAAACGTGACTTAAAGTGAACCATCATTAAAGGGACTGTATGTTGTAAATTTAGTAAGTGTAACACTTCAATTGCAGGGTTTATAGCCAACTATAAGCAGGCTCCTATATGATGTAAATATAGTAAGTGTAACACTTCAATTGCAGGGTTTATAACCAACTTTTAGCAGGATCCTATATTATGTAAATATAATAAGTGTAACACTTCAATTGCAGGGTTTATAACCAACTATAAGCAGGATCCTATATTATGTAAATATAATAAGTGTAACACTTCAATTGCAGGGTTTATAACCAACTATAAGCAGGACCCAATATGATGTAAATCTAGCAAGTGTAACACTTCAATTGCAGGGTTTATAACCAACTATAAGCAGGCTACTATATGACGTAAATATAGTAAGTGTAACACTTCAATTGCAGGGTTTATAGCCAACTAAATGCAGGATCCTATATGATGTAAATATAGTAAGTGTAACACTTCAATTGCAGGGTTTATAAACAACTATTACCAGGACCCTATATGATATAAATCTAGTAAGTGTAACACTTCAATTGCAGGTTTTATAACCAACTAGAAGCAGGACCCTATATGATGTAAATTTAGCAAGAGTAACACTTCATTTGCAGGGTTTATAACAAACTTTTAGCAGGATCCTATATGATGTAAATATAATAAGTGTAACACTTCAATTGCAGGGTTTATAACCAACTATAAGCAGGCTACTATATGACGTAAATATAGTAAGTGTAACACTTCAATTGTAGGGTTTATAACCAACTATAAGCAGGCTCCTATATGATGTAAAAGCAAGTGTAACACTTCAATTGCAGGGTTTATAAACAACTATAAACAGGCTCCTATATTATGTAAATCTAGTAAGTGTAACACTTCAATTGCAGGTTTTATAACCAACTATAAGCAGGATCCTATATGAAGTAAATCTTTAAAGTGTGTCATGGTGAATTGTTCATAGCACAATATTATTATTAATATCTTATTTAAATTTTCCTTGATTGTCTCTTTCATCCAGTTCTTCCTCAACCGATAAATCCTTTGTGTTTACTTTATATTAAATATATAGCTATGTCTTGTCTATATTGAGAATATTTACCAAAATTTCCATATATATATATTTACATAAACATATATATATTTACATATCAGTTGAAACGCAACAATCTTCTTATAACATTTTATTCATAAACAAATTGTTTTATGCTTTTATGCAATCATCAGTATTTATATATATTTACATAAACATATATATATTTACATATCAGTTGAAACGCAACAATCTTCTTATAACATTTTATTCATAAACAAATTGTTTTATGCTTTTATGCAATCATCAGTATTTATATATATTTACATAAACATATAAATATATAGATTCTTCCGTTTTTTAATGCTTCTACATTATTTTTCTCATTTAAATAAAATTGGAATTAAAACTTCATTTTGTTTGTGTATTCTGATTTCCGTGAATGTACAGATAAGTTTGTGTTCAATTGGAATATTTTTGATCAGCTAAATCAAGTTATTCATATAATAACAATCCTTGCAATTCCACAGCATGATCTCCCTTTTTAACATTAGTAGAAGAAACCTGAACTTTTGATCGAAATTATAAACAGAATTTCAGACACATGAACATTTTTCCCTCAATATCCTAATTGAAAAATGTTCTTCTATTTGAAATTTTTTTGTTGTCTATTTGAACAAAATGTTCGTCTATTTGAACAAAATGTTCGTCTATTTGAAGAACATTCACGTCTATTTGAAAAAAATGTTCTTCTATTTGAACAAAATGTTAGTCTATTTGAACAAAATGTTCGTCTATTTGAACAAAATGTTCGTCTATTTGAACAAAATGTTCGTCTATTTGAACAAAATGTTCGTCTGTTCGAACAAAAAGTTTGTCTATTTGAACAAAATGTTCGTCTATTTGAACAAAATGTTCATACTTCAAACGAAAAAGGTTTCTCATAATAGTTTAATCTAAACGAAGCTATCAAATCCATATTTTTTCTAAAGATATATTTGGAACTTGCAGGAGTCAAGCTCGCAAATGGCCACTTTTACTTGACCGGGCATGTCCACTCCTTGATACCCAGTATTAACGGGGCTGTTTTATCAGATATATATTGAAAGTTTTATAAAGATACATTATCTAATAAAAGATTAGGAAGTAGATTTATTACCTTCTTCTTTTCTTACATCTTCGATTCTTGGCATTATTTATTCATTCAACCTTTCTCAGTTAATAAACCTTTTCTTTCGGCACAACAAGATTCTTCTATCTTTCTATCAATCTATATATTTTATGCATTTCTTTTTCTATCAATCTATATATTTTATGCATTTCTCTTTCTATCAATCTATATATTTTATGCATTTCTCTTTCTATCAATTTTTTATCTTCATTTCAATTTATTATTTCTATCTATCTATCTGTCTTAATCTAAATAAGTCATGATAGTCTTTGTCATAAGCTCAAATTTTCTAATCACTATATAACTTGCTGGTGTAAACCTTTAAAAAGAGAGACCGACTAGACATAGTTCTTGAGCTGAGAGTGCAGGGTATATTGACGCGATTAAATCTTGACCCGTAAAAACCAGCTGACTCGTATTTTCGTGATCTTTTATTGGCCGAGAGCAGATTTGTGTGGATTCTGATTGGTCGATGTATCCAGCAGACGAAATTCTTATCAGACATCGGTTAAATTCGTTTAATCGTCTGAACATTCAAAAGGAATTAACTTAATCTCTTTAACCACTTACTGAATGTTTATAAAAGTCACAATCTTAAAAAAGTCTAATTAAAAGATTAGTTTTCTAATTAAATCTCAGAATGTATATAATATAGAATAACAGGTGGCAGCATTTGGTTTGGGAAGTGTTGGACTGTGGGGGTGATGCAGTACAATACATAAATGTCCAGATGTTCAGTAATCTTGGGGGGGGATTTTGAAGATTCACTTTCCAAACTTTCTCTTGTTATCTTTTTATCTTTACTTCAATTAATCAAACACGTTTTTTCAAAACTGTTTCAAATAGTTTTCTTCCTTTCAAAATGTGAAAAAGAAAACCAAAACAAAATGGAAATAATTGGGGTAACTTTTCCGCCCCCCCCCCCCCCCCCCCCTTCGGGCCCGAGCAAGGCCAAACTGTTTAACCTTAAATAATTACCTACAATAAAATACAGAAATGTATTTTTTCACATTTAGATGACCACAGTACTTGGCCAAACACATAAGTAAATGCTTGTTTTCTGTGTAACCTCAAATTTTAAGTAATTAATAAATAAAATGTGCACATTAAGGTGGTCACAGCGCTTGGCCAACAATCCTGTCCATTCAAATTTTAAACCTTGTTTATAAAAACTTTTAACTTTTTTCTCTCGTAAGTCGTAGTTTCTTTAAACCTCCATGGTCCTTTCTTCTAAAAATGCAATATCAGGGATGGGGGGGGGGCACAGCCCTTTCTACAAGAAATAACCAAACTTTTAATAGCAAAAAATTAGCAAAATTTGTTCAATTATTTATTTCATTAGCTATTTAAAATGGATAATTTGAAAGCTATTCATTTTTAAACAGTATTAGCTTAGTATTTTTGTGCCTGATTCCAGAATTGGTTTCTCTGACATAGTTGTAAGCTTTTCTTGAATGTCCTTTAAGAGTTAGAGAAAATTTCATCAACTCAAAGCTGTACTTTTCATTTCTGTAGTTAGACAACTTAATTCTTCTTTTTTGTATTGCTGGATAATTGCGTTAGCAATTAATCCATTTTCTGGAATTTCTTCAAAGCTAGAGGTGTAAAATTCTTCTGTTGTCTGTTCTTCAACTTTTCTCTTGTTGTTGGCTGAAACAAAAAAATTGAAATGTCTAAAATTCAGTACAAATTTTAATTTTTAAAAAAATATAGAAGAAAAATACCAATATATATTTATGCACGCTTAAATACCCAAAATCATAAAATTGTGAGTAAAAATAGGCGATAAAAATTCTTTTACTATTCAACAAACATTTTAATGAATTTCTAATAATACCTGGCTCAGGAACAAAAGAGCTACTCTGAGGTATATCAGAACTCCTCTGTAGGAGAACAGAACTCCCCTGAGGTAGAAAAGAACTCCCCTGAGGTAGAACAGAACTCCCCTGAGGTAGAACAGAACTTCTCTGAGGGAGAGCCGAATTACTCCGAGAGGGAACAGTTGAAGTCTGTTTATGACTCAGAAGAATGCCTAAAATTTTGAATGAAATATTAAAATACATTTTTTAAACACTTTCATTTGAAACCCTCCTGATGATATTAAGATATTGAAGCACCCGTTGTTCTGTGGAAAAATTCGTTTACGAAACAAATAATTTAGGGCTCTCTATAGGTGCACTATGGATTTAAACTACATTAAGGGAAATTGCTAGAATTCAACATATTTTAAGGAATACAACAATATCTTTTAATTTAAAAGTGTTTAGAATCGTGCTAACTCCTATGTGCAGGGAGGGCTTTGGGTATTTAGGAAAAGTCAAAAAATTTCAACAGCCTCAGACCAATACTTTTTGAGTTACGTAGAAAAAACTAAAGGGGGTCTAATGGACCCCCCCCCCCCCCCCACCAGGAATAGGGTTAAGCAACATACAGTGAACTCAGGAATAGTAAGAAGATTTTGAGGATCAAGTTTAACTTTAAAAAAATCATTAACCATGAAACACAGCATTTGTGCAGTGTAAAAAGACCCATTTCACAAAAAAAGTCATTTTTGAAGTGTCTGGTAAAACTATTTGCTTTGTAATGCGATCAAATACACTTAAGTACTGATATAATGTCGTCTTCCTATTTCATTGTTTTCTGGTTATCACTGTATATAAAAGTTACATTTCGGAAAAGTCATTGATAAGTAAATTAAAAATCAGTTGTCACATGTTTTTATTTGTCAAAAACAACAAAATGTTCTTTTTAACATATTTCAGGCCTTTTTAAGGGGGGGGGGGTAGGGCGGGTCGCCCCAACTAGACCTTTAAGAATTTAAAGCTGCCAGCCTTCATAGGAATGAATGAAATTACATTTATATTAGATTATTCATTAGAACAATATTAACCAAATCCAGTATCCGCCCCTGTAAAGAAGTCAAGACTCACCCTCTCCATTATCTAGCTGTTCCTGTTGATGTGGATGGTGGGGAAGATGAAGACTGGGAACAGCGTTATAACTTAACTTTCGTCCGCAAACGTATTTGTTTTCAAAATGTTTTGCACAGACAACACTAAATTTTCCCGGAGTCCAGAAACCTGGCTTTTCCTGTGAAGTTACTCCACGTTTTTTTTAACTATCCCCCTTTGTATCCCTCTGGGGTGGATAGATAGGAGGAAAATATCCCGCTTTGTATCCCTCTGGGATGTGGATAGATAAGAGGAAAATATCCCCCTTTGTATCTCTCTGGGGTGGATAGATAGGAGGAAAATATCCCGCTTCGTATCCCTCTGGGATGTGGATAGATAAGAGGAAAATATCCCGCTTTGTATCCCTCTGGGATGTGGATAGATAGGAGGAAAATATCCCGCTTTGTATCCCTCTGGGACGTTGATAGATAGGAGGAAAATATCCCCCTTTGTATCCCTCTGGGGTGGATAGATAGGAGGAAAATATCCCGCTTCCCTCTGGGATGTGGATAGATAAGAGGAAAATATCCCATTCAGATCCCTTCCATTTCTTCCGCAATTCGCCTCCTGCAAAAGATCTATTGTTAGAATTCTAAAAGTTGATTAACTTCATTAACTATGTATCATGAACAATATGAAAGCAAATAAAACACAAGACGAGAAGAAAATTACAGAATAAGTTTCATTATAAGATTGACCAACAAATGAGATAATTACTGTCATCTTTTCTTTTTGCTAATTTGCAAAAGGTTTAACAGTTTATAACTGTGACATCTTTTTGAAATGGTTACAAAGGAATTGAGTCTTTGGAACAAAATCAAATATTTTAACCTCAATATCTTTAGAACTCGATGTCAACCTTTCATATTTCAAACTCAGATTATTTGATCTAACAAAACTCATAGTTTGAAATATCTAAGGTCTACAACATTTGGTTCCAAAGATATAGTGATTAGAAAATCAGAGTTTGTGGCAAAGACTCAATTCCTTACTAGGGCAGTTATTTGTTAAGCACCATAACAATTTACATAACCACAATTGATCAGAACCCCGGCGTTTTACCAAAACTAATAATTCAGGGTTGGGCTAAATTCTGTTAACCATCTAAATATTTTGAACATTAGCGGAAAAATTCCATCAAAGTTAAGGTGTTGGTTTAAAAGAACGGAAAGAATTGTGAAGTTGTTAGTTTTAAGAACTAAAAGAGATATATTTCATATTTCATATTTTTTATTCAACTACAAAGCACGAGATAATACAAATAAAAAATCACAATTTACTATGTAGTTTGGACCCGCCTAACCAGAGTAGGTTGTTTTAATTGGTTGGCCCACTATAAACGAATGAGAATTGCAGATAAAAACAATGTACATTGTACATTTTAAACATAAGAATGATGATAAATCAGGAAAATGGTGAGGAGGATGTGAGAGAGTATAAGGGAAAGGGAGGATACTCAGCGTAAGGGTTGGACTAGAGGGTAACATAAGTTATTAAAATCATGTTTATGAACTACAGGGTGATGAAGATAGTAAAGACTAAGTTTATCCACATGATACACAGTTTGTTTTTTTACAGATATAATTTGCATAACTATCTAAATAGATCTTGGCGACATTTCTTTTCAACGATTTTGCAGATTTAGTTTCTTTCAGCTCGAATTCAATCGAATTCCATATTTTTGGAAATATAGCAGAGGGAAAACATTCTAGAGTTTTAAAGAGAACCCTTTCAAGTTTATATAATTTTGTTCTATTTTGTTCAGCTAAAGAATTAAACATATCATGGAAGTAAGCTGGAAGGTTTTCATAAAAGTATTTATGCATAAAAGATAGAACACCTAGTTTATATGTATCATCAAAATTTAGGAGTTCTAATCTGAAAAATATTGTTATGTTATGTTTTAAAAAAAAAGAATAGAAAGAGATGTTAAGTTTTTAGTTTAAAAAAAAAACACCAAAAGAGATTCTAAATTATTAATTAAAAAAGAACGAAAAGAAATGTTATGTTGTAGCAAAAAGCGTGTAAACATGATAGTTTGTAAACTTGCAGTACGATGTGCGTCATAAATGATTTAATGTTTTAAACTTAGACATATGGAGATTATTAATTGAAACTGCTTTCCAATTGAATACTTAACATGATAAGCTTAAATCATGCGACATACTTAAATTACGCTATAAAATATGGGCAGAAATGGATTAACTGCGGTATATTTATTCTCTTTAATTCTTTAAATATGTACCTCAAACTTTAACTGTGCGATAAATACGTAATACGATGGTCTTAATCATGTGATATCAATAAAACGGAAGGAATTGAATTACGTCAATTTCTGTTAACGTTGTAACCTAAGCTATTGAATATTGATTTAGACTCTGCTTTGATTACGGTATTAGAAGTAGTCTGCGTTCTCGTTGAAACATTACGAGCAGAGATCTTTGCTAGTTGATTTAGCATTGAATTGAATATAGCTTGAAAGATAGCTTGTGATCTCGTTGAATTATATGAGTGGAGATCTTTGCTAGTTGATTTAGCATTGAATCGAATATAGCTTAAAAGATAGCTTGTGATTGTCGTTGAATTATACGAGTGAAAATCATGACTTGATAAGTGGCAATTTGATTGAATAAATGAATATAGCTTGAAAGATAGCTTGGGTTCTCGTTGAATCATACGAGTGGAGATTTTGCCTTGATAAGTGCATGCATTCTGATCGAATATAGCTTGAAAAATAGAAAGACTGTGTGTCCTTTAGAACCTGTGAGTTAAGCCTGGTTGAGAAATTGCCTGTGAAGCAATTTCATTTGCATATGAATTTTAGAACTAGGGAGTTAAGCCTGGTTTAGATTTTGGACTGTGTGTACTTTGAGACCGGGGAGTTAAGCCTGGTTGAGATATTGCCTGTGTGGCATTTAGAATCAAAGAGTTAGTCCTGGTGGATCTTGGTAACGAACAGACCTGGATAGATTCGTCTGAAGTAAAACTATTATGGAGCAGGTGTTTGCTACAAAACTACTAGTTAAAAATAAACGAAAAGATATATTAAGTTCTTAGTTTAAAAAAGAAAGAAAAAGATCTTTTAGCCCTTAGTTTAAAAAAACACAGAAAGAAATCCTAAAATATATTTGTGAAAAAAGAACAGAAAGAGATGTTCTTTTATTAGTTTACAAAATAGAAAGAGATGTTAAGTTGTTTCTTAAAAAAGAACGAAAAGAGATGTTAACTTTTAAAAAATAACAAAAAGAGATGTTTTAGAGTTTTTAGTTAAAAAAATAATGAAAAGAGATGTTAAGTTATCGGTCTAAAAAAGAACGAAAAGAGATGTAAAGATTTTTTTTAAATAGAAAGAGATGTTTAGTTATTAGTTAAAAAATAACGAAAATGTTTTTATATATTTGAATGTTTAGGCCACGGAGAGTTTATCTGAGGAAAAGCTGGCAGAATATAAAGATATTTTCTCATTCTTTGACAGGTTTGCATTTTATCAGAACGAGGGGGGGGGGGAGGCGATGATCGTAAGTGGATGCAAAAGAAATTTCTTAGTTTTTTCTTATATGGCTTTGGTCCAATATGTTTTGTTTAATTTCAAAAACACTTTTTATAAGAACAATTAGATCATTGGAAAAATATTCATGGATTTCGCATTCAGTTAATCAGTTTTTAACACAATGTAAACCTTTTTAGATCATCAGATAGACGAAGATATCTTTTTTCATTATTATTGTTTTTATTTTTACTATTATTCTCACAAGTTCAATGTTCTATATATAGTTACAGGAAAGAATTTTTCTGAAACAAACAAGAAAGTTTTCATTTTCATTTAGGATTGCAACTTCTAACTTTATGTTAAAAAGTTGTAAAGTTAGATAATAGCTAAATATTTAAAGAGTGTGTTGCTTAAAGGGACTGTTAAGGTAAAATGAAATGGGATATAGATTACCTTTATAATTATGCGTTGTACTATTGATTACGATTTTTTTATCCACTGGTGTCTTTGTCAAGCAAAATGCCTGAAATATTGGAGCAGAAACACCTCGCGGTCATAAAAAGTACATTGTAGAGGAAACCTAAAATTGAAAAATTATGTATAATATTATAACATTCTAATAATAATACGAGCGTGCCTAAATTATATATAATATTATAACATTCTAATAATAATAGGAGAGGTCCTATTATTATTAGAATGTTATAACATTCTAATAATAATAGGACCGTGCCTAAAATTATATATATAATGTTATAACATTCTAATAATAATAGGACCGTGCCTAGAATTGAAAAATTATATATAATTGTTATAACATTATAATAATTTTGGTTCGATCGGTTCAGCCGTTTTTACGTTTATCGGTTACAGCAAACAAACAGTCACCCAGACAAGCAAAGTATCTGAGCTATACTATGAAATATTTTTTAATGATTAAAAACTAAACTCGAATTCTTTATAAAACCTTGGGTTAAACTTGAGAGAGAAGAATAAAAAGTTTCTCTTGAAAACTTTATATATCAACTTTTAGGCAAGTTTGGAAGGAAAAGGGGGGGTGGATATTTCAATAACGTTGAAAAGACGAAATCTTTTTTTAATTTAAAAAATTGTAAAACCAAATTTGTATTGAGGGTAATGTACTTGAGGTATTAATTATTCATTAGATAACTACAGGAAAACTAATATATTTGCTCATTGCAATCCATAAACATTTTCAAATTCTATTTTAATCTCTCGACTGGTCTGAGCCAGAAAAATGGTTTCAATGTCGAGAAAATGTCGCTTAAAGATACTATGAATTAGTTCTGCATTTATTTATTATTTTTAAATGTATGTTTAGTAGGACTTTATACCCAGTTAATTGTAAACTCTGATTTTCCAATTCCTATTCCTTTGCAACCCAATGTCATAGACCGTTGATACTTCAAACTATGAATCCTGTTAGATCAAATAATCAAAGATTGAAATGTGAAAGGTCTTCAGGTAGCAGAGATAAAGGGATTCGAAAATTTGAGTTTGCGACAAAGACTCAATTCCTTTCTTTGCGTTTATATTGATAATTGCAAAGAGATGTATCACTAACATTTGATAGGGTACCGCATAATCAACACCTTTATTATTTGTAAACACTAAATTAATGTCAAATCTTTTGAATTTTTTTTTTAGTTTGCCTAATCAAATATGAAAAAGTTTATTATTATTCACCATTGCGTTAATCAATACTGAAGGAGTTATTAGCAGTAATAACTCCTTTAGTATTGGTTAACGCAATAATAATAAACTTTTTCATAAAAAAAATAGCAATTAAAGTCAGTCCGGTAGTGTTAAGAATAAAATGATGCACACAACTTATCACGTGAGCAAATAAGCAATAAATCGAAAACATTATTGTCTTTAATTTTTTTTACATTTTCCTTTATTTCTCTGTCCTGTCCTGAATCAAAATGCCATTATAAGTCCTGTTGTGCATCTTTATTATGAATAAAGACAAATCTAAAATTTCAAATAATTTCATTCGATTTTTGTTTGTTCAGGGATGGCGGAGGTACAATTACAACAGTGGAGCTGGGGCAGGAAAATAAACAAAACAAAAAAATAAATTTTTAGAAATATTAAATATCTATCATTAAACTAATATATCAGTAGAACTAAGATATTTCTTATTATTATTATTATTTATTTTATCTACAAAAACACAAATACAAGTACACATTTAAAGTTTTATATGCCATATAATCATGTGTTGGAGGACCAATCAAGCCATAAATGATTGGCCCTAGACTTTCTCTTGATTGCAAAGCCACATTATGCTTTTCTGTAGACCTTTTTATGTACATTTTAAAAATATAAAGCTTTAGTTTTGAAAAAGATAATTGGCAAAATTCCTCGTCGATTTTTGCTTGAGAGCGTGAAACCTTGAAATCACAGTGATGCATAAAACATTACATTAAAAATCATTAAAAGATCTAATATTTAATATGATTATAACAATAACCAAATTTTTTTTCAATTTTCAATTCACATTTTCTTTGGTGGAAATATACACCATCAAACGTTCTAAAATGTGCCATCAAATTCTTTTTTATTATCTCACATTGTTTGTATTTATACGTACTGCAGGTGATGAGAACTTTCGGCTGGAGCCCAACAGAAGGAGAACTACAGGTTTATCATTCTATTATACAAGAGAATGCACAAAGAGCATAGACTGTGATTATCCTGGGTACACTAGAATATATCGATAATTCGAGATGTAATTGGACAAATCTGATTACCCCTTGTGTACTAAAACCCCTGAGATGGTACAGGTTGCGGTGTGAATTATAGTAGATAAAGTATTAGATTACAATCTGAACATTATGATTTTAAAGGTTTTTTTTTCCCCCCCCCCCCCTCCTCATTCTTCCATATTCAGGGGTTGAAACAACTCATTAAGAGATGGAGTTAATTAAGACTTCCAGAACTAACAAAAACTATTTTTATTTGTCGATCTCTTAATAATATTTTATCTAACGACCTTAAACTTATTAGATACAACGATCTGAGGTTTAATTCTGTCTTAAAATTGTTTCTTCATGGACTTCGATGTTTCAAAAGATTTAACTAAAAAGCTTAACAAGGAAAGAATAAAGACTTTTTGTAATAACCCTGTACTGTTCAATTCCGATATTTGTTAAGATATTTCTAGAAATTGTATTTGAAAAAGGATTAAGATAGACCAGGATGGGAAAGGATGAATGAATTAATAATAAATGTCTAGGAACTGATTGATGAGAAAGATCAGATCAGGGTGGGAATGAATGTCTAGGAGTTGATTAATGAGATAAATCAGAATGAGGATGGATGAATGAATACATGTATAGGAACTGATTAATGAGATAGATCAGGGTGGGAATGAATAAATGAATGTCTAGGAGCTCATCAATGAGATAGATCAGGATGGGAATGAATGAATGAATGAATGTGTAAGAACTGATCAATGAGATGGATCAGGATGGAATAATTGAATATATGTTTAGTAGCTGATTAATGATTTAGATCTGGATGGGAATGAATGAGTGAATGTTTAGTAGCTGATTAATGAGATAGATTAGGATGGGAATGAAAGAATGAATGAATGTCTAGGAACTGATTAATGAGATAGATCAGGATGGGAATGGATGTATCAGCTTTAATGAGTTTGTGTGGCTGATGACTAGGTAATAATTTGAATATCTTAAAACATGTATTTATATTAGATGTAGAATATATTATATATTTATCAATATATAATATATAATATATATATATATATATTAATGAAGTATCAAGTGTGTAACTCTAGAGAATATTAAATATATTGTTCTTTTATATTGTAAACACAAGAGACAAAATTATTAATCTTTATCTTGCAACAAGGAAATGTTTATTTTAGTTCATTTCGCCATGAAAACAAATATTTATAAAAATTGATGTTTTGAGAAGGGGGCCAAACTCAGAGAGTGGAAGATTTGTTGTGAATCAGAGAAAAATAATATTGAAAAATATTAGTTGAAAATAAACATACAATCCCAATTTTTGATGAATGTAACACGATTTCACAAAACAATATTTTGTGCATCTTAAAATAGGCAAACCATCTCTTTTAAGATTCACATTTGTAAATTCTAGACCCATTCTTTTTGGCCTTCTATCTACCCATGTAGTAAACGCCTACTCCATAACAGTCCTCGAAACGTATCAATTCAGGTACAAACTACTCCGCTATCAAAGTCAACCAGGACACTATCCAAACGGCTACAATCCTGTGAACTATCAACGCCACTACCATTGGGTTCGATCTTGTTAGCTATAAGGGCTAATACGGACACTAGCTGTTAATCGAGCTCTAAATGGCACACAGGGACACAAGCGTAGCTATCAAACAAGCTATTAATCAAGCTCTAAATGGCAAAAAGGGACACAAGCGTAGCCATCAAACAAGCTATTAATTGAGCTCTAAATGGCAAAAAGGGACACAAGCGTAGCTATCAAACAAGCAATTTAACGAGCTCTAAATGCCGCACAGGGACACAAGCGTAGCTATTAAACAAGCTATTAATCAAGCTCTAAATGGCACACAGGGACACAAGCGTAGCTATCAAACAAGCTATTAATCGAGCTCTAAATGGCAAAAAGGGACACAAGCGTAGCTATCAAACAAGCTATTAAACGAGCTCTAAATGCCGCACAGGGTCACAAGCGTAGCTATCAAACAAGCTATTAATCAAGCTCTAAATGTCACACAGGGACACAAGCGTAGCTATCAAACAAGCTATTAATCAAGCTCTAAATGCCACACAGGGACACAAGCGTAGCTATCAAAAAAGCTAATAATCAAGCTCTAAATTCCACACAGGGACACAAGCCTAGCTATCAAGCAAGCTATTACTCATGGCTCTAAATACCACAAAGGGACACAAGTGTAGCTATCAAACAAGCTATTAATCAAGCTCTAAATGCCACACAGGGACACAAGCGTAGCTATCAAACAAGCTATTGATCGAGCACTTAATGTCACACAGGGTCACAAGCCTAGCTATCAAACAAGCTGTCAATCGATCTATACCAAATATTGAGGTATGATCTCAGCCCATATGTTTCAACGAGGACACAGTTAGCTATCAAACAAGCTCTTAATCGATTTATGCCAAATATTTAGGTATGATCTCAGCCCGTATGTTTCAACGAGGACACAGTTAGCTAACAAAAAAGCTCTTAATCGATCTATACCAAATACCGAGATATGATCTCAGCCCATATGTTTTGACAAGAACACAGTTAGCAAAAAAATCTCAGCCCGTATGTGTCAACGAGGACGCAATTACTCTACACTTTCATCAAAGCCTAGCGTCTATATTAACTAATGTATTTGAGGTTTATATGTTACAAGTTAAAGTTAAAAGATGAATTACAATTCTACATCGTTATCTATATCACATGATTAAGGCAATCATCAGGTAGATTAATGATGGTGAACTAGAGGAAAAAAGTGTAACTGTTTCGTTTAGGTATTCATGATGCTAAACTAGATGGAAGAAAATATAACTGTATTGTTCAGGTAGATTTATGATGCTGAACTAGAGGGAGAAAGTATAACTGTATTGTTCAGGGAGATTCATGATGCTGAACTAGAGGAAGAAAGTATAACTGAATTGTTCAGGGAGATTCATGACGCTGAACTAAAGAAACAAAGTATAACTGAATTGTTCAGGGAGATTCATGATGCTGAACTAGATGAAAGAAAGTCTAACTGTATTGTTCAGGGAGATTCATGATGCTGAACTAAAGGAACAAAGTATAACTGTATTGTTCAGGAAGATGCTGAACAAGAGAAAGAAAGTATAATTGTATTGTTCAGGAAGATACTGAACTAAAGGAAGAAAGTATAACTGTATTGTCCAGGAAAATAAATGGTGAACTAGAGGAACAAAGAATAACTGTATTGTTCAGGGAGATTCATGATGCTAAACTAGAGGAAGAAAGTATAACTGTATTGTTCAGGGAGATTCATGATGCTGAACTCGAGGAAGAAATTAGAGAAGCATTCAGGGTATTTGACAAGGATGGACACGGTTTTATTCCAAGCATGGGTGGGTTTAAACCATCAATAGTCTTAAATTGTCAAAAAACAAGAAAAGTTAGAAAAAAAAATTTTCTTATCTCGGATTTCAAACTCTTTTATATCTTGACAAAACCCATTTAAGTCGGTGTAGCTGTTTTTTCGTTTATTAGATTAAAAAAAAAACAGACAAGCCAGCATACAGACACCCAGGAAAGCCAAAACATATAGATATAAGATAAAATATATACTAAGGAATTGAGTCTTTGTCACAAAATCAAGTTTACTAATGCCTATATATATCTATTGAACCTGATGAATTGTAGACTTTTGATATTTCAAACTAAGATAATTTTTTTAAGATATTTATTTATTTAGATATTTATTTATGTATAAATATCTAGATCTAGAAAAACTAAGATAATTTGATGCAATAAAATTCATAGTTTTACATATCTAATAATCAGAGTTTGTGTCAAAGACTCAACTCCTTTACTTTTGCATATATTTATATTATATGTATTTATATATAGATTTGGCGGATGTTCTCCAGAAGTTAGGAGAAAAGCTTTCCACAGAGGAAACAGATGTAAGTATAAATAAAGCTTAAAGGGAGTCTTCGCGAAAAATTTATATAGTTTATTATATAGTAGAGTATAGGCTATTGGATAGAACAGCTAAATGATTCATTTTTGATTAATTAAATTGTTTGCGATCTGAGTGGAACTCCTTGGACTTATATGGGCTCTATACTCTTAGGTATAAAACGTTTTAAACCATTTTCTCCTTATATACGCAACAGATAAAATGGAAAATTAGTAGCAATCAATTCAATTCTTAAATATTTATTTAATATATCAATTTTTAAGACAACATTATTCAGGGATTTTTAGGAAATACTGCAGAAGGATTCAATTATACTGCAGAGCGTATTAATTTCTAGTTTTTAAAAATCTTTTTAATTTTCAGTTATTTAGCATAAATAAATGCTTTAAAGAGAAAAACTCAGCAGAAGTGGTTGAGATCCAACCTTAAGACTCTAAGACTCAGTTCAGAATAAGAAACTTTTTTGGTTCAACCCCAAAAACCTTACTTTTCACACTTTTTACGGAACATTTTTTTCTTCAACCAGATGAATTTCACATTTTTGTCATTTTTTTGGGGGTGGGGGAAGTAATAAAAAAATTTATATTTACAACGGTTGAAGGCAGTATAAATCTAGCTTTCAGAGAAGCAACAACTTCACCTGGCTCGGCGCTCTAAAAATACTCAGAGATACAGGGTGAGAGAGAGAAAATGGTAAATTAGAAAAAAAAGAAATAAATGGAACTAGACAAGAAACATTGAAGGCCTGCATTAATCTTTTAACGCTGTATTAACCTGGAGAAGGGAGGTTTTTTACCTAGCTGGATCCAGATTTTGCTACTGGCAGCTTTAAATATGCTCCTAAATAACAAGCCTGGTTAGCTGTTATTAAGTATTCAAACTCGTCAGAAAGACGTTAATTCTTTTGGTTGAATCTGGTTCTATGTGTAAGCATCAAGGGAGCTCAGAACAGTTAGGTTCTTATACAACTCTCTCCAGTTTCTTGTGGCTAAACAGAACCCTGTTTGGAATAAAACATGGCAGAACACCCTACTTTGAAAAAAAAGAAAATAATTTTGCAGAGAAGAGGGGGTTTCTCTATGCTTCTCTTCCCCTTTCTCTTGCCAGAAGCAAGGAAAATATAGAGACGGGTAGAGACGGGCAAATCCTGGATAGAGAGGGGAACTCTGTATACCCTGGAAAGAGACGGGAACTCTGTAAACCCTGGATAGAGACGGGAACTCTTTAAACCCTAGAAAGAGACGGGAACTTTGTAAACCTTGGATTAGAATCTTGATGGGTGTGATTGAACCATGCACTATGATACTAGTTTATACTCTGTCGGGTGCAAGGAAAAGATTGATGTAGACCAGGCTGTATTCTGAAGCACTGTGTCCAAGATGAACTTACAAGAACCAATATTCTTTAGTCGAAAATATCCACTCCTTTCTAACCTTTCTTACCCATTTGTCATCATTAAGGCGAAATTCTGACAATGAATATCCTCAGAATTTTCAAACTCCTCTTAGTGCAATGCATTTTTTTCTCCAACATGTAAGATGTTAAACCTTAGGTCTAACTAAATGATACATGGTGGGGGTTGAAAAATGTTTATTGGTAAAAACTTGTTACGGAATATGTAGGAGCGTTTTTACTTTCTGTGTAGTCAGTTTCTGTGGGGGGATTTAGGGAGCTTCTCAACTGCTGGAATTGATGAGTCTTCAGAACAGGGAGCAGTCTAGAGCAGAACCGTAGAATGCTGCTTCTGTAGGGAACTGCTTTAAGCTGTAGGTGTAGATGAACCTTTAGAGCTGTCTGGAGCAGAACCGTAGAAGGCTGCTTCTGAAGGGAGCTGCTAGAAGCTGCAGGTGTAGACGAACTTTCTGGTTCGGGACTTGGTCCGAAAATGATAACTCTATTCTGATTTTAGAATATCAATAAAATCCCCTTTTGATGGTACAGAGTTGGTTTAGAACTCCGAAGCTGCTCGAAGATTAGCTACAACTGATAATATCATCTTTCCAAGATTTCAACGTTAGGTTTAAGGTGTAACCTTAACCTTGAGTCTATACTTAAAAATACACAGTGCTCACAGGATGTTCACAAAAAATACAAACATATAAATATATTTTAACTATTCATAAAAGCACAAATATCAATTCTTAAAGAATCTGTTACATTGGTTTGTGAATTTTACAAAAAGGAGTTTTAGTTTATGTAAACACCCAGCAGAGTTCCCATATACAGAAATAATTGATTCCAACCATGATCTGACATTCTTTGTTAAAAATATGCACTTTGAACTCCGTTACAAAGAATATTGAACTATATATTTAAGTTTGATCCTGAACCTTCAATCAGTTGAGTCAGACATTCCTGGCAAAACTGAAAACTACAGATGAGCTAGAAAGAAGATACAAGTCAGAGAAAAAACTCACTGCTCTTCTTAAAATTTGGTTAAAAATTTTAATTTGTAAATAAATTTAAAAAAAAAACTATTGAAGGTACAGAGTTTTATTAAAAAAATTTAATTCCATCGGTAAAAGTAAAAATGGTATTATAAAATATTTGTGTCCATACTTATATAAAATTCATTTTTCATTTCTTATTTTTTTTCTCCAAAAATATGTATATCATTTTTTTCTTGTTTTCTCCTACTCAGATCTTCCAATATTTTTGTATTGTATCTATGATGCCTTTTTTCCTGGTATCAGTTTTAGCTTTTCAATTGGCTTGGTAGGTCACCATTTTTCTTCTTCAAAGAAGTACTGCTCTGCATTATACAAAATCCCAAACTGTAAAAGTTTTCTTGAATATGCGCCAAAAACGTCTGAAATTCATCAAATATGAATAATGTTTATTGCTTATGTTTATATTTTAAATTTGAAAGAGTTTTAACTTTTATCAGATTTTTTTCTCTTTCTAGAAATAACTATATAGGATCAATTTAAAAGATACGTCACATATAGGAGCTAGTAAACTCTTGATGAAGTTTTGTTTATATAGATATTTACATTAATTTTTTCAATTATTAATTATTTCTAAAAATCCACTGAAAATCCCAAAACTTTGTTTTTATTGGAGTCCTGAACACTTTAGTAAACCAGAACTGAGATTTCAAAAGTAAAGCCAGAACCTCCTTAGTCTCGAGTCTTTTTTACATACATCCGAATCCGTGCTTGGGGACCACCTACCCTTTTTCCAATACCTGATTGCTTCTGTTTGGTTGAACAGAAAAACGGTTCTGCCAATAATAGAGGCAATTATTATTTCTGGGACATTATAATTATTTATCACTTTTTTTACAGGGAAGTTCAGAGAATTATTACTTTACAAAGAGTTACCTTGAACAATTAAGTACAATCTTTATATTCCCGAAAAAGTAGTTGATTAATTTAAATTACGCTGTTGGGGGCAAGTATCGGTCAGCAATAATGGTCAAAAGCGGTAGATAAAAAATTTTAAAACATATATTTTTTTTTATTTATGAAGTACTAGTTTATGACGAAAGCATTAAGCTTCTTTATATTTTAGGAACTGATAAATGAGGCAGATAATGATGGAGACGGGAATATAAATTACGAAGAATTTGTTTCTCTTCTATTCAAGGTTAAAGGGACTGTAAGCTTAATTTCAATTGACCTTCCATGAAAAGAGGGCAATGACTGATTTACGATGTTACCCTTTAAACCTTGGAGTAAGGTGAGCTCTGTGTTTAAATATTTTGAAAACCACTTGAACTCAACACAGCTGATCCGTGTTCCTTGACAGTAGCGAATATATTCCAAAGATAATGTTTATGTTCTGCCAATATTATTTTTAAAGCTTATAAAAGCTTGCAAACAAAGCGTTTAATAATTAAAAGCGTTTTCGTAGATTTAAGGGTGCTGTTGTGAATCTGCCATTGCCATCTTTCCATACTTAGAGGGGCACTTGAAAATACGCTTATTGTCCATTTAAACATACAATTTTATGTTTAAAATACCGTGAGAGGTTGACTGATGTGCACATGAAAATTTACAGACGCCAATGCTTGTTGTTGACACTTTTAATATTAAGCAATTCTTTTAAGTGAAATATTCAAAAATATATTTTTATTTTTATATTTTCATAATAGTTGTTGTAAAATCTGACAGAAATTAATTAGTATTCATAAACTAGTGCGTAATCTAGTCAAGCCTGTATTTAAAAAGGTTTAAAGAAACATTGGACACTTTCTGAAATAAAAATTAAAATACGCGATCTAAAAAATAAGAAACCGTCTGAAAAATTTAACATTTACTTACATACATACAGCGTATTTTTCTAGTAGCAGTTTATTATAAAGAATAAATTTTTTTTATCGTGGATGGTAAAATAACATCTTTTATTTTAGAGACCGCAAATGGAGAGCGCTAAAGTGGAAAAGAGAAAAAGATCCAGTATGATCAGTTCTATGGTTTAGCTGATAATTAATAACATGGTTTAGCTATTATTAGTTCCATGATTTAGCTATTAGTAGTTCCATGACTTAGCTGTTATTAGTTCCATGACTTAGCTGTTATTAATATCATGATTTAGCTATTAATAGTTCCATGATTTAGCTGAGAATTAGTTACATGGTTTAGCTGATAATTAGTTCCATGGTTTAGCTGAAAATTAGTTCCATGACTTAGCCTGGTATTTATTTTCATGGTTAGCTGATAAGTATTTGCATGGTTTAGCTAATAATTAGTTCCATGGTTTAACTGATAATTAGTTCCATGGTTTAGTCTGATGATTTTTTCCGTGGTTTAGCTGATAATTAGTGACATGGTTTAGCTGATAATTAGTTCCATGGTTTAGCTGATAATTAGTTCCATGGTTTAGCTGATAATTATTTCCATGGTTTAGCTGACAATTAGTTCCATGGTTTAACTGATAATTGTTTCATGGTTTAGCTGATAATTAGTTCCATGGTTTAGCTGATAATTAGTTACATGGTTTAGCTGATATAGTATTTCCATGGTTTAGCTGATAATTAGTTCCATGGTTTAGCTGATAAGTATTTCCATGGTTTTGCTGATAATTAGTACCATGGTTTAGCTGATTATTAGATCCATAGTTTAGCTGAGAATTAGTTCCATGGTTCATCTGTTTATTAGTTCCATGGTTCATCTGTTTATTAGTTCCATGGTTCATCTGTTTATCAGTTACATGGTTTTGCTGATAATTAGTTCCATGGTTCATCTGTTTATTAGTTACATGGTTTAGCTGATAATTAGTTCCATGGTTCATCTGTTTATTAGTTCCATGGTTTTGCTGATAATTAGTTCCATGGTTCATCTGTTTATTAGTTACATGGTTTAGCTGATAATTAGTTCCATGGTTCATCTGTTTATCAGTTACATGGTTTAGCTGTTTATTAGTTGCATGGTTTAGCTGAGAATTAGTTCCATGGTTTATCTGTTTATTAGTTACATGGTTTTCTGATAATTAGTTCCATGGTTCATCTGTTTATTAGTTGCATGGTTTAGCTGATAATTAGTTCCATGGTTTAGCTGAGAATTATTACTAGAGTGATATACTCATATCATAAAAAAATACTTCCAAAGTTTATTTTGAAAACAGAAGCTTTTAAAAGAAATCTTTATTTATTTTTGATAAAAACTAGAAAATATCACAAAAGCAGAAAAGATTAAGAAAATATAATAATTTATATAATTTAAATAATTCACAAAATCAATGTTATTTTAACCATAACAATTAACATGGAGTGGGAATAAAAGTAAAACTTGGTTTAGTTTTTAACGTTATTACAATTCGAAGTTTTGCATTCAATTGAGAGATAGCACTTTTGTCAACTTATTTTACAGTTTGAAAAACTCTATTGTATATTTTTCCTTCGGTTATTTAATAAATTATTTAAATTTTTTAAAGATTTTCTTGTTTGCAAAGTCCGTCCTAAAGACATACTTTTGGGGACGATAGTTTGGCCGCTAAAATACTTCAAGGTTAATTCTTATCTGGTAGATAAAAATTAGGAAGAACACTGTCTTGAGACTGGCCAGTGGTCGACCATTGTAGAGCTGAGAACAAACGTACTCTGTGCTGGAAGTCTTTTAGCTAAATTCACAAGCTTTTTTCACCGGGGTTAAACCGGTTCCATAACCCACGGAGATGATCCCAGCATTTACTCGGCTAAAGTCGAGATCAAAACTAAAACAGGGAGCCCTGGAGATGTTGGGTTACAATGTAATTTGTACAGGTTGCATTGGTCTGATAGCAATGCCGGTTCTTTTATGCTTCTGTTCCATTATAAAGAACAATGTGTAGATGTAGCAGACTAGCAAACACACTCCTAACATTTGAAAATTTAAAGTATTAAAGTATTTTATTTTGAAACAGTGTGTGTCAATAAACTTTAAGGAAATAATCGGATTTTCGCCCAAATTTGAAGTTTTCGAAGAAAGACGTTTTTCATGAAAAACAAAAACGAATTAAATTAGTGTCGCTCGATTTCTCAATAATTTTTTTCATTGTTCGCGTACACTCCCTTTAGTTACCATAAACAAGTGGAACAAGACCATAGATTTTAGATAGATCCTCCAGGCGGAAGAAAGAGAGTAGAGAAGCCGTGAACAGTCCAATTATATTTAATCCGTACATTACTAGATTTTAGATCTCATATTTATATACATATTTGCAGTTCTAAAATCAGTTTTAAAAACTTGCTCCATAAATGCTTTCCAGAGAAAACTAAATTTATAAGATTTAGAGTAAAAATCGATTACACGTTTGAGTTGCTTGTACAACAGTTTTTAATGAAAATTTAAATCCCTGAACTCTGTATAATTATAAATAATAACCTATAAATAATCATAATATTGATTTTATCCAAGATTAAATTAATGTTACAATTAAAAATTTTTGGATCTAAGAATTAGTAAATTAATTAATAAAATAATTAATCTAAGAATCTATTCCTATCCACGGTAAAGAGAGCCACCATCTTCGTAAATCCAGATTCCTTAATCAATGTATTTATATAATCGCGTACAATTTAGAAAGAAAAGCAATGATATCCTTCTCACTGTTGCTCAATTAAAGATGTAATCATGTTCACAGTCCCTTTAATTCATAGCATAATATTTTTTTAATAAAAAATCTGGGTTTTCCGTTTTATTTTATTTTAAAATCTAATAAAACACAAACGAATATAACAGTGAAAATTGTCATGGTTGTATTGTAAAAACACAGAAATGATGATAATGCAAAAAACGAAATAACCAACTCAATAGACGACACAAATGTTGTCCTTTCTCTCAAATGATTTTTTGTTTCTGCATTATTTCAGTATTTTGCTGGGTTACAAAATGATTTTGCATAGAAATAATCCAGTATTGGTTTGATATATGCACACTAAATGCAAGAAAATGGACTAAACAAATTCCAAACAATGGTCTCTGAAGTCTCATCCTTTGTGGGTAACCCTGTAGTTATGTTTTACCTTTTCAGAAGCAAAGTATGACATCACTTGTATTCAATACTTTCTTAGAATAAAAACGACAATATACTGATGTACTGATGTACTGATGTACTGTACTGATGTGAAATAGTCATATAACACTTTTATTTGGCGGGTAAATGAAAATTTTGTTTACAATCCCTTTAAGTTAATAGTTTGTGTTACTTTAAATAATTTAAATAAATTAATTGCATAAAAGTATATTTCCAACCTTCCAGAATAGTCCTTGTTAGCTGCGCAGATAAGAAGAACATTACACAAAAAGTTCACACAGATGATTCCAGCTAAAATAATAATATTAAAATAGTTGCAATCTTCTACTTTATCAATAAACATTATGATTATTTCCAAATAAACATATAGTCCATAAAATATTTGTTAAAAAATTACAAAAAGGGGGGGTTACACGTTTCATGAGCTAAACCTTGATTTTTAGGGACCTTTGTCCCATTGTTTATTAGAATTTAGGGGTGATGTTACATCATCGTCTACACGCAATATCCCCCCTACTGAACTTCTGACCTACTGCAATATCGGACCTATGCCAGCTATTTATTTTTGTATTACTTGCGGGTTAGGTTAGGTTAAGACAATTTATGGGCCGAGCGCTGCGGCTAGGACGGGATAGGGTGCCGAGTACCGCGGCTAGGACAGGCTAGGGGGCCGGGCGATGCTGCCTCAAGTCCATCACCAGCTTTAAAACCACGTGCTAATAGGTCGGATGTGTAGTATAGCGGATTTGGCTTAGGTCAGAAGTGAAGTAAAGCGGATTAGCGTAGGTCGAAAAATACACCATTGGATTTAGTCCTTTAAACAACATTAAGACCAAAGTTGAGATCAAATATCGTCTTCCAGTGAGCTAATTTTTCTTTAATGATTGGAATTTATACCAAAATCTTATGGTTCTAAGAGTGAATTAAAATGTGTATTAGATATTCGCCAAAACTCGTTATTTAAAGGGAGAGACCGGTTAGACATGGTAGTAGAATATTTGGTCTACTTTTGAATATTTGGCCTTTTAGAGTAAAATGAATTTTCGACCATCTCCTCATTTGTGGAGATTGTACCTACCAGACATTACCCATTACAACTATGTTTAAAGCCTAAACACACTTTTATCAGAGACACCCTGTGTGTCTCTCCCTTTATTAATGATAAATAGATTAAGGAAAACATGGCGCATATTCCCTTTAGTACAACAAAGGTGCGTATTTAATGATTAAATTACCTAAAATATAAAAATCTAGGAAGTTCTCCAACTTGTATTTGAAATAAACTCTGAAATAGTTCATGGAGAAACTTTTACTGTAAAAACTAAGAATTAAATTGTCAGCGTAAAAAAGCATAAAATGAAGTTCATCAGGATCTACAATTATAAAAATCCTTCGCTTCGGCAATCGTTACTGCATTGTTTACAATACTGTAGGTGCTAATATTAAATATAATTTTTTTATTTTTACAATATTTTTTTTCGAGAAAAATTCATAATTTTAACATTTAAAACATACCTTGAACTTACAAATATACACTATACAAAATAAATGTTTAAAGACATATGTTAGGTTTGCAGAAAGGATTATCAGATCTACATATTACAGCAAAAGAAATACAATTTACAATGTTTAAGTCTGTTGGTATATTTAAATCTATTAAACAATTTAGGTCAAGCTTAGAACTAGTATTATTTTTTACTTTTTGTGGATCAAGGATGTTTGAAGCAAATGTGTTCCAGTTTCTTTATAAATTCTATTCCTAAATTCATCTAAATATTTCCAGAAGGTAAATAATATAATCCATTCATAAATTCCTAAATAAAAAACACAATAATACAGGGTTACCCACAAAGAATGAGACTTCAGAGACGACTGTAAAGATTTGTTTTAATCCTATTCTTTATAATCCCGGTTCCCTGTAACCAACAACATACTTAATTTATAGTTAAACTTTTAAGGATTTTAACCTTTTAAAAGGTTGCACAAAGCATGATTTATTTCTAAAATATGGTTTTCATACAATGTCAAATAGAGATTATATTATTATATATACAAAACTTAATCAAAAACAATAGTTTAAGAGCGAGAACAAAGTTATAGACCATAGTTAAGGTAGACACTATAGACACCCTATTTGAATTTCTTCGAATCATTGTATTCAAAAAGATTCGTATGTCGTCATTAATGTCTCATATTTTGCAGTTAAATCTGTACTTCTCTAAACATTAAATTATATTTTTAGTTTGTCGATGAATAATTTAAAGATTCAGCTTTGGACATATATATAAATGCGGGGTGAATGAATTACAATGATTTTTATCAAGTTATAAGAATTAAAATATATTTACCCAGACAGAAGGGTAGAAGTAGAACACCAGTCCGTAATCTGCACCAGTGTATGTTGTACTGTAGACGCCGTCAATTAGAATTCAATAAATTAGTTTTTGACGCAACTTTCAACTGATCAATGTAGGCTGATGTTACACTGCAGTTAGTGGGATTCAATCGAACTTTAAAGTAACGGTGCATGCAAAATTAAGCGACCAAGCTATACTACTGATACTATGTACATAGGGACCAACCAAGGGTTCATCCTTATGTACATAGTATCATATAAGTTCATTGATCCCAGTCAGAGAAATAATGCCTAACAAGTGCAACCTAAGAATAAAGCCAAACAATCCAGATTCAGTTCGAAAGGGTATTGAACCTTGATTAAGTTTGCAGACTTAAATACATAACAGTGTAGGCGAACAAGGGTATTGAACCCCCTTTCTCATCTAGTGATAGCATGTCGGTCCCGTTTAAAGAGCAGTTTAAAGGGCAGTTTAAAGGGTGATGCTGGAGAAAGAAGTGAAACAGCATTTATCTTGCCGGCAAAGAAAGCAAATCGTCGGCCATCTGATCCCTGGGGTTCCCTAGGACTCGGCAGTCAGCACAAAGCATCAGATCAGAGGAGTCAAATGGAAATATATTCGCCCCAGGCGAATGTCAACTTTAATAGTTTGTATTGTTATAATGTAAAATATAGTTTGTGTGCAACGATGTTTTGTTATTCCACTCAATCTGAATACTGAATTCTTTTCAAGTCTATTGTAGTTTTGTGGAGAAATTATTTTCTGTCGATTTTTTACTACATTTTTCGTGGTCGTTACTGAATAATTTTTTAAAACACGATTTTCAAAATCATCACTCAAAAATATGCACCGAATTACGTCTATGGGTCTCAAATGATTCCTAAAAATTTCTCGACAATACTACATTCTCAGTTCATACATAGCCGGTCACTTAAAGCAAATTCACTGTGCTAATCATTAATGGCACTCTTTGGCACAAATATGAGTTAAATTGCATTGATTTTCTTTAACAATCGATTTGGAGCTTTGAAATCTATGCAGGGACTGCAGGACTGCAAAAAAAGTTCGAAATAAGGGTCAAGCCTTTGCAACACTTTAAATTCCACCCAAAATTTTTTTGTTAGTAAATAATATTCTGTTTAGAATGGTGTCGCGGCAGGAGACGGAGGAGGTGGGGCGGGGTAAAAATATGTAATTTTATCTAAATAGGATGAATTCTTGTAAACGACCTTCCTTACACATCTGTTCTCCTCTTCTACAGATGTAAAATGGAAACACGGCCTTTCAACAGGCCAAGTCAATAAACTATTTTTAATATATATAAATATATAAAAATATATATATAAAATCAAGAAAGTACATAAAGGAATCAGACAACAAAATAGCCTGAATCAGGAACATGGGCAGATTCATCCAATATTTGGCAATGCATTAATATTTAAATTATTAAGAAAAAAAGATCTCATATGACGAAAAAATAGATTTAAAAACGTTAATACTTAACACTATAAAGGGTCTGAATCCACGTATAGCCTGTTGGCGGGGGGGCGTCTCAATCCCCCCCTCCTCCCACAAAAAGGCCTTTATAGAGAATGGGTAAAGGGTTGAAATGCAAATTCATCGCCCGATTTTCCTAGAAATTAGATTGATAGCTTTTATAATTTGGGTCCTATGGGAGGATTAAAAAAATGCGAAAAAATGTCAAAAAAAATGTTAAAATTTTTTTTTGTTTAAAACAAATATCAAAGTGTGACACATGTTTCTACATTCATAGTTCCATTTTTCAAGGGCTTTTCAAAAATATAGTTTTTGTATTTGTAGCTGTAGTCATAAAAAAGTTATGGGCTATTTTAGTTTTTTTTTTTGCACAGACTGGACTTTTTACCGCCCTGAACCTCATCTTATGCATAAAAAATGTTTTTTTTTACAAAAATTCTTTAAATTTCTATTTATTATGAGTAAAAAATGTCACGGTGATAGTGTCAAAAATTAGAGTGCTAGGTCAAAGAAAACTAGAGAGGGGCGCCAAAGGCCCCCCCCCCTCCAGTCTGTTTAGGGTTAAGTTGCCAAGAAAACAATTGGTCAACCGGAACGAATAACTTGTCCAAGCGGCTCAAAACTAGCCGATAAAGTAAAAAATATTTAACAAAGGAATTGAGTCTTTGCCACAAATGTCTGATTTTATAATCCTTATATCTTTGCAACCAGGTTTCGTGGGCATTAGATATTTTAAACTATTCGATCAAAAAATCTAAGTTTAAAATATCAATGTTAACAATTACACCATTTCTTCTCAAAGATATAGTAATAGAAAAAGTTAATTGTTTCTGGCAAAGGCTTAATTCCTTTGAATTTATTAAATCTGGATGAGCAAGGAACACATTATTGTCACTATAATGATATGAAATATATCGATGTATTGGTGTAAATAAGGAATTGTTGAATTGTACTAACTGTCTCCCAGTATCCTTTCCTTTAACAAGTGTGAAACTATTGATTATATTTATATGTTAAGTTATGACCAAATGTATCTATAAGTATAGGGTCTTTGAAAAAAAAATTGTTTTCACCCAACAGTTTCCTAAGCCAATAGTACAGCGATGTACTGTACCCATTGGTACTGAGTGAATATACTCTTTCTTACTGAATATACCCTTTGGTTGAACATACTCTTTGATACTGAATATACCCTTTGATACTGAATATACCCTTTGATACTGAATATACCCGTTGATACTAAATATACCCTTTGATACTGAATATACCCTTTGATACTGAATATACCCTTTGATTGGTGCTGAATATACCCGTTGGTACTGAATGTACCCTTTTACTGACACTGAATAGTGAATATACTCTTTGGTACCGAAAGTGCTGTGCATAAAAAGTAGGTTTTTTGTTCTCTCGCTGTAAGCAGGACATTCCTTCACTCGCAAGAAAATTTCTGGATGTCATGGCATTAGAAGATTAGTTTTAAGGTTTATGCAAACCTCAGAGACCTCAGATGATATGTAATATCTATAAGGCAAACTTATAGAGAGCCAAGGCCCCCCAACTAGGGATGTTAACGTTTTCATTTTTCAGAAAAACGATCGTTTCGTTATGAAAACGACGACGAAAAATCGAAAACGAAACGATCGTTTTTAAACAAAAACGATCGCTATTCGTTTTCTAAAAGTTCAAAACGAGTGGGTCGTTTTTAAAAAAGATCGTTTTTTTCCGAAAACGAAACGATCGTTTTTGGAAACGAAACAAAAAACGATCGTTTAACGATCGTTTAACGATTGTTTTCAAAAACGATTAACAACCCCACCCCCAACACGAGAGGAGATCCCACAATAATTAATGATTATCTGATCACAGTAAATTGAGCTCATTTTGCGAAAGGAAACATGATCGAGAGACGATTTTTTTAAATACCCTGTATAGTGTATAAAATGCACGAATTCTGGAGATACTTACGTCTCGAGATATTTACGTCTTAAAATATTATGTATTGCGTGCCAAAGATAATTTCAGTATTTTATATTAAAAAGGTCAGAGGGCCATGGGTCGATATGATATTTGTTCTATTACCATTTTCTCTTTGAACATTTGCTAAACGAGCAGTGAGCACTTATGAACTATTTTCTATTTGCTTAAAACCTTGTGGAACAACGACATTTTCCGTGAGAAAAGTTGTTTAGTGTTAGACTACGGCTATAAAAGCTAAATGGGCCGAGCGCAGTGGCAATAAGAGGCTAGGGGTCAAGCGCTGCCAAGGACTATCTATATCTATGTGTATTTCAATTTTTAACTTCACATTTTTATTAAAAAAAGAATTATACTAATATCTATGTGTATAGATAATACAGAGTGTCCCACCAAATGGGACAATTTGGAGACACCTGATCGACCGTATTCATTTTTCAGATCTTTCCTCAGGATATTAAATTAAGTGAAATTCCTTATATTTCCGTTTATTTTTAAAGCACATAAATGGCAGACTACATTTTGGAAATGATAGAACTTGAGTTTATCCTGAAAGTAAATAATCTAAAATATTAAAAGTTTAAGATACAGTGATAATCAGAAAACTCTGAAATGGGAAGACGACTTTTTGAGAAGAAAAATTACTTTAGAAGTCCAATGAGACACGGAAATTGTGCATTGCAATTTAACAGATCCATTTCACTGCTATAATGTCGTCTTCTTAATCCATTCTTTTCTGGTTATCACTGTAGATGAGCCACTAATTAAATAATTAAATATTAAAAAACCTGTCAATCGTTATTTTACAGATATTATTATAATTACATATACAGTTGTTTAAAATGATTAATACAGACGTAGTTTTCAGGTTTTCCGTAAGGTATGTAATTATAACTTTAAAATCCAATCTTTAAGTTTTTCTTGATTCAAAAATCATAAACAGCCCTTTTATTCCATTCGATAACAAATGAACCTGAAAGTTAAATATCCTTATCTTATAATTATAAAGATCTGAATTGAATGAGGAAGTTCTGTAACAGAATCCATCTAAATAATATTTACAAAGTAATAAGTCGATAATCACAACAAATTTTTAAATAACAAGCGCACACAAAAATTTCTACACATAACAAGCGTTTCAGTGTTCGGAAAAGCAGAAATAACATGAAATCAGTTACGCCTGTATGTTTTTCATCATGTTATTTATTAAACGCTTTCGTAATAAGTTATTGAAACCAGTCAATATTTAGTGCTGTTTGATATCTATGAATTATTTTTCATAAAATTTTCAGAAACTCCGGTGTCTTCTTGTTTTTAAACCGAACATTGCATCAATAAATTTCAAGTAAATTACTAAAGATTATAACTTTTAAATAAACAGAATAAGTTTAAATTTAGTCCTATCTCAGACTCAGTCGTTAAAAGATTAGAAATCATTATTTTACTCGGAGAAAATGAAGCTTTCATACGCCAGTACTAGATTCGTTCTTTTACATGATTTTTTTAAATATTCTAATTAATTTGGCAAAACGGAACACAATAAATGTTAAAAACGAAACACAATAAATGTAAAAACGGAACACAATAAATGTAAAAACGGAACACCATAAATGTAAAAATGGAACACTATAAATGTAAAAACGGAACACCATAAATGTAAAAACGGAGTACAGTGAATGTGAAAACGGAACACAATAAATGTAAAAACGGAACACCATAAATGTAAAAATGGAACACAATAAATGTAAAAACGGAACACCATAAATGTAAAAACTGAACACTATAAATGTGAAAACGGAACACAATAAATGTAAAAACGGAACACTATAAATTTTAATTTTAAACACAATAAATTTTAAAAACGGAACACAATAAATGTGAAAAGTCTCATCTTTTGTGGGAATCTTTTTACAATTACATTGACATTCATTGATTTTATACAAATAATAATGCATAAAAATTATTAATAGTTTAAACAAAAAGTGACAAAAATTGACGTTATCCAAATTGTTGCAACCCCTGCTGAAGCATTATCTGCAAATCGTCCAACAAACGTCTTCTTCTATTCATGTTCACGTTGTTGTTGTTGTTATTATTGTTGTTGTTATTGTTATTATTATTGTTGTTGTTGTTGTTATTGTTAATGTTATTATTAATGTCCAGAACCACGTTGAAAACAACAAGCAAAAAGTTCAACAAACTATAAGGAAAAAAAAATAGTTTTAGATAAAAGTTTTTAATAATTTTGAAATTTTTACAATTTAAAGATGCATTATTTTACCATGATTACCTGAAAACTGAAAATTGGCGTTTTTTTCTTGATAAAACGAGCTCATTTGCAGGACTCATGATCATTGTGCGCTCATCAAGCGCGTCTCCAGACTTGTCTACAACGTCCGTCTCAATTTCGGGATTCAGGTCTGCGACAGATTCATAAATATTGGAGGAAACGATCTCGGGTTTAACTGGAAAAAAGAATTGCAAAAAATAGAAAGAAAAAAAATTTATCTTAAATAACTTTTAGCCTATTAATTTATGATTTTTAAATTCTTTTATGCGTTTATTTTGAACTGTTATTTTTTAAATATCTAAATATACCTGATTTTATAATGTCTAGTTGATTTTGCGAGCCTAAAATAGAATGCAGATGAAAAATTTTAAACCATCTGTCTAGAAATTGCCCTGGTCGTAAAAAGCAGAAGTTTGCTGTCTAAATTATTGGTGGGAGCCCTTTAAACTTCCCAAAAAAATAACTTCCCCAAAAAAGAAGTTCCAATAAAAAGAACTTACCAAAAAAAAGCTTAAAAAACTTCCAAAAAAACATCATACACATAAGAGTTGATACATTGCAATAAAATCTAAACATTAAAAAAAATTCTGTGCAAGCTGTCAATAATCCGAAGAATGTGCAGTAAAAAATTACCTCTTTCTGCTAGATACCGTGTAAAGTCGTACATCATCTTCATTTTATCAAACTTTCCAATATTCCAGGTCTTCTTCATAGTATCAGTTAAGCTTGGGATGATTTCAGCCCTGCTCACATCTGATAAACTAGATCTTACTGTTGTTGTTGTTGTTGTTGCTGATGTGGTTGAATAAAGAGCAGAGGGTGTGTTAGCACTATTTCCATCTCCAAAAACAGGAATATTAGTTTCAAGCTTGGATACGCTTGAAAAAGGGCTGCTAGGGATGGATGGGTTTGAAGTGGAGTACGAAGTTTCTGTAAAATTAAGGAACATTAGTTTTCAGTATCAGTGATCGATTATATCTAGCTACATTTTTCTTAAATTCAAGTATAATATAATAGGCCAATTAAAACCATCTACTCTGGTTAGGCGGGTCCAAATTACATTGTAAATTGTGATTATTTATTTGTATTATCTCGTGCTTTCTGATATGAAATATGAATTGAAAAAAACCGTAGCTTTGTTTACAAATATAGTGTACTGCAGTTTCTGGTAGGAATAAAAACAAAGCGTGTGTTTAAATTTCTCCCAAAAACTGGACTTTATTTTATTTGTAAACAAATCTATGAGATATCTCAGTATATTTTCTCATCGAAAGCAAAGATAAGGAATTGAGCCTTTGATATTTAAAACTTAAATTATTTGATATGACAGAATTCAAAATTTAAAACATCTAAGGTCTGCAGAATTGGGTTGCAAGATATAGGGATTAGAAAAACAGAGTTTGTGACAAAGACTCAATTACTTTGTATTCTTTATTTAAATTTTTCGTGAAAACTCACTTTTGGATGTTTTCTACATGTTTATAATCTAAAGATAATTATGTTTTCTACATGTTTATAATCTAAAGATAATTATGTTTTCTACATGTTCATAATCTAAAGATAATTATGTTTTCTACATGTTGATAATCTAAAGATTATTATGTTTTCTACATGTTTATAATCTTAAGATAATAATGTTTTCTGCATGTTTATAATCTAAAGATTATTATGCTTTCTACATGTTTATAATCTAAAGATTATTATGCTTTCTAATGTTTATAATCTAAAGATTATTATGCTTTCTACATGTTTATAATCTAAAGATAATTATGTTTTCTACATGTTTATAATCTAAAGATAATTATGTTTTCTACATGTTTATAATCTAAAGATAATTATGTTTTCTACATGTTTATAATCTAAAGATAGTTATGTTTTCTACATGTTTATAATCTAAAGATAATTATGTTTTCTACATGTTTATAATCTAAAGATAATTATTTACCAGGTTTAAAAGCAGTTTGTTGGATTCCGAGATTCTCAGCAACATTACTTGCAAAATCTTCAATCATCTTAAACAGTCGTCTTCCATTCATGTTCATATTCAAGTTATTGTTGTTGTTGTTGTTGTTGTTATCGTTGTTGTTATTATTATTGTTGTTATTGTTGTTGTTAATGTTGATGTTTTCATTGATCAACATTACACTGTTTACTAGCAACATTAGAAAACTAAAATAAAATTGGATTAAAACCGTTTTTCTTAAATCAACTTTTAAAAAATTTGGTTAACAGGGTTACTCACCAAGAGAGACGATTAAGGTTGAAATCGTTTAAGGGAAAGATTAAGGTCGGCTCTTAATCTTAAATGTCATTCTTTGTAGTTAACCCTGTAGAAATTATAACCTTAAAAATCCAAAAACTGGAAACCGTTTCTTTCTTGAGAGAATTTTGTCTCCTTCGTCTGAGATGTGATCGTTTCTACTAGTTTCTTGGGCATGTCCACTGTGGTTTAATCAAAATACATCTAATGAGCAATAAGCATAAGAATACAAAATGTAAATCAAAATTAAATGTATTTATTTTTTAAATGATTTATTTAAGATTGCCACTGATAGGTGACAAAGAACCCCTTTAAATCTAAATTTGAGCAGATATGTTAGAAATATTTTCGTTTTAATCTACAAATATTATCTTACGTCTGCAGGGATTTTATAGCTATCGACTCGTATCAAGCAATCGTCCGATTTAAATCTATTTTATTGTTCATCAGATTAAGGTTTAAAGAGTAATGTTGTGAATCGATTATGGTTGACATAACCTCGACAATATACACTTTTGTTTGATCTTTTCAAACTAACAAAATCGTCAGTTTTCAAGAACAAAAAAAAACAATAAGCATGTAAATCCCAGTCATAGGAAAAGCCAGTCCGATATGGCGAAAATCACTATCAAAATATTGAAATATTGAAATATAGGCAATAATGGGGCGGAATTAATCAGTACGAGGATGGGCCGGACCGGTAAAAATTTATTAGAGCTTTTATAATCCCTGACATTCTGAGATATCAATAACGCGTGATATCTATCATCAGCAAGGATTTATCAGTAAAGATAAAGTAAATGTATTTTTGAATTCCTGAGTTGTAGAATAACCTTCCATCTGTACTGGCTGGGTATCTGTAAACTAGATATTTCTCCAGATACTGACAATTTACATCAATAAATATATCTATATTTCAAGATATTCAGGGGCGTGTTCAGTTAGGCTTCTTTGGGGCGTGCACCCCTCCCCCGGAGGAATAAAAACTGTGGTTAAAATATTTCTGTGTAAGCCCCTGAAGATATTATCGCAGTTTAAAGTTGGAGAGCTCTTTCTAAAGAAATTATTCACGCTAAAAAACCATAATAAAATTTTAGAAATGGATCAAATAACAAGAATATTCATTATTCCTAATTTTTCTACAAGTTGATTCACAATATTCCTTTCCGTTTCCTTATTCTAAAAAATGCAAAAAAAAAGTTATATTTTAGGTTTTATAATATTTGTTTATGTTTTGGTTACCATGTTTATATCTTCTGTATTTTGATTAACTATTTCAAATTCAGACTTTTTGGAGGTTTCCAAAATTGAAATCACTGTTGTTGTAAGTAATGCTGTGGCTGTTGCAGTTTCCAGTGGTGTGGTTGTTGTTCTTAGAACTGGTGTGGTTGTGGTTTGAGATGTTGATGTTTCCTCTTTTTCTAATTTCCTGAAAGGAACAAATTTTGAAATGATATTTTAAAGGAATTAAGTCTTTGTCACAAACTTATATTTTCTACTTCAGATATCTTTGCAATCTGATAGTGTAAACCTTTGATATTTGTTATAACAGAATTCACAGTTTGAAATATCTTAGGTCTACGACATTGGGTTGCAAAGATTTAGGAATTAGAACATCAGAGCTTGTGGCAAGGACTTAATTTCTTTCAATTCAAAATGTGTCCCCATAGTTCATCGGAAGAAATATATTTAACTAATGTTATACCAGTTTACAGCTAAAGTAAAACCTATGATCATGTATGCTATAAAAATGTTTATTTTAAGAAAAATAATAAGTTTTACCTGTAAAGGCTATTTTCCACAAACTGTTGAATGGAACGAAAAAGGCGTTTTGCATTTGTGTTCATATTCATATTCTCATTGTCGTTGATGTTGTTGTTGTTGTTGTTGTTGTTGTTGTTAACATTTATATTTTGTGTAACAAGGAGAACTAAGACAAACAATGGTAAAATTAAAACTTTAAACTACAAAATGTTGCAGTAAATAATGTGTTGTGGAAATCTTTCAGTAAAGAGATTGTTACTTTTTTTAATAATATCCTCATATATTAATCAGAATTAAAGAGATTCTTATTTGTTTAATAATATCCTCATATATTAATCAGAATTAAAGAGTTGCCTGTATTAATGAGTAGAAAAGTAAAGGCTAGGTATCCTGTCAAAGGAAAAGTTCTCTTCTGTCGGGACAAAATACGTAGATTGTCGTCTTCGTATCCCACATCTTCAATCTCTAATCCAAGAGTACGTAGAATCAGGAACATTAAAACAAGCAGAACTGAAAATAAAATGTCCCTATAGGATATAATCAATTTCCCCAAACAATCAAATCTAATCAGGTTCTGTTGGGCATGATTAAGGGAGGGTCTCATCCACTAGCATAGCCCCCCCCCCTGTACCTGCACAAATTCATGCATTTTTGCCTTTCTTTTTTTACTTTTTGTCGGCATATGCGTTTCAAATCAAAAGTAAAAAGGGATTGAATTAACTATCACTTCCATATAACTCTTCGGCCGCCTGATGTAAAAACAAGGTTTGACATCTTTTTTTTCTTTTTTTAAGTACTACAAACTTATATTAAAAACCTAAATAAATCAAAATGTATAATTTGTATATCATTCTTTTGAATTAAAAGCATCCAAAACATCCAAAATGACATTCATATATCTAACAATATAACAATTTGTGTAATCTTTCAATGATAGAAATAGGTCTTTCAATTTCAACACTTTGGATGCTTTGACCCTGTAGTTAAGCATGAAAAGTGTAATTTGAAAGCATCAAAATCAACATTTGAAAGCATCAAAAACAACAAACATTCAAATTTGATGCCTTACTCACTCTTTTTTGAGAAAATAATAATTTTCCAGTCAAATTATGATTTTGAGATTAATGTTTTCACCCAGGAAAATTGATCTTTATGACGCATGGGAGTATGTGAAGGGAATGTGAAAGGTTTTGATAAGGTTTTCATTTTCACATAAAACCAGAACTTTTGTATTGAGAATCTTGAGATCAATTGCATTGATCTCATTGATTTCATTGATCTCATTGATCTCATTGATCTCATTGATCTCATTGATCTCATTGATCTCATTAATCTCATTGATCTCATTGACCTTATTGATCTCATTGATCTCATTGATCTCATTGATCTCATTGACCTCATTGATCTCATTGATTTCATTTATCTCATTGATCTCATTGATCTCATTGATCTCATTGATCTCATTGATCTCATTGACCTTATTGATCTCATTGATCTCATTGATCTCATTGATCTCATTGATCTCATTGACCTCATTGATCTCATTGATTTCATTTATCTCATTCATTGATCTCATTGATCTCATTGATCTCATTGATCTCATTGTTGATCTCATTGATCTCATTGATCGCATTGATCTCATTGATCTCATTGATCTCATTGATCTCATTGATCTCATTGATCTCATTGATCTCATTGATCTCATTGATCTCATTGATCTCATTGATCTTCAACTTATTCAATACTACAGAATAATTCCTTTTCAATATCCCGTGATGGTATCATCGTGTGGCGGAGATAAGTTCACTTCTGAGATCAACCATAAATCCTCAAATTTAAAAGTGTCCAAATTTCATAATAATATCCAGCCAAGCATTCAAGATAATCAATATCCACACAAAAGTTCTAAACTCTGGTATCTCAAGTTACAAGTTAAGAGTATCCAATTAAATACTTGTAAATGGATTGAAAACCAGAGTCTAAAACTAAAGAACGAAAAGTTTTGACTTAATTTTTAAGTTTATGGTTAAATGCCACTTCTGACTTAATTTAAACCTGAACTTTAACCGTGAGGTTAAATATTGAACCCTGTGGTTAAATATTTAACTCGCCAAAATCGACGAGTTAAAATTTAAACACAGGGTTAAAATCTTGAAATCCTGCATTTTCTCTATTTGTCTATTTTTCAATCATCATTCAGCTGAAAAAGCGGTATTCAACGTTACGATATATTTAAAAGTGAAAACCTTGTTAAAGAAATTTCACGTTTTAGATAAATTATTTTTTGCATGTAAACTCAAAAACGGTTGTAACTCGAAATATGTTTTGTTTTCGGTTACGTAATAACAGCTGATTAAGCGATGGTTTTGTAATATTCTCCGTAAATCCTTTTCTCTGATTGGTTCAGATTTTTCCCGGGAAATTCAAATTTAAAATTGAAAAAGTTTAATATTTAAGTAGCTACTCATTATTTTACAGAACTTTTAACCTCGGACTTAAAATTCGCGCATTCTTTAGTTTTAGACTCAGATAATATTGTTTAAAACCTTATTAAAAAAATTATTTGTAACTTAAGGACCACATGAGAGCTTTGTGAAACAGTTCTAATTGCTATAGCTTTCCTGCTGCATTAGTTTTACACATTTTTGATGTATTAATGTTTTTTTTTGATAACTGTTATGATTTATTATTACTTCAGTAAATTTATGCTTTGATTTCATTTGAAATATTGAATACCTAGTAATCTTGAAATCTTCATTATATATGTTTGATATGTTTTCTAGTTCACATGTATCGTGTGGGATATTTACTAAAATATTTGTCTGAGAAATAAATCCTTTGTAAAACGGTTCTTAGTTCATGTCCTCACTATAAAAGGATAGATAGATAGATAGATAGATAGATAGATAGATAGATAGGTACATCGATAGATAGATATGATTTACGGTTACCAAAGGAGGTATAAATGTAACAGGACATACATAGTAATAACAGTATGATGGGGGGGGGGGGGGGGGCACTTAGCAGAAGGAAAAGGTGTGGGGGAATAAATAGAATAGAAGGGATGAAAGTACGGAAGAAATAAAAGAGGGGAGATAAATAATTTGAACGGGCGTAGAAGAAGACAAGGATGAAATAGAGGGAAATAGGACAGAAAGAAAGATTATGAAATAGAAACAGTGTTTGTAAAAAATTCAATTTAAAGAAAGAAGAATAAGGATAACTCCATCACTAGTTGTTTATGAAGAGGGTACTGTAATGTACCGAGTATGCTCCTCTCTAACCCTATAAAGGCTGGGGGGTCTGAATCTATGTATGGCCTAGGGGGTTTTGGCCCCCCCCCCCCCAAGAAAAAGGTCTTAGATAATAGATATAGGGTTGAAATGCATAATCATAGACCAATTTTTCATAGCCAGCTCAAAGAAAAAAAATAAGACCGATAACTTTAATAGTTTGGGTGCTAAATTTTTTTTTTCATTTTTGGGTTTTGTTTTAAACAAAGAAAAAAGTGTTATCCATTTTTCTGCATGCAAGTGCTTTTTAAAAATATAGTTTTTAGATCTGTAGCTTTAGTCACAAAATAGTTATGGGCTTTTAAATTTTTTTCACAGACTGGACTTTTTTTCCACCCTGTACCATACCCTATAAATTTTAAAAAACGGATTTAACGTTTCTCTCCATATTTTAGAAAGTGGTGACTTTCGATCACAATTTGACCCATTATAAATATTTTTTTAAGCCTTTTTTTAATAAAACTTTTTTATCGGCATATACATTTTAAATGAAAAGTAAAGAATAAAACAATCTATAAGTTTAAAGATTGTTGAATTATATAAAAAAACAGGATGAATGGTAAAAGAAAAAATTAAACCATGAAAAGAAAGTAACTTACCAAAATGGTTAAAAATCAGTAAATCTATTCATTTAATTTTTCGATTTCCTTTTCTTCTTCCCGTTGTCTTCCATAACAAATTAAGAAAAAGATTTAAACCAGGAATAAAATATTTAAGAAATTGATAATTAAGGTGACCTTATTAATAAAATTGGTAAGATCTAGATAATTGAGAATACCACAGGTGTTTTGTTTAAAAATAAAATATATAAAGCAACAAATATATCTACATCCTCAGATCGTACAGTTGATCTCATCTGGTCTGTAGACGCCAGACAACAAGGTATTTACTATTAAAGTATATTCTAAATATAATTTGTTTCTCAGAAAAACAGAAGATGGATATTGAAATCTAAATCATCTTAATCACAGTGAGAACCAGAAAACTCCAAAACAGAAAGACGACTTTTAAACTCAAGTTCTGAATTTATTTAGTACATTAAACATTAGACACAGCCATTGTGCAGTTTAAACAGATTCCGGATTCCATAGTTTTCTTGTCCTAACTGTACTTTAGGAAAATTATGGTTTGATACAAATCTTAGGTTAAAAGTGGAATAATCAAAATTCAATTCTTCAAAGTTTAAAAATGCAAAAAAAAACTTTAACATTAGTTCTAAAACTTGTCAATTTTAGATCATTTTCCTATCTAACTAGCATACAATTAAAGAATAGGTTTGAGAAAGAAAATTCATTTGTGATGATGCATTTGTAGTAATTTCAGTGCATCCTTTACAATACTAATCAATTTAAAACAGAATAATCTTCCTCTTTGGGTTTTCTTAATAACAGTAAGAATTTACAAATTATATATATATAACCTTATTCTTGTAATTTACAACTGTTTTAAAATAGAAAATATTCCATTATTCCACAGTTACAAATTAAAACAATATCTCTGGTATTTTCTGAAAGAATTAGATCAAAGGATGACAATTTTAATCTATTCTTAATTAGCAATGTAGGATGAATACTTTGCATAGATATAAAAATTCCCTTATGTCATCTCTGAAATAGTTGAAATATATAACATAATAATTTTATCTTAATATCATTACCATTAAGTAAAAACTAAAAACTAAATAAAAATAGAATATATTTCAGAATGAACAAGATTCTCCTGATCGCCCTTCTGGGCTGTACTGTTCTTGCTTTAGCAGGTAAATAACCTAATTTAATATTAAATAAATATCAAAATACTTATTTTTCCTATGTTTTAGCTGCAAGCAATGATGCCAACTCTGAAAAAAGTCTGATCTAGGTTTGTTCATTGACTAGAAAACTCAGAGCTTTAACTAGCTACAGCTCAGCTGTCAAGTCATAGCTACAGCTCGATCTATGACCCTGGCTATTGTCTTATCTCACAGATATGTTGGTACGAGGGGAGAAAGGCCAGCCACGGCAATTTCTCGTCCAAGCCTCATTCTCCTCATTTTCTCGTCTGACCCACCTCGGAATCCTTGTCTATAGATTAACTGTTTTAAAGTTTCCAATTCTCGAAGATAAAGCTATATTTTTCAAATATGGCAACCTTAGAGAATAAAATATAGATAACATAAAGTATTGCAATGCTTACATTCTGTTATAATTGTTAAACCCTTGAGAATGATGTCAAACAATATTTAGGTAAAACTTAAATCTCTTCTGCCTTTGATAGCTAACCTTCGCGATATAAAATAAATAACAAAATAGGAAAAATTCAAACAAGAAATTGTTCAACTTTTGTGAATTTATTCTTTGTGTTGCTTTCTTTTTTCTTGATATTGATTGTTTTAATATATTTGTATGAAATACACAATACGTAGAAACAATACAATTTGGGCCACCCATGAAGCTTTTTAGGCAGGAATCATTTGCATTTTCAATATGGAAATGAAAAATGAAAAAAAACGAATTTAGACAATAAATAATAAGTTTTTTTTTGGATATTCAAGTATTATTTTTTTTTGATATTTACAGGTCTGAACCTTAAAGTGGCCCTACACTTGTCAGGGATAAAACATTCAAAACAGTTAATTCTACAATTACGTTTATAGAGTAGTACTATAGTACTATAGTATATACTATAGTATAGTACTATGAGGCAGGCTGCAGGAAGGTTGTTAATCTTTTTTAAAAACAATCGTTTTCGTTTCATTTTATTTTTCTAAAACGATAGTTTCACTTTAGAAAAACGAACGACTCATTTTGAACTTTCAAATAACAAAAAGCTATTATGGTTTTTTTTAATCAAAAAATTATCTTTTTTAAAATGATCTTTTGTTTTTCGTTTTTTTCTTTGTTGTTTTTAAAACAAAACAATTGTTTCTCAAAGAGGTGGAAACAATCCATCCCAGGACATCCCTGGAGGACATAATGATTTTTAAACTTTTCAAAAACATTTTTATAAATGAAAACTGTTAATCTTTTTATATTTTTAATTCAACGAATTAAAAAAAAATTTAAATCATTACTAAATTTCCACTGGAAACCAGAAATTCAGGAAAATTTTCTGCCGGAAAATTAATTTTCTGTCACGGAAATTCCAGATATTTCCAGGACTGAAAATTTCCGTGACAGAAAATTTTGGTTCATCTTCCCAGGTAATTATTATTTCCGCCGGAAAATATTCTGGCTAAAAATTGGGCTCTATAGTCTGTGAAGACTCAAGTCTTTGGCTTGATTCTGATTGGTACTTTGGTTTGATTCTTATTGGTACTGATTCGAACAATGAGAGATGCTTTCAAAACTGTGTCTGCATATGCTTTCATAGATTCAGCGTTCCTCAGTGTAAATTTTAAAAAACTCAAAACTTTTAGTATGTGTGTTTATTTTATAAATTAGCCAAATAAAAAACAGCAGCAGATAATTCACGAGATTTTGAATGTAAGAATATAATAGTTTTTACGAAATGCACAGTCAACGGACCAAGTTTAAGAAGAGATAAAACCAACTGAGTTGGTTCTACTGAAAACCAAGTTAAGGAAATCCTCAAGTCTTCACATTATCTGTACTTAGGGCATTAATTGGCACTAACATTGGGATTTACTAAGGTTTAAGCTTTTAGAATCTCTAAACTTAACAGGTAGGGGTGATTTAAAGAATATTTCTTGATTAAACAAAAAAGTTTTAATCATGAAAAAAGCATTTTTTCAAGAACTTAGTCTGAAGAAATAAAAAAAACATGTAAACAGTAAATATCTTTGTAAAATGGCTGTGAGAGAGACAAAAAAGGAAGACTTTGCAGGGAAAAAGTTACGAATTTGAATTTTAATAAAAATTGCTACACCACTGTTTATTGTTGTGTGAGATATGGAAAGGTGTTGACGAGAATAGAAATAGTAAAATGCGATAATAAAATTTATTCATAAACTTTGGCAGAATTACATATTTTCCTTACATACTAGTGAGTCATTCGTCAGTCAATATTTCTAAGTAATGAGGTAAGATCAAATAACAACATATGTATTCAATCTCAATCTCTACATTTAATCCAATTGAATTAAATGTGATATCAGAAAAAGCATGAATACATATGTTGTATCGTTCAAGCTTTAATGTCAGAATTACAAATGGAACATGTCTCTCAGAATTCTTCTTCCAGATGGAGCTTTTGTAGCAGTTGAGGAAGCTGTTGTTGCAGCAGCTATATTTGCAGCTGATGCAGTTGTACCGGTTTGGACTAAACACAAGAATATTGTTTGACATCATTCTCAAGGGTTTGACAATTATAACAGAATGTAAGCATTGCAATACTTTATGTTATCTATATTTTATTCTCGAAGGTTGCCATATTTGAAAAAATAGCTTTATCTTCGAGAATTGGAAACTTTAAAACAGTTAATCTATAGGCGAGGATTCCGAGGTGGGTCAGACGAGAAAATGAGGAGAATGAGGCTTGGACGAGAAATTGCCGTGGCTGGCCTTTCTCCCCTCGTACCAACATATCTGTGAGATAAGACAATAGCCAGGGTCATAGATCGAGCTGTAGCTATGACTTGACAGCTGAGCTGTAGCTAGTTAAAGCTCTGAGTTTTCTAGTCAATGAACAAACCTAGATCAGACCTCAGGTGTTACTTCTAATCGTAGCAAATTTTCAGCTGATCCAAATCATACCTCAGCTAGGATTTAGCTCTGACTTCACAGCCAAATCACAACTAATGGGAATAAACTGGACGCCATTATTTATAGAATCCTAATGAAATTGGAACATTAATTCAGCCATTAAAATGAAAATATGAAAAATCGAATATAATATTTTGTTATATTGTTGTACTTTTAGTTTATCAAATAAGATTAGTTAATTTTGTTTACAAAATTAAAAGATAATTGATTAAATTTATATTGCAATTAAAATGTATAAAATTGTTAATAAACAAATGATCAAAAAAAACTTTAAAAATTTGATTTTTCAAAAAAAAATTTTTGGTATTTGAAGAAATTAAAGAGAGGGGGGCGTTGGGTCCAAGGGGGGGGGATGAATAATTTTTACGAATAAAAAAATGGAAATTGCATATTCATCTGCAGAAAATTAAAAAACTTTACTCTTTGTTTAGACAAATTTGTCAACATAATATGATGAAATTTTCAGAATTTAGTATTTTGAAATTTTGTCATACAATTATTTTTTGTAAAGATTTAGTCCTTATTTAAAAGATGACTTTATTAAAGAGATGGCTTTTTGTGCAAATGCCCAATAAGATTTTAATTTAATTGTCAAATTGCTATGACTTAGCAGCTTGGATTATAACTTAGCTGCATGTATGGAAATCATAGTCATAGTTACAGCAAGTTGCAGCTTGTTTTATGAACCGGGCTTATGCTTCTACCCAATATTTCCCTCAACAAAGTCATCAAGAAAAAACTAAGATTTTATTAAAGAACAGGATTTAGGAAACTATCAACCAAGAAATTTTAAGAATTTATTATTTGTGCAACACAAATTAATATTCTTTGGATTCCTGAAGTGTTAAGATATTTAACAAACTGAAAATTCAGCTAAGATTTCAAAAGTTGAGCTCACTCATTCTATAAACAAAAAAGAAATAATAAAATGCGATAATAAAAATTTATTCATAAACTTTGGCAGAATTACATATTTTCCTTACATACTAGTGAGTCATTCGTCAGTCAATATTTCTAAGTAATGAGGTAAGATCAAATAACAACATATGTATTCAATCTCAATCTCTACATTTAATCCAATTGAATTAAATGTGATATCAGAAAAAGCATGAATACATATGTTGTATTGTTCAAGCTTTAATGTCAGAATTACAAATGGAACATGTCTCTCAGAATTCTTCTTCCAGATGGAGCTTTTGTAGCAGTTGAGGAAGCTGTTGTTGCAGCAGCTATATTTGCAGCTGATGCAGTTGTACCGGTTTGGACTAAACACAAGAATATTTAAAACAATGATAGGAAAGTTATTCATTACACTTATGATTTCCAACTTCAATAGTAGAATAAATCAAAAAGAAGACAGCTTAAACATTTCATTTATAATTTTTTACCTTCAAGAGTAGTTTGAATTTCTGAAATTGCAGCAGCTGCTGATGCTGATGCTTCATCCAAAGAGGAGACTGCAGCTGTAAGTGATAACTTCTCCTCAGGTGTACAGGCTGCTGGAGGATCAGCATTTGCAGCATCAGCCATTTCCTTTATTTTGGGACTTGAAATAAATTCTAAAGCCAGCTTAGATACTTTTATGCAAGAAGCAATAAAACTTGAACAAGATGCTGCTCTCTTAATTCTGGAACCTGATGATTTGGATTTTGCTGTTGCAGAGAGTTTGTCAATGGAATCTTTATTATCAGTTACACCTTTTAATCTGGCAAGAAGCTTATCTGCAGAGTTGGCAGGACTACAAGAAAAGATTATAGATGAAGCATTATCCTGGGTTTGTCTGCAAGAGGAAAAGCTCTTTATGCAAGATGTTCTGTACTTGACAAACTCAACATTTTTGTCTGTAAGGGTACAATTGGCAATTTCTTCAGATGCAGTTTTCAGATCAGCCTTCTTCCAACATGCACATACCTTTGTTGCATCTGTTTCTTTGGTGCAACCATCAACAGCATCACTAAATGTTTTCATTTTTGTTTCACATGCATCTGCCTCTGTAGAATTGTATACTGGTTTGTCAGTTTCACATGCTGCCCTGATATTGTTCTGACATGCTTCTAATGCATCAACAGCACCTTTCAATGCTACTTGGCCTGCTCCAGTTTCTTGTCCTTGACATTTTAGTGCAGATGAATTTCCACCCCCTGCTTCTTTTAGTCTTACAAGATCAGCAGAAAAGTCACCCTTTTTCCCTGCTTTTGAGGCTGCAAGGGAGCTAGCTTTTTCAATTCTTGCTTTCTGAGCATTAAAGTTCCTTACTTTGTCCTTGACTTGCTTCATGTATTTGCTTGCAAGAGCTAAGCATTCTTCATCAGCATTGCATGTTGTTGTCTGCCTTACGCTTCCTCTCATAGTTTTCTTTTCCCTTTCTTCTTCGCCAGCCTTCTCCTGTTTCTTCATTGCCTTCCTGGATTTATCCTCCTGTTTAACTTTTTTGCCCTTTTTGGCTTTTTTAGTCTTTTTGCTCTTCTTGCCGGCTTTCTTTTCTTTTAGGGATTTTTTACTCTTTTTGGCTTTTTTACCCTTCTTTTTTTTTTTTTTCTCTGTGGTTTCATTCTCGCTCTTCTCCTTATTTGCTTTTCTTAGAGCCCTTCTTTCTGCTTTATTGTTTACATCTCTAGCCTCTCTTATTTGTAATTCTTCTTGATTTATTTCAAGATTTTTTTGAGAGTTGGCATCATTGCTTGCAGCTAAAACATAGGAAAAATAAGTATTTTGATATTTATTTAATATTAAATTAGGTTATTTACCTGCTAAAGCAAGAACAGTACAGCCCAGAAGGGCGATCAAGAGAATCTTGTTCATTCTAAAAATTATACTGTATTTTTAATTAGTTTTTAGTTTTTTCTTAATGGTAGTGATATTAAGATAAAATTATTATGTTATATATTTTAACTTTTTCAGCAATGGCATAAGTGAATTTTTATATCTTTACAAAGTATTCATCCTACATGGCTAATTAAGAATAGATTAATCGTCATCCTTGATCTAATTCTTTTAGAAAATGCCAGAGATATTTTTTAATTTGTAACTGTGGAATAATGGAATATTTTCTATTTTAAAATAGTTGTAAATTCTTACTGCTATAAAGAAAAACCAAAGAGGAAGATTATTCTGTTTTAAATTGATTAGTATTGTAAAGGATGCACCAAAATTAATACAAATGCACCATTACAAATGAATTTCCTTTCTAAAACCTATTCTTTAACTGTTTGCTAGTTAGATAGGAAAATGATCTAAAAAGTACAGTTAGGACAAGAAAAATATGGAATCTGGAATCTGTTTAAACTGCACAATGGCTGTGTCTAATGTTTAATAGACTAAATAAATTCAGAATTGAGTCCAAAAGTTGTCTTTCTGTTCCGGAGTTTTCTGGTTCTAACTGTGATTAAGATGATTTAGATTTCAATTTGAAATATTCATCTTCTGTTTTTCTAAGAAACAAATTATATTTAGAATATACTTTAATAGTAAATACCTTGTTGTCTGGCGTCTTCAGACCAGATGAGATCAACTGTACGATCTGAAGACGTAGATATATATGTTGCTTTATATATTTTATTTTTAAACAAAACACCTGTGGTATTCTTACTTATTTAGATCTTACCAATTTTGTGAATAAGGTCACCTTAATTATCAATTTCTTAAATATTGTATTCCTGGTTTAAATCTTTTATCTTATTATTTAGTTTAAATATTTTATTTTTAAACAAAACACCAGAGATGGAATTTAAAGAATTTGAGCCGCGGTTTAAATCCGCCAAAACCCGGTTTAAATTTAGCGCCGGCTTGATACATTTTTAAGTGGAACCAACCATATTTAAACCACGGCTTAAATTTAAACTGCCGCTCAAATTCTTTAAATTCGGCCACTGTTTATATTCATTTTAAATTGTTATTGAAAGATCTAATTTTTCCTTAAATTAGGTCACAATTTCATAATTTCTATTCCAATATATTGTTTTCATTTTTGATTATGTAGGGTTTGTTAATCGTTTTTGAAAACGATCGTTAAACGATCGTTTTTTTCGTTTTCCTATCGTTTTTTGTTTCTTTTTTCGATCATTAAAAAAAAACAATCGTTATAAAAACTTTTTAAAAAACGATAGTTTTTAAGACGAAACAAAAAACGATAGGAAAACGAAAAAAAAACGATCGTTTTTCAAAAAAATGAAAACGTTAACATCCCTAATTATGGTTCAACAGAATTATTTTAGTGAAGTCTTAAATTTGATCATTTATGGGGATATACAAAGTTTTGTCTGATTTTTACGATTCCAACCGAGTGGGTTTAAAATGTCCATGATAGCGCAAAAACGTCCAAATAGCACAGGCGACAAAAAAATGTCAATTGCTTTACCCTCTAATTTGCTACGTAACGCGACGCAAAAATTCAAACAATACAATAAAACGAGCTATGTAAGAAAACGTCAAATTCCGAGGAAAAATGGAAAATTTGATAAATTTTTTTTGATAACTCACCTCTGACCTTATGGAAGGTTTATGGCAGGTAAAAGTAAAAAAATGTGCACCAAAATGAGGTCAGGACTGAACAAGAAAACATAATTGCAATCTTTTTTTTTAAAAAATTAATTTTGTTTGTTTTAAACTAAAAATTCCATTTTACATAAAAAGATTTTTTATTTTTGTTCTCTTCTTTGTTTATTTTAGTTGCTGTGTTTGTATTATTTATTTTTATTTTTTGCTTATATCTGTTACATTATAGGACAAACTCCTGATGATGCCAAAGTTTTTGGGGAAATATATTGAGAAGAAAATGATATAATTCTAGTGCTAGAGAGTAGGGTTGGGATTTGTTTAAAAACGATCTGAAGTGCACCAAAATAGTGTCAAAGTTATACGAAAACTCTAATATACATAACATGGTATTTAAATCAAAGTTGAAAAAGCTCGAATATTTAGAAAAAACCGAACAAATTTAAAAATTACGATAACCCAGAAGTGTGTAGACATTTTAGATATGCTCCTGTTCAAGGGCGTATACAGAAATAAATCTGGGGAGGGGGGTGAAATTTTCGCGAATCGCAAAACAAATGTTGTGACCCCTAAGAGCTCCAAGAGAAAATATTTTAAGCTCCGTCGGAGGAGAACAAGGGAATTGCGGGCTGAAAATTTGGTTTGGCTGTCTCCGACAGGAGATTCAAGTTGAAGACGACATTTTATAGAGGTTTTAAAATTAATGGTTAACAATGTTTTATAGCGTAATTAAAGTATGTCGTATGATTTGAGCTAATCGTATTCGATTGAAACGCAGTTTTCAATTAATAATCTCATTATGTCTAAGTTTAAAACATTAAATCATTTATGACATACAACGTACTGCAAGTTTACAGAATATCATGTTTACACGGTTTTTGCTACATGGCTTCTTGGATATCAGGCATAAGTATAAGATACTTTAAAAGTACAGATACAGTCTAATTACCTTGCATGTACTATATTTTATCTTATATGATAATTAGTATTTAAACAAGAGATAGTAAAAGACATTTTTGAAAATGAAAAACTCAACTTAAACTTAAATTCTATGAGATGAAAAAAGGACAAAGGTCCAGAAAATAATAATGACTTGTAAAAGTTTCTGTTTTGAAAATAATTGGAGTTGTCGGATTGGTACAAACTTGGTACAAACGTTGGACAGGACCAATCTTGGACCAGTACAAACTTTTATTAAAAGAATATTTACTTTTATCAAATGGTCTTATTGAAATGTACCCAAAGGAACTGAGTTCTTGCCACTAACTCAAATATTCTCATCCTTATATCTTTGCAGCCTGATGGTACTAAACTTTGATACGTTCAACCTTAAAAGGTTAACCAGGGTTTGTGACAAGATTTCAACTCCTTTTTTGTTTGTTGCTTATACTTTGCTACCTTCAAGGGATGAGACTTTATCCAGTGGTCTTTGATATTTATCACAATAAGTGGGTGATTTTAAATTTATTTCTTACAACAATGTTTTTTTTTCTTATAAATGTACCTGTCAGAGGTTTGTACTGGTCCCCGGTTTGTTCCATTGTGGTGTTTGTACCAGTCCGACATTTGTTAGTCCGATGTTTGTACTTTCCGACCTTTGTGTCCGACGTTTGTGGGTCCAATGTTTGTGGGTCCAACGTTTATACTGGTACTGAATCTGAAAACCAAGCTGAGAACACTCCTGAGTTCCACAATTAAAATTTTAAGCAAATTGGTAGAAGGGGTTCATGAGTTATGATTAGGACATATAAACAAACAGACAAACAGAAATTACAACTTTATATATAGATATGTAAAATTTGACTCTGGCAAAAGGTATATTATATTAACGGAAGACAGTTGCCTGACCTCCTTTGAAGAGAGTAGACCTATCTTATGCGGTCCCAGAATGTCAGCCTGGAGGAGCTCTGTGTTTAGTTGCACATCTTGTATCCTACAGGGGAAGCAAGGAATGTACTTCATCTGCCAGTCAGTGTACAGAAAGAAGGGGTTTAACCCCTGACAGGTATACAAGCCATGCACAACAATACCGTTTTTTTTACTTGACCAGTTGTGAGGACTGGACTGCTATGGAAGATTCCTTTCAAGAGAGCTTCATGGCTAACAACTCCACATTTTGCATAATGGGTGCAGTTATGGGTTTCCTTAACTCGGAAAGAGTATAATAAAGAAGGAACACCGGGAGCAATCCCCTATACCCTTCCTCCTACAAACCACTTTATTTCTCTTCGACCTGCTCCCCAACTTGATGTCAAAAGAACTATTTGGAAAGGCCTTAAAGTGTAAAAACTAGATAAACAAGAAAAAAGAAGAAAATATTGAACAGGAAAATTAGAAGGGGTGTTAAGCTGTACGCTATCTTTTTTACCAAAAGCGAATGAAGACAAACATAGGATGGGAGACAACCCCCCCCCC